AGCATTGTTAAAGTAGCTGAGCAATGTTTGCCCAAAGGGCTGGACTGCTTGAATAGAATAACTGAGTTGCTGCAGAGGCTAGATAGGCAGATCAAAACTATGGATAATCAAAGTGATATCCTTGCATTTCGGTTATAAGGTGGCATTGAAACTTGCTCTGCCTGCAGCTTCAGACGTCCAGCCGTGTCCTCCTGAATCCCAGCCTTTATCTCCACGTTGTTTTTAGGCTGTAACCCATTTGGACTGTGGCTGGGTCAGCTGTGAGGCACAGTCAGATTGGGCTCCACCAAAATTCACCACAGACTGACACATAAAGCACAGCTACCCAAACTGTGCATGGGACTTGAATATAGTCTTTCACAGAAGGCCCTGCAAATTAGCTAAAAATAATGTGCATGTTGTGGTTCATTATGAATTTCCCAGAGGTTACAGAATATATCACTTTCTTCTTACGTCTTTAAAAGATTAAAACCGATGGGATATTTCAGTATTCTTTATATAAATGTGAAAGTCTATATATGAAGTAACTGGCATTTTGCAGCTCTTTGTCTGGTCTCCAACACCCAGTTAAATAAAATATAAGTAAAAAGAAAATTTATCAAAGCAAAAAAAAAAAAAAAGAGCCAACACTGACCTGTAGATTAAGACTGTTTGTTTGAGAGATCATGCTCCAAACCAATCCTGCGGCATCTCTGCCATTCCTCTGGCTGGCTGGCGTCCAGTGTGGTTTTCCTCTGAAGAGTAATCACAGCATAGTCTCATTCAGACACCTTCTCCTTCCAGAGCAGTTGAGAAAATGATGGCAGCCATCTGCTGTCTGAGTTGGAAAAGATCATCTTTACTGTGTCTGAGGTTTGGACCTGTCAGGATGACATTAGTGTTACCGTATGAAAAAAAAAAGTGGAACCCAACAATTACCTTACTAATTCTAGATTTGTTATGCAACCAAATTGTCTTCTAATGCAGTTCACGGTAGCAAACATCCAGAGTAAATATATTTTGCCTGCATAACAAGCTGGTTAAAATCTGATTTGGAGCTTTCCTCATCAGCTAAACACATGGTCCACTATAACAATAGCTATCCATTTTGGGAAGGTTGCTTATTTTTTGGTTTCTTGCAGAGTTACATAAAGACGTTTATGGCTTTCACACCCCATGGACGAGAAGTTTCAGCCAGCTTTGCATAATGCATTAAAAAAAACAGAATGATACTACCAGCCAGATTTGTCTAGTTAGTTTCTAAATTAGTTTAATCATTGACGTTAGACCTCTTCTGTTCCAAAATTATAACTTAACATAGAAAACCTGACAAAGCTTAAGCGACCTGTTCACCAGAGTGAGCACTTGTGCTTAGATAATGTCCAAATGTATCAATATATCTTTGCAACAGTTGTTACCAGAGGTCTTGTGTATAAAGTAGTGCAGTTAGCCTCAATTTGAAGTTTTTCAGGAGGTTTTTACAGAACTGGGAAGAGCCTCTTACATGTGCACCAGATTGCTTCAGGACAGAACAAACACATAATTAGTTTAAAGGAAAAACATGTTTTCTCCCTAATTTTGGCCAGTGGGATGTTGTTCCCTCCTTTTATGTTGTCTTTATAGCAAACTAAGCTAACAAAACTCTGTTGCGCTGTATTTACTGAAGTATCAATCCTATTTGCGTGCACTTGTGGTGACATATTTCTGTACCAGTATGTGAGTGATCAATCTGTGAGTAGTCGCTCTTCTTGTGAATGAGCAACTCCTCAGCAGGTGCCAGGTCAGCAGGGTGCTAAATACTTTTGGGGCCTGCTCACCGGCAGAGACGTGCTAGATGTGTCTAGGGTCTGCAGACGGAAGCCACTGATCTGACACACAAAGGGGACACCGATTGAGTGGGCACACACCTTCCTCATCGTATCAGCTCGCGCGGCATATCAGTCCCGTTTACAGACAGGAAGCAGGTCGGAGTCAAAGATCAACCAGACAGACGCACTGAAGGCAGATCAGGAGGGCACTGTGAGCTGCGGCGGGGGGAGAAAGAGGCGGAAGACGGAGCCCAGTCATAATTGCTTGCGTAGGCTGACACATCTGAATTTACGGCCTGCACCGGAGCTCCGCCGCTCATTTGGGACGGCTTATTTAAAAGCTGGGAGAGAGAAAAAAAAATAAAAAATACAGGGCAGATATTTTGCTCGCTTGTTTCCTAAACCGTCTTAGGTCCCTCCCTTTGCTTTGCCGTTGCTAAATTCGTCTCCCCCGTTGCTCAAACGTAAGAAAAGCCAAAATGACACCATTATTTTGACTAGACTGTTTTTTCCTCCCAGAGAGGAGGCCAGAGGAAGTGTAGGTGACCTAGACTGGTTAACCACCGCACAACCACTGGTTGGCTGGGGCACTGCCGCCCCCGCAGCCACCCTCTGCATCCACCGCCTGCCAGGTCCACATTACTACTACTACACGCCATGACCACTGGTGGCCCCGCTCCAGCACCAGCCTCCCGTCGGGCCCAATCTCCGTGCTTTCCCCTTTTCTCGGTCGCTGTAAACAGTCTTCCGTCTGGCCATCGGCGGTGTCGGAGCTCATTTAGTTCCATTTTACAGGCCACTCGTGTGTGTGTGTGTGTGTGTTTGTGTTGAAGCCTGTATCAACAGTGTGAGCAGGTATTGCTCTTCGCGGCGTGCAGACGGTTTCTATCTGTGTTGTTTTTGAGCTGCTTTCTCTCCACCAGTTGCAACACTCACTAACCTCAAGACCCCGTCTGGGAATTATCAGCTGAGGAGATTTGGCCCAGAGGTTTTTTTAGTGAGGTTAATTCCGAACCCGACTGGGAAGGAATTAGTGTATCTTATTCTCCAGTCAGGAAACCCATAAAGTATATCTGTACATTTACTGACAGACTTTATGGGCAAAATTTACAAGCAAACAACAAAGTCGATCTAAGATAGAACATGTAAACATGGTCACCACAATGCAGAAGGCCTTTTTTTTTTTTCAAAGGGGTGTTCTGACACACCCCTTAAAAATTTCCTCATGTAGCCAAGCTCCAGATGTTGTCATCTGTCCACTGCTGATCAGAAAAAAAACTAATTTGCTCAGCTGCACAGTTTAAGGCCAGAGTCAAATTTAAAAAAGGGAACCACATGCTGATAGATCCCGTCTCTCAATGTCTGGATCGATGATGTTATTTGGATCAGAAGGTGCACTGTTAGCATTCCCAGATACACACCCCACCCACCTCACTGTGGTACGCTGCCTGAGGCGTTTCGGACCATTTCGTGGGAGTAGGACACAGACATAACAAGAGTTGGTTCGACGTTGTGTTTTGTTTAAATCTGTCTGACAGCAACACTGGACTCCCAATAATTTATTTACTCTTAATTTTCACAGGTTACTGTGAAAGCCAAAAGGATAAACTTCGGGTAATTTGGAAATCTCTGTTCTTACGGCCACTAAAATATATTTTTTTCACTGTATATGCAGAATATTTTTCCAGCACTCACCAGTTTTCTGCTGTTGTTACATAAGTTGCTTCATTGCGCACCATTGGAAGCGAATCAAAGCACTTGCTTCTCTAGATGAGAAACTTAAAGGGATGACTCATTTTTAAAAGAATAATAATCTCATATTTGCACATGGCGAGACATTAGGCCTGGTGGTGGTCCGCCTCTCTGCCAAACTTTCCATGTTTCTTCTCTGCGGTGATAATGGTGGTGATGTTAGTCCCAATCCACACAGTGTCATACTTTCCTGTGCAGCTTAAGTTTTTCCCCGTGTCTCAGACACAGGGAGCAGCATCACGGTGTAAAGAAAACGAGTTTCAGCAGGCTGCAGAGACTTTGGAGGTCAATTGTAGTTGATTTCATGCTTCTAAAGCATGCAGTTTTATTTTTAGAGACTGTTTTTGTTTTATTTTTGGAGTTTGCTCATTCTTTATCCCAATGTCAAAGGTCAGAGTGGCTCAGTGAAGGTATTTGCACACGTCTGTCCTGAATTAACTATTAATGTGACAACAATTTGCCATCTTTGGTGTGCTTGTCATGGATATTTTCTAACTCAACAGGGAACACTACACAGGGACTTCACATTTTCCACTTACGATGCACATTTCAGTCCAATAGGATGACTAATTAACCAAATGTTTTATGTTTTCTGACCATATCAGCAAAATGTCACAATATGTGGAAATACATGTGATGCCTTGCATCACTGCAGTGCCTCAGCCGTTTAAAGTCAGCACAATGAATAATTTGTGTGGGGGAGGAAAAGTTAAAATTGTCGTAATAGAGTAAGATTAGCATCTTTTGATGATATAAAACTACTTATATGACATCAGACAGTCTTAGGAGTTGCACACTGACAATTATACTTTCATATCCACGCTTTTGATGGTGGAACAACAACAAAATTTGTCCTTTCTTTATTTGAATAAATGTAGACTGAATTTTAGTGGTTTTATTGTTGAGATTAATCTCTTTTTTAACAATTTCTATATGGCTGCAAGTAATGATTCTTTTCATTAAGAATGAACAATCTGAGAATATTGACATGAATTGACTGTTTCATTTGTAAATGAAAAGGGCAGATGACTGATCCAAACTCCTGCTGATTGCTGTCTCTGAACCTCATCATAGCTGCAAATATTTTGTATTTACGTCGGAATAAAGACATTGCGTTAATCTGATTGTGGCTGGTCTCAATTTTAAAAATATATCTACATACAACCAGACTCTCTGTGGTCAGACAACTTTTTGGGATGTGGGGAGAAAGGAGGTGAGGGGGCAGTGAGTGAAAATGGGAGGAGTGTGTCTGGGTGTGGGACTGTCATCCCATTGAGGGGAGCTGCTGTGGTGTTTTGATCAAAATCCAGCAGATGTGGGAGAGACTAAAGGGGTGTGAGTGAGTAAGAGGGAGAGAGAGAGGGAGAAGAGAGAAAGAGAGAGAGAGAAATATTTCCACCCACCCAGCAAGGAGACACACTCATAAACAGCAGGCGGACTGACTGAGAGTCAGAAAGACACGGGATCTCAGGGCAGCAGCAGTTTAAGCAGAGAGCCAGGGCAGAAACAGAGCTTCATTGAGAGAAGATGTTTTATTAAAGGGGAGGAAAAGTGACTCACTCAAACATACAGTAATAAACACAGAGAGTTCAACACAGAAAGAAAGACAAGCAAGAGCCAACTGCACTCCTAAATCTACCAGTAGAGAAAGAGAGCAATAAGAGATTACCATTTTTTACGCCCCCGTCACACACACATATTCACACATTTGTGTTAGTGCAGAGTGTGTGTGCAGCTCAGTGTGAGGAGCAGGGCTGTCCGACCCCAACAAGTGGCACATCGAGGAGGAAGGAGCAAGCGATTGGATGGATGCCTTTTGCAGACTCAGTGGCCTGGACCCTCTGTGGGTGAGTTGATGATGTGTTCACGGACCCTGAAATCCAATTGTTTTTACCAGAAATGTGGTGTGCTTGTCGGACTCAGACAGCTACAATTAAGCTACATGCACTTCACTTTGGATGAGATTGACATGAATGGGCTGTCACATCTGATTTTGCAGTTTAAACCTTCATCTTGATTTAATTCAATCATGTCTGCCAACATGTTTGCTACTTATTTAAATAGTTTATGAAGCTCTTATTTTCCGCTGCCTGCACAAATAGTTTCAGTTTTGGAAGTATTTGCTTAGTATTCCTCTTTGGAGTTCTTTGATTCACTTTAGTCTTTCCCATTCTCCCATGATTGTGCTTTCCTTTGACTAAAAGCTATATAAGCCATTAGAAATGTACAGATCAAAACACATGTGTGCATTTGGGTCACACAGGGACACATTAACTGTAGCATCCACTGACCCTCTCAGTTTGCAGCCTCTGTTTCATGAGAGTCAGACATTTTGCCTCCAGAGCATGTCAGAGGTGTGTTTCTCATCACACAGCCTTTTGAGACAGTTCAAAGGGGTGCACAGTGGTGGGAATATGCCATGCTGAATGTGCTGCTGCGGCTACAAAGGCTATTGAGTTTTGTGTATTAGCAAACCTCCACATTCTGGATCCTGGCTCAAAAAGTAGAAGAATGGCCGTCATCCAGCTGGAATCAAATGCCCCTGTTCCCAGCATGTCTCTTTCCCCTTCTTCCTCTGTCTTCCCCTCCGTTTCTGGAACTCATTACAGCTCATGCTCTTGTTTTTGCTCCTGCAAAACCTCAAACAATGGCCATCAGGCTTGTTTGAGAAAGTGAAAGTGGGCTGTTTCATTGTGCGCTGCTGTCTTTGTCTTAGAATATCCACATACAGATGATTTGTTTTTGGTAATGTTACATCTACAATGGTGCAAACAACATTTTAATAGCTGTTTCTGACTTAAGATGTCACAACAGTACGTTCGGGAATGAAATGAATCAGCCTCATACATATTTTTACCCAGTGTCATATCTGAGTCTGGTCACAGCTTTTGCGTATCAGTCTTGGTCTCATACTTTAGACAAGTTACGGAATGAGCAGCTTAGCTGAATAAGAGAAATTCTTAGGTAAAATGTGATACTTGAAAATTGATCAGAAAAGTGAAGGAAGCAGCATAAAACAATCAGAACATTTTTTCAATAATCATTTTCGTCAGTTAGATGGGAAATTCAATTATCCTTTCCTTGCACTTGCCTAAATAATTTGATGTTGCTGTTGTTATAACAGAGAAAAATAAAAAATGCCAAAATAAGTGAGTCAGCATGGCCTGTAATCTCAGTTAAGGTAACAAAGTCAATCTGACAGAAGAGTGATCAATGCTGTCTAAAATGACAGTCCTTCATTTAAACAAACATATTCACACAAATGGATTATCCAGTTTTAGTTATAACCCCCCAGGTCTCGCAACTTTTTTATTGAATGCAAAAGTTGAAATGGGGATTCAGCAGATTTGAAGGGATGCAGGACATGTCTCTGTTCTCCATCTTCACATTACTGTGTTTGTTAGAAAATAGACTCCTTATAGCATTGGTTTGCAAGTTTATTGCAACCACTTGAACTGAGGGTGAGACACAGGATACAGGCTTGGGCAAAATGCAGAAGAAAGTCCTTGGACAGAGTTTGACTGGTTGGATTTATTCAGAAAAAGTGCTCTGAACATCTGCCTACCATTGACCACAGGAGTGAGAAGGAGCTGTGAAAGCCGCCTCCCACTCACTGCCTCCACAGAGATTTATCACGTAAATCTCTCTTAGAATCTTTGCGTCTGTGAAGTTATCCTCATTATATAACCTAAACCAGTCAGGTTTCAAAGGTTAAAACTGACATTATACTTTTTTGTTATCCTTTTTAAAGACTTTTGAACTCTGTTCTCATTTGAACTCAGGAGTTGGATCATGCTTCAGACTCTCGCGGCTTCAGGGACTCTGAGCATTCTGACATGCAGCCACTAAGCTGTGTGACGTTTATCTCACTTTCCTTGGTTCACTTAGAGCTGCGGGAAGATGGCTGTTACATAATGCTCCGGCAGCTGCCACCAATTATAGTCAACCTACCTTATTCTAGTTGAGAGTGAACCAGCAAAAGACCAAACCCCGTTGCCAGGCAGAAACTTTAAGCCACTTCCGGAGGGGACTCTTATGGGGAAGTCTTGTTAGCACAGCCAGACTCCCTGTCCCTCATTAGCCAAGAGAGGTGGTAAACAAGGAAAACAAGACAGCAACACACCACTTAGCTCACAGTAGATTTTAAATAATAGGCCTCAATCTTTGCATACATCTTTGCTCAGTATCCTAAATTTAAATGTTTATGCAGTGGGAGTTACATTGCCCCTCCATTGCAAAGAAAATAGACTGATTTTTCTGGACTTCAGCCCTTGATTTCTCACTTTATCAAATTAAACTTTACTTTCCTCTTTGTTGCAGGACTGGAACCGTACGTGGTACACAGCAAACCCTGACCTCACCCAGTGTTTCCAGAACACTGTGCTGGTGTGGGTTCCGTGCATCTATCTGTGGTTGTTGGTCCCATTTTACTGTCTTCACCTTTACTGCCACGACCATGGACGGATTCAGATGTCCTGCCTCTGTATTGCCAAGATGGTGCGATGTCACACATATTTTGTATATGCAAAAGAAAAACGTCTTTATAAAATCCCTGATTTTAACAGAGATGTTGCCAAATGTGATGGTATAACCAGAAACCACTCCTATCTAACAATTTCCTGTGTTCTTTCAGGTGCTTGGTTTCCTGCTGGCCTCCTTTGGTTTTGTGGAGTTCTTCTATATCCTGCTGGAAAGGAGCCAGGAGATCCAGCAGCACATGGTTTTCCTACTGAGCCCCATCATTCGCAGCATGACTGTGGTAAATGATGTGGTTCTTTTTCACACCACTACATCCATCCACATTAGATTCAAATCATTTCAAACTTGTATTTTGTTCAACATCTATTACAACCAGAGTAGATCACTCTGCACATGACAGAGTGTGTCTGTGTGCCATCATCATACTGAATGACTCAAACTAATTGTGTAGCATAACATATCAAAATAGAAAAACCATTTAATCAAAATAGAGAAATAGAAAAACATCTTGAATTGTGGATTTGTGCAGCAAATTGCACACCTCACATCCCCCATGAGTTCCTATGGGTAACGTAAAAGTTTGGCAGTATTCCATGCAGAGTGCTTGCTGGATCACATCACGGCCCAAGCATATGAAAGAATATATAGTGTCTGTATGGTGTGTTTGCCGGACACTGAGGTGCAAAGATGCACAACCAGGTATTGATTTATGGTGTCAGACGTAATGGAAATATCACAGTGGCCTGCAAACACAAACTGCATTTGACAATCCCTCATCTGTGAGCACACTACATATGTAATGAGATCAGTTTGATGTTGATTAGGTGTTGGACAAAACAAAGGCCACGTGTCACACTGAAAACAGATGTGTCATTGGTCAAAACGGACTAAAATATATTTTGACACCAAATAGACAGTTGGTTTCCCACACATCGTTGGGGTTACAAGACCAATTCTCACTCATAAAATCCAGCTGGGGAGTATTGTGTCTCTATCTCATCAAGAAAGAGGTGATGATTTTGTCAGTCCTGGCAAATCACATGCTTTAATGCTTATCAACTTCATCTGACTTTCCTCCAACCTTCCGGTTTGTCTTTAAAAAACACAAAACCACCAGATACAAAGGTTTCTGGCCTGCAATTGTCATCTATTTTAACCCTAATTACACAGCAGGATCTGGTCTTTTTATAGGTTACAGGTGTACATGTGGAGTGGAGCACCATTGTTCTAACCAGAACTGTATTTAGGGTACAATGTGTGTCATTGTGATGCTTCAGCAGAAGTGAGGAAAGGATAGTTATCCTCTTGCAATAAGCCTGTATAGTTAAGGTCCGCCAGCTCTAACCTTAACCCTCTGGTCCTCTAGTCCTCTTAACTCCATCCCAAGTTCTTAAGTTTCCTTAAGTTCTGTTTTGCATACGTATGATAGCTGAAAACTCTGTAATGAAAGACCAACGATGATTGTATGAGGTAGTTCATTGTTGTCTAGGAACAGGGAGGAGTTGAAGAGATGGGATCAAATTGTTGAGAGGTAAAGATGAAGGCTGAAGGGAAGGGATGACAAAGGCTTGGGATCATGATTATTTTATGCTGGGGAAATACTGAGCAATGAAGATTCAACTTGAGAGGCTTTGGTGCCTGTGATGAATCCATTTAATCTGGTCCATAAAGAAAAACATAAATTTATGGTTGGAGGGTTTTTGTGTATTACTGGTTGAGTTTTTTAAACAGCATGGCATGGCAAAACATAACTGAAAAGTTCAGATCTAAATCACTGCCAGAACATTGCAATTTCCTTTTTTTTCATCCCGAAAAGGGCTGTTTATTTCTTCCCTGCTCACATCTGAAGTTCAACCATGATGGCCTGTATGACCTAGATCAGGGTGGCATGGGGGGGTGGGATACACAACATTATTTGTTTAAAGTAGAGGCTGGTATGCAATCATAGAAATGCCCTCCGTATCATTTGTTGATGGAAATTGCACCAAATGTTTCTCAGAACTTCAATCCCACTCATTTTCTGTAGATTTGAAATTATACCTAAGTTCCACGAGTAGGCAAAATAAAGGAGGATAGCTCAACATGGGTGGCATGGCAATCTGAAGTATGGTTTACCTTTCTGCAGGAATTACAATACAGTACAAAGATGCAGAGCGCTGATGGAGGGGTTGCTAAGCTTCTGTGAGCCTCTGACACCAACACAGAGAGCCACATAGATTTACTTACAAAGCCCCCTCTTTCTGCAGCTGGATACAGGTCCTGCTCAGTCTCACTCTCTTCAAGCCAGACAGATTTGCCCACCTGTGGTCTTTCCAGACTCCTGAGTAAATACCAGCAAGTGTTTGGGTAAAAATACACTGAAGCTTATTTTTTTTATTTGGGATGCATCTCTGAAAAGGTCATTTATTTTGAGGACATCATTTGTCACACCAGGGTTCTAGACAAAAAAAAAAAATCTACTTAATCGCCTTAAGAGCCTGTCACCCCTCTTTAATCTACTTGCCAAACGTATCTTTATTCAAGGATATCATTTTCTAGAAGCGTCTTGTAGCTGCATGCAGCCACCCCTTTCCCTGATGCAGGAATGGAACAGTTGCTCCAAACAACTTGTTATGTTGCCCTTTAGCCAAAGCAAAAGTTTGGTAATGCTTTTACGCAAGCCTGAATGGTGGTTACTACAGATGAAATATACTGGCTATAATCAGATATACCATGACGTAAGACTCAAATTCCTCCCCTCCAATACTTTATGCTTCCCATTTAATTATAAGGTAGGGTTATGATTCAGTCTTTAGTGATGGATTTAGCCCCACCCACTGAGTTATACAAACACATGCTTTGCAGTTATGGGCAATTCAGAACAGGAGGGGCCTTTCCCTCATTGAATTTCCCCATGGCAACTTTGTGTAAGGGTTTGGATTCGGGCTGATGCGGCCTCATGGCCTGAAGATGGGAATCTCCAGTACTCTTTCCCATGAGCACACCGTGACACAACAAAACAGAGACAGATTTTTAATCTGTAAAAGATCAATTAAGGTTGCTTATGGTGACACTGACATATGTCTCTGAATAGAATAATTTGGGAAATTGGTTAACTGGCTAACACCACAACCAGTTTTATTATTTCAAGTTAGTCTCGCTGATGTCAACAACCCTATGTCCAGAAATCCCCCTGAACAAAACTCAAAACTCAAAAATGAGCCTGGTTCATCTGGTTGGGGCCGGCCCTGAATTATACAGTCAAGTGGAAAAAAGTAGACTCATCTTTTCAAGCCATCTGGTTCTTAGTAAGCCTTGAAATTTGGAAAATAGATCCCACCTTACCAATTTCAATCAGGTGAAGGTCTTCCCTTTCATTAGATCATTGAAACACCTTGATTATTTTTACTTTTCCAGACATTCAGATCACTGACCGGCCGATGAGCCCATTTTAGCTAATCTTTAGCTGTCAGACAGATGGCCTCACATCTGATTATAGAATATAGTTTACAGGAGTTCAAGGAAGATCAATGAGGACAAGATGCTCTTGTCCTGTGGCTGCAAAATAAGTCCAAATCATCATCGCTCCACCAATAAGTATGATGTGTTTGTGCTGATATGCCTTGTTTGGTTTTCTGCAGACATTATGCTGACTATGACCAAAAATCTCTATCTGTCTAAAGGATCTTGCTGTGGTTGTTTAGAGTGGACTCAACATTGAAAAACAAAGCTGTGTTGCCATGGCTTTCTGGCAGAGCTCCAGCCCCCCCATGACCCCACTTAGAACAAGCAGATATAGAAAATAGATGGCTAAATTAAGTTTTTCCAGGGGTAAATATCTCAGTCATACTGAGCTTCTGCATCTTGAGCGTGATATTTGATTAATTTTTTTTACATCTGAGGTCGTAATTGCTTCGTCCTCAGAGCTAGTAATGATCGGAGAATTTTGTTACATATTGATATCTATTGATATTCCAGTATCTTGAACTTCGAGTGTTTACAGAAAGATCAATTACAAACAAGATTGCCTTGTTATCATCAGTTGGGAATAAAGTTCCCAACTGATTTCGACAGTTGCATTTCGACACCGTGCTAAACAACAACAACCAGTTTATTCTGGACTAATGTTTGCATCTACTGACAAAAAGTCAAGCAAAATTGAATTAAACTGACAGAGATAGATCAGAGCACATTTGTCCTTAAAGTGCATTAGATTCTTGGATGTTTGTGTGTTTCGAGTGTGCATGTTGTTTTTGTCTTCACATCCCCTCTATACTGAACGTGTGCCATTAACTCCAACATCCCAAAGACATTCAAGTCAGGTGGGCTGGACACTCTAAATTCCCCATAGGTATGACTATATCTGTCTGTCTGTTTGTATTCATTCTCTGATGGACTGGAAAGAAACAAATGTGTAGAGTAAACAAGTTAAAAGACCAATGAATCAATGTCATTAAATCAAACATGTGAGAGCCTTGGGAACCACTCATGTCAACATGTTTACTCTCTTCACCGCCGAATCAAAATATGTGAAATCTCCCCCCAAAAAGTGCAACAAGCTGTTGATGCAAAAGACTCAGAATTTTGCCAGATACTAGATTATAACAGGACAGCGTTGTGGCTCATCCCAAGTGTACCAATGTGGTGCTCGTTATAAAACCGAAACTTTCTCCGAGCTTTGAGATGAGCTGGCATGACGACGTGACGTCTCTGTTGGCTAACCACTTAGTTAGGGGCCGATTATGGCTGTTCGCAACGAGATCCAGGCCTCCTCTGAGGACAGACATGCCGCAGCGTACAAAAACTGGATAAGTCTCATTTTCAAGACAACTTCATGGTGGAGAGTCTATTTTAGGGCTGCGGATGGTAGCACTGAGCAACGTGTGCATGCATTCCAGACACATGTCATTTTTCTAAAGACGGAAATCAGACAAATCACACATCTGTCTGCAGCCAGGGCATTCCTGGAGACCCAATCTATATTTCCACACTGTCATGAGTCGCATTACATCACAGCAAATCAGATTATAACCTTTGTGCTAAACTGAAAAAAATAGAAATAACAATAGCGTCTAAAAAAAGACAGCTAGTGCTTCATTTTTTTTTCTACTGAATTAAAGAGAAGATGTAAATTGCTACTTGGGATTCCCCTGAGCATGTTATCAACACAACAAATCTATGAAGCTAAGAAAGAATCCAGTCTGGCAAAATATGGGTTTGAGTGTCCAGCCCAAGGACTTTCCACACTAGGGAGTTAGCCAAGAAAGTGTAAAGGACATACATTTTTAGCTACAGGTTGTCTTCAGGGATTATTGGTCATTTCAACGAGAAGCTTAGTTTACTTTGAATTTGCTGACTTCAGTGAATGTCATGAAATAACCTTATTTCACATCTTGATGTCTTTCTGTGTGTCTGTCTAGATCCTGGCCCTGTGCATCATTCAGCTGGAGAGAGTGAGAGGATGTCGATCTTCCGTGTTCCTCTTCTTGTTCTGGGTCCTGTCTGTTGTCTGTTCTCTGGTGCCTCTCAGAGCGAAGATCCAGCTTGCCATTGATGAGGTACGTAGTCACCCTGATGCTAAATATAAAAGACTAGAATTCGACTTAAACATAGGTACTGATCCTATCTATTTAAACACTTCTCTATGCATTTATTTCACCCAGAGTGGTTTGTGAGTCCAATTTGAACTCAGTGAACCTGAAGTGTCAAAACACAGTGTAGGAATATCTAATCAGCTCTGGTCCTACCCATAGTCTAGACACACGACTCCAGCAGCACAGCTTGAGCTATACCCTGTGTCAGCAAAGAGTTTCTTTTTCACCCCCCAGTTTTAACCAAGGTAACCTAAAGTTAACACAAAGTGTTGGAGGATGACACTGCCAATTCTGGTCAAGGCTGTGTGTGTTTAAGTGCTCCCTTTCTTCCTGCATCTCCCGTCAGACATTGCAATCATTGTTGTATGGGGTAGGTTTTGCGCACACCGCCATGGGGCAGTCGTATTTGCATTTCTATAAAAGCACACGCACACATCCATATTTCTGTTTTATCGCTCTCAGCGTGACATTCCCACACTGCTTGGGGGAGAGTAATGATGGCCCTGGGATAAACGCTGGTGAGACATGGCAGCCCAGGGTCAGCCCAGAGGAACGCCAGTGCTGTGTTTATGGGCCTACACTGCCATAAACACAGCCAGATGAAAATCTGTGCATCCACACATAATGCAAAGCCATTTACAGTTGAAAGCAGATGTTCTCATTTCATATAACTGCACATGTGTATTTAAAGGAAGTACACATGAGGTCTCATGTACTTCGCCTCCATACTGTACTGTTTTTCAAACATGTTGTCTTCTACAAAATATGCAAACAACCATTATACAAAGAAGATTCTTTTTAAAGGGCTACCTTAAATGATCCGTAGATCTATAGAAGATGCTGTCAGGAAATGTCAGGAAAATGGATCTACAAAAAAACGCTCACTGCACATTAAAACTGATACAAGAAAGATATTCAAGAACAAGTTATGTAACGGTGTTGACAGAGTGATTTAACTTTCTGGGTATGTGCTGTGCCTTTGAACATCCCTGCCAAAACTCTGAATTGTAATATGAACTTCTCTACACTATTTTTAATAAAAAACAAACTCTTCAAATTGGTGAATTGATTTGAATTTAGATGCAACTTCCCCACCAGGGTCTCACCTTTGATTATGATGTGAATTGAAACAAGGTGAGGTTATGAAGACAGACTGTCAAGACTTGTCTTTTCTCTAAATAATTTGTATAATAGTGTAACGTGATATAGAAATGTTTTCACATCTATATTAAAAGTACAGGTAGAAAGGTGAAGGTAAAACAACAGCTAATATTCAGTAGATCTCTGCTACTGTAAAGTTTTCCAAACATTCATAAATAAAGCACCTTATTCACATCCCAGTGCTTCATGTTCGTGGACCTTTGGCCATTCGAAGCCGCTTGACCTACATTTTTGCCACCCACTCCGACCATCTTGACCTTTTTTTTTGTTTTTCCACTGTGCGGCCAGGCCCATTGGGCCCCTTCATATCTGCTTTCTGGGCACAGCACCATGCTTCTCAGAGAAAACTGTTTTATTGTTTACAAGGACTGCCACTTTGATGGGCCCACACTGCGCTGCATAACAGACTGGCTGTGGCACCGGTGCTTGCCCAGTGGTAAACAATGCCCTCTGCCAGAGCCCACAGTTTCTGTATGTCAGAAATAACATGCAAGCACTCCTTTTTTTGCGAAAGTCCCTGAGTGGTTAATATCGCAGCTGGTTCTTCGACAGAAGGTTAGGTTGCTGGTTTGAAAAACCACAATCTCCCTATTTACAGATATGGGCTTTTAGCGTGACTGAGAGGCAGCTTTAACTGTTGCTTCATTTATATAAAGTTCACCACTAAAGCTTCTGGGTTTTTACCCTGATTTAGCTTAAAGGTCCAAATTACTCTTTATTGTGCCTGTGATCTTAGAACATAGACCATCCTCCCCAATGCAATATACAAGCAAGTGAGGAGCCATATAAGAAGTTGTGCTGTTATGAAACTACACACAAAGCCACAGTTATGATAAATGATGCAGTGTATTACAGGATGTTGCCTGATTTGTTAATTGCTGCTGAAAGAAATGAATACAACCACAGAACATTTTGATGCATTTGAAAAACTTTTGTCATCCTGTAAGAACTTTTTATGTGTTTGTTTTTTTTGGTTTAGCACCAATTTAAACACAAAGCAAGTTAATTCGGCCCCAGGTTTGAAACAAAGGTCAAATCCTTTTATCCTTCTACACTTTTCTCAAATGTGTGTTTTGTTCCACAGGGCATTGCCTCTGACATTGTTCGCTACCTCGCCTTCTTCTCCTACTTCACGATCCAACTGGCCCAGCTCTTCCTGTGCTGTTTTGCTGACCAGCCTCCACAGGGAAAACCCGTCTTGGAGAAGGTAGGCAGTGGAGAATGTATCCCACTTCCGTCAGAAAGCCTCCGCTCTGATCCAATACCAAGGAGAGAAAAATGCCCAAGTAGTTATTTTGTGGTTTTTGACTTTTGTTGTCAAGACACTTTTGCCTTTTGGAGGAAGTGATGGGATTCACCCCCTCCATTCTTCCTCTCACACATCACCGCGTTGGCTTCCTATGAGAGGTGTGTGTGAATGAGTTTGTTTGGCACCGGGGTGTGCATATCTTCGGTGCGACTCTCACTATCTGAGATAACACATGCGCTGCTTAGCAAAACCTCGCTAACCCATCAAACATGAGTTGGTTTAGCTCTTTTTTTTAGGAGGAGGGTGGCTCAAAATAGCATATTGATCTGGGATAGCTGGCAGGTGAATGAAAATGAGCTCCCAATCAATCAAAATGACACGTGAGGTAATGTTTCCTCTGTGATAAACGATCGAGGGGGCTGGAAAAGTCCCTAACAAACTACCAGCTGGTGGGGAAAGGCTTAGGGTGCAGAAGCCACAGTCTGGCAGGGCAGACACACCCAGTGGTGTGTCCTCTTCTTTTTCCTCCTCCTCCTCCTCCTCCTCCTCTCTGCCCCATGTTCTGGTTAGAGTTACTCACAGGAAGCAAGGAAGCGAGGGGACGAAAAGCAAGGGTGCTGTAATGAGGAGAGCAAACACCCCAGTGTGGGGGTGGAAGGGTGGAGGAGATGCCGTAAAGTCTGCGTGAGAGCACAAACTTTCTGTGTATGTGTGTGTGTGTGTGTGTTGGTTGTCTACATGTCGGATTGCTTGTGATGACACATTTCCGCTCCGTCTGCGCTCAACCTCAAAACATCATCCTCACCCTACACCAACACTCAAACCTATTTATCCCGTCCGGTGGGAGCTCACGGTCTCTCCTTCCCACAAGGGACCACCTGAGAGCACCCGAGTTGTTTACGGCATCAGCGTTCCCAATCACACCCCGCACAAGAACACCATTCAACCATCAACTCACAGCCCAGTGAGGCTGTGTGTTTCTAAAAAAAAAAAAACCCTCCAGGTTGAGAGGCCTTTCACTGTGAGAGCTACACTGAATGCGGTTTTAATCTGTTGCAGAATCCCTGCCCTGTGAAAGATGCCTCTTTCCTGTCACAGATTCTCTTCTGGTGGTTCACTGGGTAAGATGGTTCTTCAAAAACCTGTCATTTTCAGGCATTAGCTGACTCACTAGCAACAGTGTGTACTTGTTTACCATAATATGTTTTTTTGTTGATGTTCTCGCCCGTGACTCATCTCTGATGTTCCTTCTTTAGGCTTGTTGTGAAAGGGTACCGCTCTCCACTCGAAGCCGAGGATCTGTGGACCCTGAGGGAGGAAGACACATCACACAAGATCATATCTGAGCTCCAACAGGAATGGACAGCCGAGTGTGCCAAGATTCAGAAGTGAGAATTATGTTTGATTGATATCTTGTATCTTGTCAGTTTTGTGGGGAATTCCAGTCATTGTGTAAATTGCACAGTGCACGGTGTGGAAGACCCTTGTTGTTTTTTGGTTTGCAGAAATCCCAATAAGATTATATCATCAACTTCATGTCTCAAAGCAGCAGAGTGCACAATTTACTGCATTAGCAGTGCTCAAAAAGACAATTGAAATAAACAAAAATAATCTTTGCAGCACTCCTTTGATCACCCATCTGCTAGTCAAATCCTAGCCAATACACATTAGTCAGGATTTACCATCCACTGATGATCTGATCCAGGCTGTCTGATCAGGATGGATGAAGGTTATAGCATAACTAATTGACGAACCAGACACAACACGTGCCTGACATGCACGTGTTTGTCTTTCTCATTTCTTCTGGCTGAAATGGCTCTGTTTTGTCAGAGGTTTTTGACTCACTGTAATGCTCTAACTATTGTCATAGCCTAAAATCAGTTCAGTTTTATAGCATTGTGGTTGAACATCAACACAGTACTGAGCAAAGCAGAGCGGGAATTAGCTGTGGCAGATGTAATTGAAATCCAGGATCTCTCATTACTACACGAATTTCGTGCTAAAAATAAGAAACGAGTCTCTTGAGGACATAGAGTGCCATAATGTCATGAAAAGAAGCCTGATTCATCTTCAAGGCTCGTTAACATGGCACAGTGCTTTGAAGGCTATCGTCGAGTCTAATAATTACCTCAGCAAACGATCCTTTCCACAGCTGCCTTCAAATTCTTTGCTCCATCAGTAATGGCGAGGAATAAAATGTGTTTTTCATTGTCTGTTTTGCGTTTGAAACTTGAAAGCGGCCTGCGCCACATTGGTACGACACTCACACAGATGTCCTGTCTCTATCTGTGGTTTGTCCTGCAGGCAGGAGAAGGCCCTCTCCTCGGGCGCAGCGCTGGGGAGCAGGCTGCCAGACCAGGCCCAGCTCCTCAGGAAGCTGCAGAAGGAGCAGAGCTCCGGTTTCTTCCTGCTCAGGACGCTGGCACGCAAGTTCGGTCCATATTTTCTGACCGGCACCCTGTGTATCATTTTCCACGACGCCTTCATGTTCGCCATCCCTCAGGTGCTGAGGTAAAAATCTAAGGAATTAGCTGTGCCTCACCCCGGTGTCATGTGCCTAACATGGACAGTTCTCTTCCTGATAGAATCTACAGACGTTGTTGGGATAGTTTGCACGAGGATTGCCGGGAATCTTCTGTAAAACGACTTATAATAAGGTTTCCCGATGTAGTATTAACTGTGTCGCCGTATGCAGACAGAGATACTTTTTTTAAGTTAGCTTTTTCATAGCTTGAAGACCCGCAAACCGAATGGATTTCCGAATGGAACCGAATGAATCCTGGATAAAGTGAAAATAGAGTTTTGTGACTGCGTGTGTCAAAGCAATTTTAGACTTATGTAAAAAAGAAAGACAGACAAACATATGGATGGATAGATGGACAGATAGATAGATAGATAGATAGATAGATAGATAGATAGATAGATAGATAGCAGTGAAAACAGGTCAAAGTTGACCAGCCACCCGCTGCCTGTGCATCCCACCAGTCAGACTGGAATGTTGTTGTTCATGCACAGCACAGAATCGGTGGAAGTGTTAATTACGGTCGTAGAGCTGTGAGCAAGAAAAGTTGACTAGACCACAGTCCTCTGTGCTCCAGTAAGAAGGACAGTCAGAAATGGGAGAAGGAGGCTCTAAATGACAGAAATGCTGTCGGACCACAATAAGAGAGCCGCAGGCCAAGTGTGAGTGCAGGCCGGCCACAGGCAGAGTTTTGTTGTGCAGCTCCTTTTTGTGCGGACCAGTCAGCCAGAAGCCGCAGCAGCACTCAAGGCCATTGGTTAAAGTCGCACAATGGGAGTAAGATAAGATCAGGCCGAATGAAAATAAATTATGTCGACAAAGTATACGTCTGTCTCTGTCTGCTGAGCTTTTTTATCACACTTTCCAGGAAAAACGGGAGTTTTGATTATTCAATCGTGCAGAAAGTGACTTACAATGAGTCTATTCAACAGCGTGGCTCGACTTAATGTCTCACTCCCGTTCTTTTTCAGTCTTCTTCTGGGTTTCATGAGAGATGAAGATGCTCCACTCTGGAAGGGCTACTTTTACGCCACCTTGATGTTCCTGCTGTCGTGTCTCCAGTCCCTTTTCAACCACCAGTACATGTACGCCTGCTTCACCGTCGGCATGAGGGTGAAGACAGCTGTAATGGGCTTGGTCTACAGGAAGGTGGGTTACCATGCAATATACGTTTAGCCACTAACCACTTGACACTACACAAATTGTGTCTTAAAATTCTGAAAACAAAAGCTCTCTCTCCTTCCAAAATGAAAACAGTTCACAGCATATGATTAACAGCTCTCACCTAAGATGAATGATGATGTGTAGTCGCTATAAGGCTAGGAAATTATATCGTGCGCAGCGAGCCGAGGGCTGAAATGTCTCTTTTTGCTGTCAATCTAGTCTTTGGTGATAAACAGCGCTGCGAGGAGGACTTGCACCGTGGGCGAGATTGTGAATCTGGTTTCGGCAGACACTCAGAAGCTCATGGATTTTGTGGTCTACTTCAACGCTGTCTGGCTGGCTCCTATTGAGATCGCTCTCTGTCTTTTCTTCCTTTGGCAGGTATGTCCACGTGCAGCATTGTGTGGCTCACAATGCCTCTCATTCATGCACAGACGTAATTTAACTGTCTCTTGCGACTCTCCTTTTTTTTTTTTAATAGCATCTGGGTCCTTCAGCTTTGGCAGGAATTGCCACTGTCATTCTCATCTTTCCGCTCAATGGGTTCATTGCAAAGAAAAGGAGCAAGCTGCAGGTAAAAGCACGAATCCCTCACACATTCGCACCAGTAGCCCAGACATCTGGCGTGTAAGGTCAAAGGATGCCACAGCTGGTTTAGATAGTGGCTGAAAAGCTGTGTGGGTGTTTGGCCTGGATGTTACATTCTCTCTTGTCCTTTTGATGTCTGGCCCGTATAATTTGTTTGAAAAACAATGACAGGAAAGGATGGGCAGTAGGAAGACATAATTTTTCATTTCTCTGGAAAGCCAACAGAGAGTTCTGTAAATTTGGAAGCCAGCTTAATCAAACGTAGTCTTAAATACAGCGACCGCATTTCTGGCACTTTGTTGTTTCGTTGTCATAAAAATCGCCAAAATGAAACAAGCTACAAATTCTTACCGAATTAGACTTCTCTGACGTTCAGGAAAAACTACAGCTGCAGTAATGAAGCCACACAAACCATGTTCACAAATGCATGTACTTGGACTGGTGTGGTAATTGCCGGTCATCTGTGTCCTAGTTTCAACTTGAGATTTTTTTTTCTTGTTCTTTTCTTTTTTCGAATAAATCTATTAACTAACTTTTTGTCTGCTTAACAGGAAATTCAAATGAAATTCATGGATGGTCGCATCAGGCTGATGAATGAAATCTTAAATGGAATAAAGATTTTGAAGTTTTATGCCTGGGAGAAGGCCTTCCTGGAGCAGGTTTTGGGCTACAGAGAAAAGGAGCTCAATGCCCTGAAGAAGTCTCAGATTCTTTATTCCATCTCTATTGCATCTTTTAACTCCTCCTCTTTCTTGGTAAGAAAACAAAATTCAAAGATTTTCTAATTTAGTGGCATATATTCTATATGGCAGCAATGATGACCTTTGTCTGTAAAGGTACTTAGCATGCCATAGGCATCTTTGTACTGATGAATGATCACTGTAATCGATTTTGGATGCAAGCTAACTTTTGATAACCAGAGGGTAGGGTCAGTTAGCAAACTTTTACCAATTTAGTGATAGCATGTTGGCTTTTGCCAATAGAATTTAAAGCCGAAACCAAGGCCTATGATACAGAAATTACATCTAAATATTTACAACTTGAGTCACAGCCTGCAAAAGTCATTAGGACTCACCCTCTGACAATTATCACCAAATATATATACATTTATGCAAGTTTCTGACACTAAAAGTAACAACTCATGCTTTTTTGCCTGGTAGATTGCTTTTGCCATGTTTGGGGTCTACGTGACGCTGGATGACAGGAATGTCTTGGATGCACAGAAAGTGTTTGTCTCCATGGCGCTCATCAATATCTTGAAGACCCCATTGAGTCAGCTTCCATTTGCAATTAGCACAACCATGCAGGTAGAAGACTTTTCCATTTGAAAGCTGTAATTGCTACGTTGAAGAATGTTTTCATGGTGCCATTTGGCGTATGATTAATTGAAATCATCTGTCGCTGTTTCAGGCTCTGGTTTCACTGAGACGTCTGGGAAAGTACCTGTGTTCAGAAGAACTGAAGGTGGAAAATGTCTCAAAGACTCCACTCAACTCTGGTAATAATTGAAAATAAATATGATTAATCTATGAATGACTACACTGAGTAAATGACCAACTTTTGTGCCCTGTTTTGGAAATTCCCACCGTTTGGTTCCCATACTGCCTAAAATCATAGCCTGACATAATCAATAAAAGCAGCCCAAAAGATGTTGTTGTTTATAACTTAGGAGCACCACAGCCTTGTATGGATCATATGCACTGTCACTTGCTGGTTCCTGAGCTGACAGGTAGACAGGATAATTATAGGATGTTCTCATTTAGTGGTTTAAGTTAAATCATAGCATGAATTCAGACATATGATTCATAGAGAAATGGAACAAAAAAACGTACTGTACTTCTCTGTCTACAATCTGTCAACGCTTCCTAAGAAAGCTTATGAAAGAGCAACAGCTCTGTAATTTGCATGATTAAGCAAATTCACATGTAATTACGCCCAGACGGCACTCTGACTCGTAACTTCCAGGGGAAGTTATATTTTTGAAACCGTTTCTTTCCTCCTCAGATGGCGAAGATGTGGCCATAGAAAATGGCACTTTCAGCTGGTCTGCAGAGGGTCCTCCATGTCTCAAACGGTACGAGTTGTAAAATCAGATTTTAAAAATGAAACTCAGCATTAAGTAAAAAGAAATTGAAAAAGGACTGACTGAGGAATTAAATGCTTTGTCAACAGGATCAATGTCCATGTGCCACGAGGCTCCCTTGTTGCTGTGGTTGGTCATGTGGGCAGTGGAAAGTCCTCTTTGTTGTCCGCCATGCTCGGTGAGACAGAGAAAAGAACCGGCCGAGTCACTGTCAAGGTACAAAGCAAGCGTTCCGTGTTCCATGGTCTATTCATAGCTTGTGGGAAAGGTTTCCTAAATACGGTCTCTGTGTTGGCATGTGCGTTTGCAGGGCTCTGTGGCCTACGTGCCCCAGCAGGCCTGGATCCAGAACGCCACCGTCCAAGACAACATCACATTTGGCCGTGAGAAGATGAAAACATGGTACCAGCGTGTGCTGGAGGCCTGTGCCCTGCTGCCCGACCTGGACATCCTACCGGCTGGAGATGCTACAGAGATCGGAGAGAAGGTGAGGAATACGGTTTAATTAAAAAAATAGGACATTTTGGTCTGACGTGTACGTGAAGGGTTGAAAATGTATTTATCTTTTTTCTCCATGCAGGGACTGAATCTATCTGGTGGTCAGAAGCAGAGGGTGAGTCTGGCCAGGGCCGTCTACAGAAAGGCTGATGTATACCTGCTGGACGACCCGCTGTCAGCAGTGGACGCGCATGTGGGACAGCACATCTTTGACAAAGTTATTGGACCAAAAGGAGTCCTTAGAGACAAGGTAATGCCATGCAAGACCTGCAGATAACATTACAGCTTATTCAATTCAGCTGCGAGAGCCAAATTTGGTTTTACACCTAAACCACTTAAAAGCTTCGCTCTGCGCTTTTGTTACCATAATACGAAAACCGCCAGTTTGCTGACACCTTTTTTTTTTGTTTTTTTTAAAAGCCTCAATATAGAGTTGGATTGTGCTCACATCTTATTTTTGCTGACTTGTGTGGCTTATTTTACAGACCCGCATCCTGGTAACCCATGGGATGAGCTTCCTGCCGCAAGCTGACCTCATCCTCGTTCTGGTGGACGGAGAAATCACAGAGAGTGGCTCCTACCAGGAGCTGCTCAGCCGCCATGGTGCTTTTGCTGACTTTATCCACACTTTTGCAAGCACAGAGCGAAAGGAGAGCGCCATGCAAAGAGGTGCGGAAATAGATCCAGTTACCGTTATGCTCGAAATCAGATAATGCAAAATGAATATCCCTCACTAACCAGTCCAAACCTCCAAAATTCTTTCTCTGTAGCCGGTTCCAGAAGGTCCAATGCTCGACTCAGCATGATTGATTTCATGCCCTTCTCCAGAGACTTGTCACAGGAGCAGCTCATTGGGTATGTGAACAATTGGAGAAATTACCGGAATGTCTTGCGTTCTATGTTTTTTTAAACTGGCCTCTGACCTCTCCTTATTTTCCAGGGGTGACACCACTAATACTAACCTGCAAAACATGGAGCCTGTATCTGAAACGGACCAGGAGCAGGTGCCAGAGGACTTGGGCAAGCTGACTGAAGTTGACAAGGCTCGCACGGGACGAGTAAGTCTAAAAATGGACTCAAGATCATATATTGATATTATAGTTACCAGTGGCACAGCACAATATATATTGCGGTTTCCCTTCACCTGAACTTATTACTTCTTTCAAGCTCAATATTCTGCATTTTCTTTCCACAATTTCACAGCTTTCATGTGTTGATGTTAACATTCACTAATCTAAAATCTCTGATGGACTCAATGAGACAGAGAAGCCAACAGCTGAGAGAGGTTTGTGAGCAGCTTGTAAACAATGGGAACAACCTTTTTTGTTGATCCACTACAGGTGAGGTTGGAGATGTATAAGAAGTACTTCAAGACCATCGGCTTGGCCATCATCATACCCATCGTCTTCCTGTACGCCTTTCAGCAGGGTGCCTCTCTGGCCTACAACTACTGGCTCAGCATGTGGGCCGATGACCCCATAGTTAACGGCACCCAGATTGATACAGACCTGAAACTGTCTGTTTTCGGAGCTCTGGGTTTTGTACAAGGTCAGTTGGTTGGTGTTTTTTTTTAAACCAAAACTCCAACAAAGCACTCAAACAGACAGACAAAGGGTTTGATGATATCCGCCTCCAGCTCAATCAGAAATCCCTCCTTCTGTTTTTAAGGTATCGCTATCTTTGGGACGACTGTCACCATCTCCATCTGCGGCATCATCGCCTCTCGCCACTTGCACACGGACCTGCTGGTCAACGTTCTCCGCTCGCCAATGTCTTTTTTCGAGACCACGCCCAGTGGCAACCTCCTGAACCGCTTTGCCAAAGAGATCGACGCCATCGACTGCATGGTGCCAGAAGGCTTGAAGATGATGTTGAGCTACGTTTTTAAACTCATGGAGGTCTGCATCATCGTGCTGATGGCAACTCCCTTTGCAGCGGTGATCATCTTGCCCCTTGCCTTCCTCTACGCCTTTGTACAGGTACACGCTCTCCCCCAAAAAACAGCAAATTCAATCTTTTATGTGAGATGTTTATATTTAACATGGCTTGGTTGAAGCTGGATTCCATTACTCTCTGTTATTGGAAAGCTCTGGGCTCCAAAACCAAGTCTGACTTTTTTTTTGCCTTGTATTTTGTTACCAACCTACTGACATAAATGTTACACACATTCCCAATGAATTATGGGAAAGCCCTCAGTGCTCCTTTTTGTTTCGCTGGTGTTTTACTTTTCCACTGTGGGCCGCAGAGTTTCTACGTTGCCACATCCTGTCAGCTGCGCAGGCTGGAAGCTGTGAGCCGCTCGCCCATTTACACCCACTTCAACGAGACGGTGCAGGGTGCCAGCGTGATCCGGGCCTTCGGAGAGCAGCCCCGCTTCATTCTGCAGGCTAATGAAAGAGTCGACTTCAATCAAACCTCCTACTTTCCCCGATTTGTAGCCACCCGGTGAGAACTTACAAGCTTTAACGTGATTCATTTGCTCAGATAATTAATGCCTCGGCCGATTATGCTCCAGCAGTAATAAACTGCCCCAAAGCTAAATCATTGTTTCATCCACAGGTGGCTGGCCGTCAATCTGGAGTTTGTTGGAAATGGTGTGGTCTTAGCTGCCGCTATTCTCTCTGTGATGGGTAGAAGCACCCTGAGTCCAGGCATCGTGGGTTTGGCTGTATCACACTCCCTCCAGGTATGAGATTCAACCCACACAGAAGCTGCAATGCACAGCTTTACAGCTTACTCAAAAAGTAAGCGTCTCTGTGCTGGATATTCCAGGTTACTGGAATTCTGAGCTGGATCGTGCGATCCTGGACCGACGTGGAAAACAACATTGTTTCTGTTGAGAGAGTCAATGAGTACGCCGAAACTCCTAAAGAGGTTGGTGCTCCCGTCACGGTTACATAACGCTGTACTGCAAGAGATGTGGCGGTTCTTTACACAGCCCTATCTTTTTGTTCCTATTACCTCATGCAGGCTGGTTGGACTACAGAGGGCAACTCCTTGCCACTGGCGTGGCCCCAGAGTGGCACCATAGAATTCCAAGACTATGGGCTGCAGTACCGCAAAGGCCTTGAGCTGGCTCTGAAAGGCATTACGTTGCACATAAATGAAAGAGAGAAGGTGATTCATCTTGTGAGATAAACAAAACAAAAAATGCCGGCATGAATCACCAGTCTTACATAATGAAATTGTAGTGTTGTCTCATATGTAAACCCAAAACCTCCTTTTTTAGGTTGGAATTGTCGGCAGAACAGGAGCTGGGAAGTCCTCGCTTGCCTTGGGAATCTTCAGGATCCTGGAAGCTGCAAAGGGAAAGATATACGTTGATGGAGTCAACATTGCTGAAATTGGACTCCATGACCTCCGATCTCGTATTACTATCATTCCTCAGGTACAAAAGCAACGACAGAAACTGATCTCTGGCTTTGATCACATAAACTGTCCAATGCAAAAGTGATAACTGTAAGTATTCTGTAGCCATTCCAGTTTAGCGATAACCAATCTATCCCATCTTCTCTCCCAGGACCCGGTGCTGTTCTCAGGCTCCCTCAGGATGAACCTCGACCCATTTGATAGCTACACAGATGAAGAAATTTGGAGTTCACTGGAGCTTGCTCATCTCAAAGACTTTGTGTCCAATCTGCCTGATAAACTCAACTATGAATGCTCCGAGGGAGGCGAAAACCTCAGGTACACATGTGGACATCATTATGACGCTTTCCAAACCCAACAGAGTGATTGCCTTTTATCAGTCAGTCAGAGATAAACAGTATGAAGACTTCTAGTATATAATTCTGTCCTTCCTTTCCTCCCCTTTGCCTCTAAAGTCTGGGTCAGCGCCAGCTAGTCTGCTTAGCCAGGGCCTTGCTGAGGAAAACCAAGATCCTTGTATTGGACGAGGCCACGGCTGCTGTTGACCTGGAGACAGACACCCTCATCCAGTCAACAATCCGCACACAGTTTGAAGACTGCACTGTGTTGACCATCGCTCACCGTCTTAATACCATCATGGATTACACAAGGTACAACATCCTTTTTTCTACCCTCAATGGACAGAAATGCTTACCAGGATGTTTGTTGCTTCAAAATGTAAAGATATAACGAATTTGATTTTTTTTACGATCGACAGAAATTTAAAGACCATTAGGATTTTAGGACAACGCCATCGGGGCATTTGTATGCAATTATACAAATTCAAAGAAAGAGAAAAGGAAACAGCATGGCTGTTTCTTTCCAGCCACTAAAAAAAAAGTTTTCTTGGGTGAAAAATAAACTGAATTGAAGACAACTAAATGTCTAGCCATGGTTCATGGTTTATTTTTATTGTTTTTTAAACTTTGACATTTCTAGATGAAGTGGAGAGATGTGGAAGTCTGAGGAAATGGGCTTAGGAAAAAAGACTTACAGCTGCTCTTACTTACACATTGCTTCAGACTCTGGAAAACTTCATTAGAGATTTATTACCATTTTAATTTATGCTTAAGATTAAATCAATTTATTCTTGGATTAAGTTTTAGCTGCGAAAAATAGTTTGAAAAGTTTGAAAGAGTTTTTTCCAACAGATAAGATGTTGGCACTGTTTATCAAGACACTGTTTATCAAGTGAAGTGTAAAGAGAAATGTGAGACTCAAATCCCTTTTCCTTCTCTTTTGCTGCTCCACAGAGTAATCGTCATGGACAGAGGCCACATCTCTGAGATGGACTCTCCAGCCAACCTCATCTCTCAGCGGGGGCAGTTCTATCGGATGTGCCGGGAAGCTGGCTTGGTCTAGACCTATCTTGGACCTCTTACCAGATAACTGATGACCTGGTGTGCACATGTGGCACTATATTTGTGTGGCTCTTCCACATATCTCAAATTGGGCCATTGGAAGTTTTGTGGCAGCTCATAACTCTTCTCTGTGAGGGCATTGTTGCTGAATCTCACAAGCAGCTGCTGATGCAATCCCTACAGCATTTTAAAACCCAAAGACACCTATTCAAGTCATGAAAGTACTTTTCTTAACCTTGGAAGATGGATGTTCAGATTAGAGCTACAGTGGATTGCTGAGTCTCAAAGTTATAAATGTTGTGTATAGAGTGGTGGAGTCAGTATATTCTGTAAAGGATAAAAAAGGCTGGACTAAAAGAGAAACACAAATCTTAATGACTTTCATTTTCTTTAAGGATGGAGGTCATACTATTTTTGTAGTTTTTGTAAGTGTTTATACAGCACAGGACATATTTTTTATGTTGTCTCAGGCTTACACAGACGTTTACTCATACATTTTTAGCCTTATATACCAAAAAGAGGCACTTTTTTTACTTGTAGAATGATAGAAGTCTATGTTTTACTCTCATCCCAGAAACTGGGACAAGAAATATTGCAACACTCTAACCTTTGCGAGGTTCATGCTAGCCGGGGAAATTGGCTTTTTACAGTCTTCAAAATTTGAGCTTGAGGCCATTTTTATATGTCAGGGGGAGGGTGAAACAGTAAAGCAAGCCAGGACATTAGCAATCGTCCAACTATGTGGTGGTTGTTGTTTATTTCTGTAAAGTAAACATTTTTTAAAAAGTCAATAGAGACCTCACTGGTCAGATTTAACCTGACACCGGTAGTGAAAACCACCATGAATGAAGAGAATGCCTCTTTGAAACAATGGTGATAAATCTCTAAGGGATTGTTTCTCTGTCTGCGCCACACAAACTCAGGCCATACGCATATACAGAGAGGAGAAAATCAGTATTGTTCTGTATTGGTGCTGACATGACAGACTGTAAATAGTCTGTGTTAAGCTTTAGTCTTGATTCAAAGAAAGAACCCTATGAACTTTTCCAAGAGAAGAAGCATTTGATGTTTTTGTCTTACTGGTTTAGACAATATATTCTAAGAGGAACCCAAGTGTTTATTTATGTCATGTGACAAAATGTGTTAAGTGTCCTTAAAATTCTGAGGAATATATTTTATTTATACTTTTTATAACAAGCTTGATCATCCTCACTGACCTTTTATTGTTAATGTACTGTCTGGGTCCATACATCATGCTGGATAATAAAATTGATTCAAGTCTATGGTTGTGTCTGACGTCATATTTTTCAGTGACCTTGTTTCTCAAATATAAAGAAAATCCTTACCATGAATTTGTGTAATAAACACAAGTTTAAAGTTGTGACATGTTGCATGATTGGGACTTCAGTAATGAAAGGATCCATCTGTTGTTGCCAACTTTAAAATGAAAGAACAGTAAAGTCTGGTCTGAGTTTTTATGTAAAATATATACAATTACATAAATTCTATCAAATAAACTATGGAACTGGATGCAGTATTCAGGTAGCATTTGGACTTTTGTGATATGTTTTTGTTTTCCAGTTGGTGAGTCTTGTTCTTCATTCTTTGTTCTCGGTCATATTACATTTTTTATGCAATATGATTTTTAATGTGATATTACATTTTTAATACCTCGATCCGATGTCAAACAATGAATGTCTGAAAAAAATAGTTGTCGTTACAAAGTCCAGCCACTAGATGGCAGAGGCTTCTCAACCTGAGCAGTACTACACAGTTTGTTTACACTCGTAGCAATGGCGACCATCACTGAACTCAAGAGTGGTAAGAGCTCACTCCCGTTCACTAAAAAGAATTTAATCAGTTAGTAGCTTTGTTGCTAAAAGTTTGAAACCCAAAAACGTATTCGATGTTGGGAAGTCAGTCAGCCTCAAACACTGTTTAGTTTTTTTTTACCGTGACGAGAAAATACATTCATCACCAATCTGCATGAGATCTGATATGTGGCCATCGTTGGACGAAAATTGGTTTTCATGACACAACCCAAAATATCATGTCTTACTCAAAATATCTATTCGGTTAAAATAAATACCTTGCATTTCTCAGACATGTAGTATTTTCGAAATTGTTACTGCAGGCTAATGTTTCCGTTGTCAAAAGTTAGCTAGTTAGCTAGTTGGAGTTAAATGAATTACTTTTTAGATTATACATATACATTAAAACGGATTCGGGCTTGTTATTCTTATATATTACGATTTGAATAATCGCGTCTATTGCTATGTTTGCAAGAATTCGCCTCACTTTTGCTAAACTCGGACTTTGAAAATATCCAAATAAATGTTAAATCCACAAACAATCTAGTGGAGTTCGGCATATTACACCAAGACCACCTGTTACTTGAATGTTTTTTTAAATAAAATGAACCAATGCTTATGAATGGAAAAGGCTATTGTTGTAATGTCATTTCTTACGTCTTCATCTTTAAGCTGTGAGGGACACGCTGGAGTCCCGCGGTGTGTTGGGGCAGCTGAAGGCTCGGATCCGGGCGGAAGTGTTCAGCGCCCTGGATGAGCAGCGCGAGCCGCGGCCGCCGCTGCCCCGCGAGAACCTGCTCATCAACGAGATAATCCGAGACTACCTGGAGTTCAACAAGTACAGGCACACCGCCTCAGTGCTGACTGCAGGTGGGTGCAGGGATCAGAGCACCCTGCCACCGTTTGTGGATGACAGTGATGTAGTCAAAAGTGTGCCTTTTACATTTACCTTAATCACTTTGTTTGTGTAGAAATTAGCATAATGTAAAGAAATCAGCAGCCAAAGCCTTGCGAAAGTGTATTTACATTTTAGGTTCCACGCGATGTAGGTGTAAGCAGACTGTATTTTATAGAAAAGTGATGTTTGTTGTCTCAGAGTCAGGTCAACCCAAAGATCCTTTGGACAGACAGTTCCTGGCAAATGAGCTGAAAGTTTCAGAGGATGCAAGCTCCAGATCTGTGTAAGTGCCTAAATCAGGATTTAGAAAGTGCCAGACATCGCATGCACGCTATCACACACAATGTTTTCTAATTGGGCTTTTTGGTCACTTATATTCTCCATAAAAGTCATTTATGAAAAACAGAACATGATGATAGAAATACAAAAATGTTGGGGATTGTCCTTTTTCACTCTGCAGACCTCTTCTCTACGGATTAGTGTCTCACTTCCTGAACTCCAGTGACGCGGGGGGGAAAGTGTTTCTTCGGGGTCCTGCTGCCAGCAACAAAGCTCCAGGAGCAGATACCTAAAATGTCATGAAGCTGATGTTCTGACAAAGATGCTTAGTCCCCTCTTGTAGATATTATAAAACCCTGGACCACCTGAATGAACTCTGTTGCTTTTCACCATTTAACCAATAAGAATGGCATCATGGAGAACACCAGTAGACTTTTTCACAATGATCCCTGTTCCTTTTTCTTTGAGTAGAAATATCAGACATCAGAAATGTTTCTTCTGTTTGAGATACCATTCCTCCCTGCCTTTTGTTTTTATTGTGTAAAAATGTTTGATTATTGTTATTGCTTTTCTTTCTAGAATTTTAAAATAAAAACTTATGTTTGAATAGATGGAGATGCTGTTTTTATTTTACACCATGTGGTGGCAGTGCTACACAAGCTGAGGAGGGCCCCCTGCCTTAGGACAGTTGATAGAATAATAACTGTTGCTGTATCGCGGTGACCACGCTCTTGATATCTGACGATGACTAAAAAAAAAAAGAAGAGAAATTTATAGAAAATTAGATAGAGGTCAAATTTTAGGGAATAATGAAGAACCTTGAAGCAAAACTGATATCAGAATTGTGATGTGACATGATCCCATGTCCAATATCTGTGATATTATTAGAATCTAAGTTCACAGTGCTGTAAAAAAAAAAAAAAAGTAAATAGTTGTTCCCTTTGTTTTTATGTTCTTTATCTTATAGTTGCATTGTTTTATATTTGTACAACTCCCCTCATTACTTCCTGCTTTGGTGGTCTTTTCTGATAATGTGACATTGAAGCTCTGCACATGAATACACACGTACCCAAAACAAGTATTTGTACAAAAATAGCAAATTAAGATCTTACTATAAATCTTAAGTTTTTTCTTTTAAGTTTTCTTTAAAGCTTTGGAAAGTGGAAAAAAAGCTTTGGACAGTGTGTCAAGAGTATATTTGATTCTAAACTTATAATTTTTTCTTTGTTTTTTCCATTTTTTAAAAATGTGCTCGAGCCTATGAAATATCAGTCCCTTCCCTATAATCAATGAAACATTTTAACAACTGTTGACACTAAGCTCTGGGCATTTAGCCTTGGCTTGATGAAAAACCTAACTGGATCATTGGAGCTGATTCGTACCTGACCTAAGAAGGAGGCTTTGTCATCATCCGAGTTTAATTGTTTCTTATGGGAATAATTCACATGCCTGTTATTTATTTATGCCTTCACTTATAAACAAAGTGCATTCTGGCAATTCTAAGATTTTACATATTAAAACAGATTCCTAGAAATAACATTTGGACCTTTCCATTTCTTGAAGTTTGGTAAATGCAACCTCACATGTTTTGTCAGCTTTCTGTTACTACTGTTACTGTAGTAACAGTTACTACCCTTCCGTCTGTGAAAGGTTACAATAATTTTTCCAAAGCATTTGGAGTCCCATCAGTGAGAATTTTCATTCAAAGGTTGATCTTCCCAAGAGTGGACCTCCCAACAAGTTCACCCCAAGTTCTGGCCTTTGAGGGAAATACATCTCAAACTCGACAGGCCTCTGTTAGCATGCTAAAAGGTCTAGTGTATGACAGCACAGTGAGAACAAGATAAACATGGCTTCTCTGGAAGGGTTCGAGGGAAAAGCATCTTCTCTTTAAAGGGAACGTGGCAGCACGGCCTGGTTCTGGACTTTTGGAACAACTCCGTTTGGACAGACCAGACCAAAGATGAGACGCGTGGTGAGAATGCACAGCAGCAAGTTTTGAGAAGCAGCCATGGCACATCAGCACAAGCAGCTCATTCCAGCTGTCAGCACAGTGGTGGATGGCTGATGCTTTGCAGACACATGCAGAGCATCATGTCAGTGTAAAACCCGACTGCAAACTCCTCTGTGAGCCTAAGTATTCCAGAATCAAATACAAAACCGTGTGTCCGCCTGCTAAAGCTTGGCTGATAACGAGTTTTAAAACGGGGACAGGTTGCTTGGTACGGCTGACAACCATGTCAGAAACATCAAATGGAGAATACAAGTTATTGCAGATAAAGGTAGTTGGGTGTAGAAATTGATGGATGGATCATTTCCTGAAGTAAAGAATGAGAAAGGATATAAGAGTCATAAATTAACCAAAAGTCCCACGCGAAAGGATGCATTGACAAGAAGAAAAAAAAAAACAGGGCAAAAAAACGCCTGGTGGCCCATCCAGGACGTACCCCTTCTCTCACCCTTTGAACACTGGGATAGGCTCCAGTCCCCCCGCCACCCCATTTGGGAATAAGCGGCTCAGAAAATGGATGGATGGATGAAGGCAAAAAAAAACGTCTGGCAAATACAGCTTTGATCACACGCTGGACGTTTCCTGCGATGTGTGCACATTTTTTCACATCTCCCTTTTTACCAAGTAAGGCAACTTGACATTCTTATCTCACTCAGCCTGTAATGTTTTATTACTGATCATCAATGAAGCTATGAGGCCATTCCTCATCCAAATTATAGCCCTTAGCTCCAAACACCGGCTCATTCTGCCACCTTTGACCTAATTTCTGTCTAATACGTTTACTCCTCCACAATGTTTAAGTGAGTCAGGCTTGTCTTTAGATCTGCTCGATTGAAGCTGAAGGTTTATTTTTTTCAGCCGTCTCAGAAATCTCAGAAACATGATGCATCATTTTTTAACTGTCCAAATAGTCAATCCCATGCAGCTTTTCTTTTTCTGTTTTTTGCTTTACTTTGTACATTAATTGCGTGTAAAAGAGACAGCTCTATAAATAGTGCAATAGTCTTTGGAGTACAGCAGAGAGGACTGATGTTTGCCCCCGGGCTCAATTTAGAATGAAATCGCATTCCACGAGGGTCAAACATATCCATGAACATATTTTCTCTCCAATGGACGGCCATCTATGGACATGAGAGTGAAGAAAAAAAAATCAGAATAGCATTAAACATGCTGTATGTCAGAGTTTTCTCCATTAGAGTTGGTTTTGCTTTTAATTCTTAAGTGCCGTGCTGAGGACGGTGATTGTGATCTGTTTAGTTTGAGCCATTAACTCCAGAAGAGTGGTCGCTGCAATCTATCTTACAAGTCTTGCTTTCAAACCATTGTGTTTTAATCTATTGGCCATCCATCTATCCATCCATCCATTTTCGTTACCACTTATTCCCTAATGGGGTTGTGGGGTTAATCTATTGTGTAAAAATACAAATTTCATGTTAGGTGTCATTTATTTGTTTACCCCCACTGCTCTTCCCTGGGCCAAAGTGCCCAAAGCACTTAAAAGTCTTTCATTGATTTCTTTGCTGTTCTCCAAGTGATGAACATTTGATTTATCTTCTGGAGGTGTGGATGGAGTTGATCAGCTTTCAGGTTCCTTTCTCACATGTCTTCAGTAATAACAAAACACCGTGTGGTGTGTTTCTTCAGATACAAAAGTACGATGGACCATTTAACTATTACAGCCCCCTGCAGGTAAATAATAAGAGTTATCCTCATAGAGGCGACTCTGTTGGACCATATTTAGTCACTGGAACCTGACATTGCTGCTTGTGGTACACTTTGAAAGTAACAGAGAAAGCTGCTGAGATTCCATCCAGACCCCATTCTCCTTATATGGCACACACAACGGCCTCCCTTCCCTTTTCCTCCTCGTCTCCCTCCTCTTCCCTCCCTCTGGTCTGGTCTCATCCTGTCTCTTCTGAGTTGTTCAGTCCGTGCACCTCCCTCATGGACGCCACTCCACCTCGGTGACGTTGGCCAGAGAGAGCCTGAAGGTTCTCCATGTTGGTCTTTGGACTATCAACAGGTTTCACACACACACACACACACACACACTGACACACCAGCAAAGCTCTATCTCTCTCTCTCTGTCTCTGGCACAGAACAGACCACGGCCATCAACCAGCAGCTTGATTTATTGGAGCAAATAGAACAGTGTCCTTATATAGGAAGTTCCACTGGAAAGAAACTGGAAACAGGAGGGATGCAGCAGGAGAGGGATGGTGTGGACATGGCTGCTTTAGATCGTGGAATCTGACGTGCGTCGCAATAGAAAACACGAAAGGGATGTATGTGCGCATCATAAAAAGAAACTTGCATTGACTGTGTGAATTATGAACACATATTTGGGGGGGAACTCTCCAGAGAGCTTACAGTAAAAGGGGAGTCCTGTACAGTGGACAGCTGGTTTGCCTTATGAGGAGAGGGAACACATTGCATAATCTATAAATCCCACTAGGTGTGGGAGTGGAGCACCCGGCCATTCGGTTTTACTAGCAGTATCTTTATTATGCAGCACGTCCATTTGACTTATAAAAGACATTTTATTTCACTGGAACCATTTTGTGCCATTTTTAGATTTAGATCTTCTTGGTTGGGGGTTTTCTAAATATGCTAGGACAGCGTTTTATATATTGGCTGCTCATATTAGGGGCCCTTATATGATTCCGGGGGCCCATATTACTGCATTCACCACTTTGCCACCACTTGTTAAGAAAAAATATGTTTGCATCAGATCACAAGTGACTGTAGGCCTCCACAATATTGTATTTTCACATTACTCTGATACAGATCAATAATTAAAATACACCTTGTGGCAAATGCACTGTGTTAGCTCTTATTAAGTCTTCCAATAATGGTAGACATGAATAAAAATTCCTCCAATAATCCACCACAACAAATATTTGTTTGCTAAAACCTTTTGAAACTGTCTTTACCGGCATAATTAGACACACTTTTCCACAGTGCGTAATAGTTTTTGTGTCATTAGATCTTTGTAATTGTGTGTAGGAGCACACACACCTGTAACGGCATGAATTAAAACATAAATCTATCAACTTTAAGCAGTTGAATATGGTTGAGGAAAGCAGTGCTTTCACTTATTGACAGTTATTTAAATTATTTACTTTCTTTCTCGTGACTTGACACCAAACCATCATGTCTAAGCACAAAGAACAAATCGTTGTGGTGTTTTCCAGTTAATTGCTAAGTTAAATATGACTCCTGATACGATAACACTTCAGCATCTGCACTTTCTTCTGTATTTGGCCCCTTCTCGTTTGAGTCAAACCGTCTCCAGACGTCTCCACTGCGCATGCCCGCAGCCTCTCGCCCCTAATGGATGATGCTTGCAGCTGGAGGACGCGTAAGGAGGAGGTCCGGTGGGCGCAGCTCCACCCATGATTCGCAGTGCGCAGTTTAAATGGTAAGGCTGCGTAATTGACGGGGGTCATTTGGACTGTTTGCTTTTGGAGTACCTCGCCATCGCCGCCCTCTCCAAACTCCAACTTTCCAAATCAGAAGCGCAGCCCCGATCGCCAACTCTTTCAACCTCTGTGAGTATGTCGTTTGTTGTAAAGTGGGGAGAAACAGTGACGCGCACCTGTCACACCACATCCTTTTTCCACTGGTGGACGCGTTTCTGGTTTCTTTATGAACTCACGCGCAGTAACAGAGAGTGAAACTTCTACAAAGTACAACGTTGCCATTTCTTTTCTCCCCCCCTTTTTAAGTCTGCATAAAAATGTATGCATTACGTTTTGCAACTGCAAATGTTTATTAGGATTATTTTTTTAAACCCAAAGTTAAGTTTTGTGCCATAAACGCAACGAAAATTGGTTTCCACCGTCATGATATTTGCTGCTCACAGCCTTGAAGTAGTGTTTATGGGGAAGTCTTCTTATCTCAGTGAGAGAATGCATCTAACCATTGCCTTTCCTGTCTTCCTAATATGGTTGCATTAAGCTGCACGTCAGTTAGGCCTGATGAACTTTGTGGCTGAGGATGTAGATGTGTTTTGAGAAGTGACTCATGAGAGTTTTTAGCATTAGACCAGTGAAACTTACCTAAGAGCTTCCTTTGATCAGAATTTTGCACACAAGTTGACTGTAGATATCTGCCTTTGCACAAATTTGGTGCAACATTGCATTTAAAAAAAAAAAAACTTTTTGGGTTGCAATACTTGTTTTCAATTAAGTTTAACATGACACATGCAAATGTTAGCAGAAAGAGTTTTGTCAGTTCTTCATTTGAGGTTTTCAAAAGTTTTTAAAAGTTCTAATTGATGCATTAGGAAGAAAAGGTATTAAACTATTTGGGAGATAAGGTTTATTTGTATAATAAGAACAGGAGTACACATTTCATAGAGGAAATTAGTTTAATCCTTTTACAGTCCTTTGGGTCAAAATCTCCCATAAATAAATGGAAAGGTCACAAAGTCTCCTCCAGTTTCCACTGGTTTGTTATTTTTGACAGAGACTTAGTTATTCTGTTTGTTGGACTCGGACGTTTACAGCCGTTTGCTTCTATTTAGAGATTTCGATCAACAGAAATTAAAGAGAGCCATTTTATCAACAGGAACTTGAAACAATTAAATGGTTTAAACTGAAGTACACAGACGTGTAAGTTGCTGTCTTGCAAATAATAATCTGGTGTAAGAGTGATTTAGAATATTGTATTTTCATTGATTTATACACTTTTTTGTTGGTTTTACATTATAAAGCACTGTACTGGTTTCTAATGTCAGTCTGTGTGCATCAACCATTTTGTCCCATTTCAGACAGCTGTCTGTAAGACACACTCATTGAGCAGGAACTGTTCCCACAACAAACTTAAAAGGGATAAAGAGAATCATCTTGATTGCTTCTTATCATTAATCAATTCCTTCCTCCTTTCTTTGTCCAGGTGTTCTTGATTCACTGGACTTTAGATATAAATAGAAACAAGTGTCTCTATTAGCATTCAATGGGCAGTTTTTACTTATCTGGTGATTTAAATCATTGGTAATGTTCATTTTCTCCAGTTAGGGACCTTTTTATTGCTTTCACCCACTCACAGTATGTGCCGAAGATTTGGAAAAATAGCTTTTTTACAAATGCAGTCAGTAATTTGCTCTCTGTAACCCAGGGTGTTATAATATAAACTTCAGAATTACATCACAATATGATTTTTTTCCTACTCAGTAGACCAAACAAATTTGTTAGAAAGTCAAATTAACAAGTAACAAAATATGGTGAAATACAGAGGAGGAAATTTCAGGAAATGTTTCGGAAATGTGCCAAAAGGATGACATTTGTTTCTTCATGTAGGTAGTCACTGGGTGAAAAAAACTGTCAGATGTCCCAAATGGGTCAGTGAGATCTGTTGTATGTGAAAACTGTGTGACGCTCACACATTGTAATGCCCATGAAGTGATCATGACCCCCCCAATGTCCTATGACCAGGGGCACTGTCAACCAGAAAGAAACTTCTCACCAGGATGTGTCATCATAAGATAAGATTTCCACTCAGAACTGCTTTGTGAGGACTGGAGTTGTCACCAGTCTGTAGATGCCCTCACTGTAGGGTTGGGGTCATTTCTGACCTATCTGTCTTTTTATGCCACCCAAAATATCATTAACATTGACTCTTCCAAAGAATCAGCTCCAAATACCCTTCTTGTGCCTTTTCCTGTTTGCGTTTTACATCACACCCCTCTGCAGATTCCACTCTCAGACATGGCTGAGACCCAGACACTTGTTCATGATATAACTTCTTACCGTTGCATTTAAAAATGAATGCTGCCAGGGGCCCATGTGAAGCATGGTTGTTAAACCCCCCCGAGCCCCCCTCTGCTCCTCTGTCTTGCTGTTATCATTTTGCAGTAAACGACAAAGCCTGCAAGAGACATACTATTCCCTATATGGGCTTTGTTTGGGAGTTCACTTGCCTTGCTGTTTAGTTCCACTGAAAAGAGCCCTGCTCCAGAGAAGGGACCCATATATGGTCATCACAGCACGAGACTGAAGGCTCCAAGCAGGATACCGAGAGAGGGAGGAAAAGATGGAGGGTGAACGACAAAAACAAAGGATGTTGTCAATAAAGCAACGACTCAGTGATTGAATACGGGTGCAAGCCACTGAGTATTAATCGTTTGGGGTTATTTAAGATTAAAACTGTTGACAGAATGTCTTGGAAGTTAATTAAGATCCATTTCCCAGATTCAATCTTTATTCCTTCTCGGGGAGGGGAATTGTTGGTGCGTTTCCCTTGTGGTGTGTGTGAAACTGTAGGGTCGAGAGGGGGTGGAGGTCTGTGAGAATGGCTGCACTCTGGAACTCCCCGATGGAAGAAGCACGTTAACCCTTTGAGCACAAACACAAACAAGAAGCAACTCTACCAGCAGATTCATCTGTCCCTTTTTTTAAAATTTCAAACAGGAGACTCGTGCCATCCATCTTTCTTAATCTCTATTTCATGTTTTCTTTTTTTTAACAGCTGGCCCTCCACCCTGAGCCAAGATGTCCAAGAAGGCCCCGAGTGAGGATGAGAAGTTCCTCTTTGTTGACAAAGACTTCCTGAACAGCCCGATGGCTCAGGCCGACTGGGCGGCCAAGAAGCTGGTGTGGATCCCGTCAGAGAAGCACGGCTTCGAGGCGGCCAGCGTCAAAGAGGAGCGCGGCGAGGAGGCGCTGGTGGAGCTGGCCGACAATGGCAAGAAGCTGACGGTCAACAAGGACGACATCCAGAAGATGAACCCGCCCAAGTTCAGCAAGGTGGAGGACATGGCCGAGCTCACCTGCCTGAACGAGGCCTCCGTGCTGCACAACATCCGCGAGCGCTACTTCTCTGGGCTCATTTATGTAAGTACGCAACACCACCGGGCAAGCGTAAAAACAAAGTTATAGAAATACTGCTGTATGAATGCTGCATGCTGGGTAGAATTGCCTCAATAGTTTCTGTTCACAGAGCTGAAACTTTTGGCGTCATGGTCCTTGTCTTTGCAGACGTACTCCGGCCTGTTCTGTGTGGTGGTCAACCCCTACAAAATGCTGCCCATCTACTCTGAGAAGATTATCGACATGTACAAAGGAAAGAAGCGACACGAAGTCCCCCCACATATCTACTCCATAGCCGACAACGCCTACAGAAACATGATGCAAGGTAGAAACGTGACTGGGAATTTTTTTACTGGCGCTCGGAGCTGTGAGAAGGTTGTGTTATGCGTTTTTGGATTGGGTTTCTGACTTTAATTGAGCAGCAAACGGCCTTCGCTAACGGAAAGAAATCATTTTATTTGAATAGGAAGCCGCTTACTTCATTTGCGTCAGATTTTTTTGTTCGTCTTTGTAATGACAGCGACCTTCAGTTCTCTTTTCGTGCTGACAGAGTGGTTAATAAACCCCACACAGCAGTGGTGTCTTCTGCTACTGTTGTTTCACACCTAGTTGTGTCAGTAGTGCGCTCGATCCAGAAGCAGGCTCAGAGCTCCACTTCTCCAACACAGAAAACACAGAGCAAAGTCAGCTGGCTTCATGCTGGAAACGACATGGAACTCCTCTAAAGAGGGTTTTTCTGGCCTGTTTGAGAAGCAACGTCTCGTAGAGGTGAATATTATGGCCTTGGCAGAGTTGTGCTCGCAGTAAATGTCTCTGGGCTGAAACCACAGGGATGTTTTTTTATTTATTTTTTTTGCGAGTGGCTCATTTCCCATAGAATCTCTGTCTTGTTTCCAGGGGCTCTTACCCACATGTTGACACGAGGATGCTCTCTCAGAGGAGTTGACATCTGAATTGAGAGATGGTTGAGAGATGGGCGGAGGGCCGTAAAGCATTTCCTGTTTCAGAAACCTCCCGTCCTCGTTTAAAATGTTTTTTTCCCCACTCTCGTCAGTCAGTGTAAATGCCAAAGCCTTTTTCTCTCGGGCGCAGCAGAGAGAGTTTAAATGTCCCATTAACTGACTTTGATACGGAGTTTCCGCATGTGGAAGGATGTTTGGACAATTTACAGTAAGCTAAAGTCATTGTTTAGAGCTCATTAAAGAGTCAGATGTGCTGTGATTGTGTTTCACTGCACAAAAACTGCAAATAAAGACGCATCTCACAAAATTGACGTAAAGGATCCCAGTTTTGTTCCTAATTCAAGGATATAATCTTTTTTTGTGTATCACGTTTGGAGTCTTGTTAGTTACAACGGTGACTTTAGATATCACCACATACAAAATCTTGATACCCACTAGTCATGTCATAATTAAGTTCTATAATGTGAGACAGTTACAGGACATGACAGAAATCACAGACCATGAACAATTAAACATTTAAGGTCACGCCAGTTTATGTAACTCTGTTCATGTGTTTTTTTGAGGCATAGACTCAATCATGGATAATCATGCTAACAGTAATAATTCATGATACAGATCAGAGAATATGATCTCCGATCACAAATATGACTTAAGCCTAGAGTAGGAAAGCTCTTACCAAATACATGTTTTGTGTTTTAAACCAGTTTTGCTGTTGGACATCTAATTGGATCATGGCCTGCAGGTGTACATATTATACATTTCTTATGTTGTTCAGGCACTGCAAGCAACCTAATGAATTGGCAATTTAGGATAATTGCTACCTTAAATGAAATGACTGATGGAATGAAACTGAAAAATGCACCTGAGAAAATACCCAACGTTAATCTGTGGACAGATGTTAGATTAGCTCTGATTAAATGTTGAGTTTGGCACCGACTACACCAACATCATCATGGGTCTGTGATACCTTGCAGCTTTTAACTTTCTCTTACCCCAAGAATCTTGCTGGTTTTACGGCCAGTTCTCTAGACCGGTACACGGGAAATAAGTGTTTACCACCACCGCTATGGTGTGTAAATATAGTGTCAGAAAAAAAGTAAATAAGAAGGGCGACGATTTATCTGTGTTTGTGCAGGCGTTTGGATTTACATGTCTTTAGCTCATCCCTGCTGAGGAACCTATGCAACTTAGAAAGTTTAAAGGCAAATCACGCAGGACTCTATATGTACACATACACAAGGAAGACATGTTTTGGTTTGATGCGTCTACTTTAGACTACACATTGGCCACGAGTTGTGATATATGATGGGACAAGATGCTGGATGTTTTAGTGTTGGACCACCCATTTAGCTTTTGGACTTTACAACTCGGACATAAACTCTTTAAAAATGTTTAAGATGCTTCTAAGATTGTAGCAGAGTTGCCTCTTTCCATAAGTTTAAAAGAAGTAGCCATTACCTCTTTCATATTGTCATGGCACTCGCACACAGGAAGCTTAATTTGTGTTTGTATGACTTAAACATTTTCATCCAAGTTTTTAACCAGAAATGTTGTTATTGATTCTTGAAGAAACGGCAAGAAAAAAGGTTTATCCAGCAGTTGTGATGCTTCAGGATAGTCAGTCTGACTCCTTTAGGTTGATGTTATCGATGGAACTTCCCATGAAGCTGTAGCTAACGACGCAGGATGTCCCGGCACTGAACGTTCCAGAGTGAACAATTCACATGTGATGGTGGACGTGGAACATAACTGTGGCAAATCCAGATAACTCTCCTCAGCTTTGAAGCCTTCTGCCCTCCACTTGGCAGAGATCCCAGTCTTCCCAAATCGTTCACCAGCCTTTGATGTCCTGCAGATGAAATGTGAATTTCTCAAAGGGAATTTGCTGTCCCCGTGCTGTAGAGGACTGGCGCAGACCATCTGTGCATCCTCCCACGTGCACGCTATTCGGTTCAGCGCTGTAAATATCCCTAATATTTTCGCGGTGACAAAACGCCCACCGGTCAGTTCCTCCTTCAGTTTCATTCACTCATACAGGCCTGTTGTTTTTGGCCGGTCTGCAGAAACTCCCAGATTTGGCCCTCGCACTTTCGCTCTCCTTCTGCCTTAATTAGGAAGCGCGGAGTGGGAAGGGGCTGCGCGTTGTGTGTGTTTAAGGAGCGGAGAAGAGCAGCGGGCAGGCCTAGGTCCAAATAGAGAAACAAGCATCTGTGTTGGTTTACAGATCAGGGAGATTGTTCGTTGTACCTGTCTGCGTGTGCAGATCTTATGTGATAAGGACATGTTTTGAGAGGTTGTGCCTCTTTCTGCCTCGGCATTTTGACCGGAAGGAATGAAGCTTGAGAATGAGGGAAATGTTGGAGAATATTCCTTGTTCTGCTCACAGGGGCTCCATCAGGTTTAAAAAAATACTGACCAAGAAAAATGTCTTTCCCTTTGTAGTGGGAGAATCCCCAGAGGGAATTTAAAGTAAGGGCTACAGTTCCAGATTAGCCTTAAATGGAGTTGCCGTATTCTCCCAAGTGTCATTTTTAAAGCAGGGAGATGCCTCATTTCTCAGCATGTTTGGAGTTGGAGTTTTTTATGGTTAAAAATCAAAGTAGTTGTAGCAGTCACATGTTTCCTTCAGCACGGAGGAGTCTTCACAAATCACACGGCTTGACTGCCAGCTGTTATTCTTCTTTTTTTTGGTCAGCCGAGCTCGAGCTTGATATTTTTTCTCAGGGGAAGATATAGTGATTTTTTATTTTTTTTTGCTAGGTTTTCTGTGCTCATAGCGTTTATTGAAAATTGTATATTTACTGTCTCTAAATTGTGGATTATTTTGCTTAACTACAATTTATTTTTTGGTTTATTACGTAAGGATATTTCCATTCTCTACCATCTGTTTGCAGAACAAACACCTTACGCTGTCATTCTCTTTCTGCAGATCGTGAGGACCAGTCCATTCTTTGCACGTAAGTAAAAAGAAATCACCTTTGAGCGCTCTCAAACCTCTCTCAATATTCTCTCTCTTCTGCCTCACGCAAATCCAAGAAGGGAGGCGCCCTCTACACGAGTGAGAGAACAGTTACATAATGCCAGTGTAAACACAAAGCCAAATCAAATGCCTCTCTCAGCTGAACGTCCAGTGAGGGATCCCTGTGTTTCTTAGATCACTCTGTATTCAGAGCTTTGGTCAGGAAGTATGCCCTGGACCCTGATGAAAGAACCAGATTAGCCCTCCAAATGTCCATTTTGTTTGTTTATTTGATCTTAATTATTGAAAACTTTGACGGGATGTTCGGATGGCCTAAGGGAAAACACACTCTTTTTGTTAGCCGTAATATCAGACCCTTGAAATGGTCTAAACTTTTGTTTAGATCTATTCACTTAATGATAAAAAAAAAATCACTATGTTAATCTCATGCCTGGTGGAATTTTGATTTAGTTCAAGATCAGCCGGTTGTTGCTCTACAAAGTAATTTAATCTCACTTTTACTGAACAAAAACAGACTTGTGTTATTTAACAACAGACTAAATTAATTAGATACATCTCTGTATTTACAAACCCTGAGGAACACCCATGCAAAAGGTCAATCACAGAGTACAGCCTGAAAACCTGGACCTTTTCTCCACATTATTGGGAAACAGGAGATAACCGTTAACAGTTTTCTCAAATGACTGTTAGTATCCTTGTGAGCTTCTAAAGTTTTCCCAAATTTATTTTCCCGTCTTCAGCTTTTTTAATAAGTGATTACAGATTTGGAATGCCTGGTTGCTTATTGTTGCTGGTTATTGTCAAAAAAACATATCTGAGTAGTTTCACACTGTATATATTGTTAGATTACTATGTCAAAAGAGATTTTTTACAGAAAACGCTGTAAATAAGCCTCCTACCCTCTCACAAATGAACATTTTTATCGAAATTTGTGATTTAATATTATTTTTTGTGGTGTGAGTTTCTTTTGGATTTGACTGGTCTGTGTGATTATAGTTCTCAAATTCCTCCACACAGAAGCTGAAGTCTGTCATGGGAAGTAGCTTGGAATCTGCTAAACCCATTCTTGAGATGTTGACATGTCATTTCAGCAGGGTCACCAGTTTCCTCTGCCTGACACTCGGCGCACGGCGGAGGCACCGGCTGTAGGGTCTGTGGAGTGGGACCGCTTTCGGTTTTGCCCCACCGGGTTAGAGTTCATATGCGAATAAAAAACAGTATGTATTGATGCACAGAAAGGGTCGTGACGATAAGAAGAAGTGAGCAACAGCCAGTACGTAAAAGGCCGGAAGCAGACATGACGGAGCAGATCGATTTTTTTTCTCTTAAAAAGTCTTTACTGCATTTTGCATTTAGAATGATTTGAACTTTGGATTCTATGCTTTAGGGACTCCTTTTTATATAGGCAATGTTTGGGGTTGTTGTTATTTTCGTAGCTTGGAAGCAGCTTAGTTGATGAGTTGCAGATATCACAGGTGAAGAAGAACTAGCAATTCTAACCGTTTCGACATCTAAGATGAACAAACTATTATTCTGAGTGACTATTTTAAGATTGCACCATCTGTGGTAAAGTATCGCTGTGAACTCCTCCTTTGCTGTTACATCTCTGTCTTCTGTATAGTTTCAAAGCTGGAGGTGCAACTTTGTTTTGGTGATGTGTTGTAGCTCAGAGCTCATGTTCATCTGCTATCGCTCCACACTTTCCACTATGATCAGTGGCAGAAGCAGTTTGAACTCCTCTTTTCTGTTTGTTTTCTCCTTTCTCTGCACACTATACGTCTAAGGTGGATTCCTTTCCACCTCATCCGGTTTTGGTGTTTTATTTCTGGAATGACGGCTCAGTCAGCTGCTCTCACGTGGTTATGCAACAAAGCAGATGAAATTAATAAATGCAAGCAAATGCAAGAATCCCTTGAGCATCACAGCATCCACACCAGCACCCAAAAGTCTTAACAATCTGTATTCTGACACAAGGAAAAACAGAGCATGCAAATTGTCAATCGGATTGAAGGGATGACCCGAGTCCAAAGACTGCCCTGACCACCCATTCACGCACAGTAAACTGCACCGAGTTTAATGTTACTGAATAATTAGATTCATCTTCAAGCCACAACGTCGGAACACACAACACATCCACTGCCTTTTATGGGCCGGAGACTCAGCGAGTATCTGCGCTGGCTGGAGCTGGTGGACCTGGGATCAATCAACTTTGTCCCATGTGTCCAAGAGCATTTTCTCAGAGGAGAACTGTGTTCCTTCCTGTATTTGAATACAAATGAACTACTTATGGATTTTAACACATATGCTAAATTTAGGTGGTTTTTCAATGGGTTGTTTTGTAACCATAAGGAATAATCCGTAAACACATTGGTTGTGTCAGGTTACCAGTTACAAGTTACTAGTCACTAGCTCTGATAGAATTACTAGTTATGGTCAGTTAATGGAAAGGTACAGTGAGAAGCCAGTCAGATTAATCATATCCGTGGGTTGACATGCACTCCTTTTTTTGTCCTGAAAACTAGAGGAGCCAAGAACATTTCAATGTATCAAAAATGTACTCAAACGTACAGTTTTTCCTTAATTATGCTGATGCATTATGTACAGCTTGCATTCCGAACAGACTGGTGCGCAGTAACTTTAGACTTTGTGTCAGTCATTGGTAGATTTTTATCTGCTGCAGATGATTTCCATTCAATTAAAGCCAAACTTTTGAACTGTGAACAGAAAACCTGTCACTTCTGCTTATTTTCTTGTTCTCTTTCATACTCTCTTTGTGCTTTTTTTTTAATCCCGTTCTCACTCGTTTCTCTTTAGAGGGGAGTCTGGTGCCGGGAAGACTGAGAACACCAAAAAAGTCATCCAGTATCTGGCTGTTGTGGCCTCCTCTCACAAAGGCAAGAAGGACAGCAGCGCTGTAGGTATCTGTGTGAAAAGATCCTTATAGTTGGGATGTGTCAGCCAGTTCCCTCATTCTTAAACATGTGTAGGAAACTGCCCAGTTTAATCCTCTATGTTGCCATTTCCTCCAAATAGCAACAATCAGGATCACAGTTTGCCTACGTGAGTAAAAGGGGGACGCCTGGAGTGTGTTCTTGTGTGTGGTGCTTGTGTGTTTTGCCCTTAAAGTTAGAAAAATGCATGAAGATAGTGACACTGAGTTCCCCCGACAAAGTTCTGTTTTCTTACACCAACAGTCAAAACATGAGACAATATTCTAAGTTAGATGACAAACGCTCAGTTTTCGTCATCCACCAGAGCTGATTCAGACCAGCCTTTCTGTCAGATTAAAATGTTGGTGGACAGAACAGTGCAACATATTTAATTCACCCCTCATTTCTGTAAATTTGCGTCCAAGATGCCAGACTTTTTAATGGTATTGAGCATCAGATCTCAGGGTTTTCAGAAACTTTTCAATGGACTTTGGCTGCTGTTTTACTCATTTTGATCCATTCTATGTATTTGTCCAATTTCAGAAATATACTTTTTTCATATTAAGCCACTTACCGTTAAATCACTAAATCAGATAACCATATTTGTCTTTAGACATAGCTGATAACTTTGAAAGGAACTAGCTTTAATCATGGTCACTATCAACCTGGTTGCATTTTTGCAGAATACAGTGATTATCCAAGAGCTGTTGGTTGAAAACGCAATACTTTATGTCCTTTTGGATATTCTAGGAAACTGGTAAAGACAAAAAAGAAAATGCTTGCAGAGACCTGACACAGGGCCTGTGAAATTAATCTGACCTTGGAGGGGGCTATAAAAAGAGTGGCTTTAAAAAATCCGTTTTGAATGAAGGGAAACAGGAAGAAAGGCTGAGCTATGCCAGGGGACAAGTGGACTGAGAGGTCAGCGGTAACTGGTCCTATCAACATTATTGAAGTTGCGAAGGATTATTTTGAACGACAACAGAACAAAAGCCGGCCAACATCAAAAGAAGAGCTTTAGGGAAATCCTTAAAGAGAACTATTCCTGAAGACTACCTAAAGAAAAGTGTTGACTTTAGATTAGTAAAAACGTAATATTTCTTACTGTTCACTGTTGTCCTGGAAACGCATACAGAAATGAGGGGTGGCTCAAGACTTTTGCATAGTATTCTACATCCATTAAAGGATTGTCATCTTACAAAAACATGAAACACTTTCTTTTTCATCCGCTGACTGTCTCGCTCAGAATGCATGAGCATTAGTACAGTATTGAATCAGTTCCTTTTTAAACTGTGAATTTTCCAGTGGTGGAACGTCCAGGTTTGCCTCCTAAAGTGGTTCATCACGTTGAATTTATTTATTTTTTTGTCATCCATCTTCTTTAAGACATCCTTTTACTGCCAGTGGAGACTAAACTAAACCCTTCCTGACAGTAAAAGGGTCTCTCACAGATCAATGAGCACAGTGTGAGCATGCCCAACACCCCCCCCCCCCTTTCTTTACCTCCCTCCTCTCCTCTTCACCTTCTTCATTACCAGATGTATAGATGAGTCGCATTTGTTCTTTTCTTTGTTTGCAGTGTGTGAAGTTTTTGAAACCATCTATTCTCTGATGGAGCTCAGTTGCTGCATCTACATACTCTCCTGTGCTGGACTGAAAAGCTCCACAGACTTTACCTGAACATAAGCAGCTTAGGATTTATCATTTTTCTCCTCCCTGTGTTCACACTTTCTTTAACCACTGTTGCAAATCTGTCTTCTGACTATCTATACTTGAACAATGTCTTGAACAAATGTAATCCTCCATTTCAGCTGCAACATTCTCTTTTCTTCCATCCTGCTGCGCTCTCTGTCTCCTTCTCTTTTTTTTTTTCTCCTTTTCCTCCCAGTGAATTTACTAAACAGGAACCTCCTATCTGCTTTGCCAACTCTGAACTGCACCTCATCACTGGGTCTGTATCTCCCTTTTTTGCACTGTCGATTTAAAGAAATACTTAGGCTTTAGCTTCAATAAAGTTAATAAATAACTTCAATAAGGAGTAGTGAAGTAAAAATGCCCATTAATACATTTAATAGTCCGATAAAACGTAACCCAAATCTCATTTAAGGCACACGTGAACCTCATATCCTCAATTTAAATTGGTAGATTTTAAACTTGTGAATATATGTCGGAATATGTTTGGGAAGAAGTCCTTCACTTCTCCTCTTCATGGCGTCACAGTTGCTGCTGGCAACGGTTCTTTTAAACGGGACAGCACCTGACCTGAATGCTGTCTAAGAAGAACCACTTTGATCTGGTGGATTAACTTGCTTCAAAGTGACAGTGAATCTGCCTCATTTACTGACTGTCTCCCGGCTCTACTCAAAGGTCCACCCGCTCCACGGTCACGCTGGAGGCAAATCTCCTAAATGCTGTTTTTTTAATCAGAATCATTTGAATTTTCCAGACAATGAACTCAAAGTTTTTATTAATCAGTCCTATGTGACAATAGCAGCTTTGTCCTGCTCATCTTCTGTTATATAAATATTTTCTTTATTTAACTGATGGAGAAATCTTAAGAACCCTTTGGGGAGGGAATTGGGGTTTTTACACCTCATGAAAAGATATTCAATTGATTAGTGAGGAGCCAATAAGATGCCTTATTGTGATTTTCATCTTGTCAGGGAAAATACTCTTGGTAAACAAACCTTCTCATTCCTACCCGTTACCTCAGGCTGCTCTCCTCTTAACACTTGGGTTCATCGTGGTTTGTTTGTGTATCACTGTCATCTCTAGGGGGAGCTAGAGAAGCAGCTCCTGCAAGCCAATCCCATCCTGGAGGCATTCGGAAATGCTAAAACCATTAAAAATGACAACTCCTCTCGATTTGTGAGTCTGCAAGCCTTTTCTTATTCATGTATGTCTGAAAAATCTTAGATTTTTTTTTTTTTAATTACAACGTCAACTGATCTTTCTTCCAGGGAAAATTCATCCGAATCAACTTTGATGTAACTGGCTACATTGTTGGAGCCAACATTGAAACCTGTATCCTTATTCATATTTCTTTCTTTACCCTTGACAACACAGCTTTGTTTTCTCTTGCCGGCCTTTTATGTGACAATGCTAAATTATCATTATTATTTCAGCTTGTGATTTTACATACGTGATCCAGTCCTTGGGGCGAGAAACAAAACTTCTACGTTTTTCCATCTTTCTCCTTAACGACTGTCAGACCTGTTGGAGAAGTCTCGCTGTATCCGACAGGCAAAGACGGAAAGAGCCTTTCACATCTTCTACTACATGATAGCTGGTGCCAAGGACAAACTGCGTGGTAAGACAGTAGATTACATTTACTTATCTGCATTCTTACAAACCCAAAAAGAGGGCAAGTGAGTCTCCAACTTATTCAGAACCGCAATGTTCACGTTGGAGCTGAGAAGTTGTTGTTTCTGATGATCCGCACCACTGTATGAGTGGTCAGTAAGTCTTTGTCTGTGTCTTATTGTCAGAGGAGCTTCTTCTGGAACCCTTCAGTAACTACCGCTTCCTGAGTGCGGGCCATGTTCAGATTTCTGGTCAGGAAGATGATGAGCTGTATGAGGAGACCATGGAGGCCATGAACATCATGGGCTTCACCGAGGAGGAGAGAGCTGGTATGAATGATGCATTTCTTTTGTTGGCTTTGCGTCCAGTTGCGATTTTAGGTTTGTCACCACTGAGTTTGTTTCTGGTGAGGCCGTATCTGGCATCTGCTTTTTCTGCTGCAGACATACTGAAGGTCTGCTCAACGGTCATGCAGCTGGGAAACATCGAGTTCAAGAAAGAGCGGAACCAGGAGCAGGCCACCATGCCCGACAACACTGGTGGGACCCCCTTACCTGTTACCACTCAGCTGTTAGCTTGCTGCTATGTGGCTTTGTAATCAAGATCATCACAGAATGAAATACTCTTGTCTCTCTAGCGGCCCAGAAGGTGTGTCACCTGCAGGGCATCAATGTGACCGACTTTACCCGGGCCATTCTCACCCCTCGTATCAAAGTGGGCAGAGAAGTGGTGCAGAAGGCACAGACCAAAGAGCAGGTACTGCGAACAATGAAAGCTGGAAGTCGAATATTCGCGTTGAACCCGAATCATACTTTGGCTTCTCTTTTTTTTTTTTTTTGTTGCTTAGGCTGACTTTGCCACTGAAGCCTTGGCTAAGGCGATTTTCGAGCGGTTGTTCCGCTGGATCCTGGGCCGTGTCAATAAAGCCCTGGACAAGACCAAACGTCAGGGAGCCTCCTTCCTGGGAATCCTAGACATTGCTGGGTTTGAGATCTTTGAGGTAGAGACACGTTGATTACTCAAGAGGCAGGAAGTGGACGGGTCTCCTGTGGATAGTGTCACATTTGTCAAGATGATCACCAGAGGTCAGTGTGTGTGATAAGTGCCCTCTGTTGTGTATCCTGGTTGTTGCAGGATAACTCCTTTGAGCAGCTCTGCATCAACTACACCAACGAGAAGCTGCAGCAACTCTTCAACCACACTATGTTCATCCTGGAGCAGGAAGAGTACCAGAGGGAGGGTATCGAGTGGAACTTCATCGACTTCGGCCTTGACCTGCAGCCATGCATCGAGCTCATCGAGAGGCCGGTACGGCTATCAAAATCATGCCACTAACAAGTTCTTCTGCCAATCACAGATGCATTTTGCAACTTTAGTTTGTTTCATTTCATCGATCTATATCATTTTTTGTAAAATTTGGAATTCTCTGCAGAACAACCCCCCTGGTATCCTGGCCCTGCTGGATGAGGAGTGCTGGTTCCCCAAAGCCACAGATGTCTCTTTTGTCGAGAAACTTATGAACACACAGGGGAACCACATGAAGTTTGCCAAACCCAAGCAGCTTAAGGACAAAACGGAGTTCTCCGTTCTTCATTATGCCGGGAAGGTTAGCATGGGCAAAGAGTTTTATACACCTAACCGCTGTTAAATATAGAATTATTTTCATTCTTGGTCACATCAGAACCAAGCTATCTTAAGAATAATGCTGCCAGGTGTAAATTTAGGCCCAGTAGTTTATTAATGATTCCGCAGAGCGGATGCATTTAAAAAGGCGAAAAGAAAAGTGGAGCATGCTTCTCAAAACAATACAAAAAAATCATCTTAAAGCAGGGCTCACATATTATTAATATTTTGTTTTTAGGTAGACTACAACGCATCAGCTTGGCTGACAAAGAACATGGACCCTCTGAATGACAACATCACATCGCTTCTCAGCAATTCCTCCAGTCAGTTTGTGCAAGACCTCTGGAAAGATGGTGAGAGAGAAATACACACACACACCGACGTGTACCTTGCCGAGTTTCATTTTTTGGTAAATTTACACATAGACGTGTGAGTTAATAACGCACTGTGTCGCGTGCTCCAGCGGACAGAGTGGTGGGTCTTGACACAATCGCTAAGATGACAGACAGCTCGATGCCAAGTGCCTCAAAGACCAAGAAAGGCATGTTCCGCACAGTAGGACAGCTCTACAAGGAATCTCTGGCAAAACTCATGACCACACTGCACAACACCCAGCCGAACTTCGTCAGATGCATCATCCCCAACCACGAGAAGAGGGTAAAGCTGGTGTCTTTCATGGCAACGTCTCAGAATAAACGTCTCCTTGAATGTGTTATGAAAAGCATGAACGCTCCAAGAGTTAATTCGCTGCACAGCCCTACCACTGAGACCTTATCTTCTCAGGCAGGGAAACTGGACGCTCACCTCGTCCTGGAGCAGCTGAGGTGCAACGGAGTGTTGGAGGGGATCCGAATCTGCCGACAAGGTTTTCCCAACAGAATCGTCTTCCAGGAGTTTCGCCAACGGTGATTGTAGAACAATTTTCGCATTACGCGTATAGTCTCCTTTATAATACTGATGTACAATGCATCTCTTCACAGATACGAGATTTTGGCAGCAAGTGCCATTCCTAAGGGTTTCATGGATGGCAAGCAGGCATGCTGCCTCATGGTGAGCACAAACATTTAAACCTCCTATCCATCCTCATCGATCTTTCTCATCTCCAGCATATGTTAATTTCACTGAACTCCTGTCTCTGTAGATAAAGCACCTGGATTTGGACCCCAACCTGTACAGGATTGGGCAGAGTAAAATCTTCTTCCGCACGGGAGTTCTCGCCCAGCTGGAGGAGGAGAGGGATTTGAAGATCACCGTGATCATCATCGCTTTCCAGGCACAAGCCAGAGGCTTCCTGGCTAGAAAGTATGACTGCAAAAGCTTCCAGAGTCATTCATCATCCTCTGACAAGCTAAAGTGTCTGTGATGCTCACTCCTTACAGTAGTTGTAAATACTGACTTATGAACAGTCATTTGGCAACATTTGTTTCACACACGGGATGATTTCATAACGATAGATTTATCTTCTTCCTGTTTTTATTGCCATCAATTGGAAAACTGTATGTGATGCTCCGCATCACACACAATTAAATGGGTTTTGCTTTATTTTCTAAGGGCTTTTGCCAAGAGACAACAGCAGCTGACAGCCATGAAAGTCATCCAGAGGAACTGCGCTGCATACCTCAAACTGAGAAACTGGCAGTGGTGGAGACTCTTCACAAAGGTCAGCCACAGACAAATGCTTCCTTGGTTCGAATTTTGTATTAACGTGTCGATGGGTGACCTGAAAAGTTCAAAGTTCTGCATTCAGATGACAAGGCATGCACTTTGTGCAGGTCAAACCTCTGCTGCAAGTGACCCGACAGGAGGAGGAGATGAGTCTAAAAGATGAAGAGCTGCAAAAAGCCAAAGAGGTGGCTACAAAGTTCGAGTCGGAGCTGAAAGAAGTCTCCATGAAACACACTCAGGTAAAAGATTAAACAAAGACAGGTTCCTTTGCCTCATTTGTCTTCTAGAGGTTTCAATTATACAATGAAAGCTACCCAGAGAGGAGAAGGTGCTCTGTTTCAATTCATTATCTGTCAACCACTCAGTCTTTTTCATTGTGCGTCCTACAGATTGTTGAGGAGAGGAATGCTCTCCAGGAGCAGCTTCAGGCAGAGACGGAGCTGTACGCAGAGGCTGAGGAGATGAGGGTCCGTCTTGCTGCTAAGAAACAGGAGCTGGAGGAGATCTTGCATGAGATGGAGGCGCGGTTGGATGAGGAGGAGGAGCGCGCTCAGTCCCTGCTGCTGGAGAAGAAGAAAATGCAACAACAGATGCAGGTCTACACATCCCTTTAATGTCTTGGCAAGTTTCAATGTCTGGATTTTGGGACCACTGTAGAAACGCTTAGCTCTTTTGAATGTAGGAACTTGAGGAGCATTTGGAAGAGGAGGAGGATGCCCGTCAAAAGCTGCAGCTGGAGAAGGTCACCTGTGAGGGAAAGATTAAAAAGTTGGAGGAGGATGTTCTGGTTATGGAAGACCAAAACAACAAACTTCTTAAGGTCGGTTTTAGCAATCGGAGTTTATGTGAATCTTCAGTAAGTCGCTTAACAACGGCCTCTGTTTCTTTTGTTTTTTAGGAGCGTAAGCTGATGGAGGAACGAATTGCCGACTTCAGTGCCACCCTGGCAGAGGAGGAGGAGAAATCCAAGAACCTCACTAAGCTCAAAAACAAACATGAATCCATGATTTCCGATTTAGAAGGTAGTCATCTTGTTATGCTTTCTCACAATCATAACTTGCGTCACCGTCTGAGCTGTTCTCATAAAAACTGGAGGCAGGGTTTTGTCGCTAAGAACCGAGTATTCCTCCTTTTTCTAGTTCGCTTGAAGAAAGAGGAGAAGTCTCGCCAGGAGCTGGATAAAGCAAAGCGGAAGTTGGAAGCAGAGTCTAATGACCTACAAGAGCAGATAGCTGACCTGCAGGCCCAGATCGCTGAGCTCAAAGCTCAGCTTGCAAAGAAGGAGGAGGAGTTACAGAACGCCTTGGCAAGGTGACGCAAACTTCCATTACACTCATTTTTCGAAAACACTGAACAGTTTTTCTCCTGAATAACTCCTGAGAAATTTGTTTGATAAGTGAATCACCTTAACACCAAGGGTATTCTTAGGTTTCGTTTCAACCAATAACTTGCATTTTTACTCCTGTTCTTTTTAGATTAGAAGATGAGACAGCCCAAAAAACCAATGCTCTGAAGAAGATCAGAGAGCTGGAAGGACACATCTCCGACCTGCAGGAAGACCTGGACTCTGAACGAGCAGCCAGAAACAAAGCAGAGAAGATCAAACGAGACCTCGGAGAGGAGCTGGAGGCCCTGAAGTCTGAGTTGGAGGACACCCTGGACACCACTGCCACACAGCAGGAGCTACGGTCAGTCATACTAAACTCGTACATACAAACATTTATGTTAGAATTTTGGCTCGTTGTGTTTTGACTATTTAACAACACAGTTACCGACAAAGAAAATATTTGATATGAGAATAAATATGTTCTTCCGCAGAGCCAAACGCGAGCAGGAGGTGAACCTGCTGAAGAGAGCCATTGAGGACGAAAACCGCACACATGAGGCTCAGATTCACGAGATGAGACAGAAACACACCCAGGCTGTGGAGGAGCTCAGTGAGCAGCTGGAGCAATCTAAACGAGTAAGCATGAATTAATTCCCACATGCTAAACCACTCAGTAATCTGTGTCCACCTCACGTCTTTATATGTCGCCCCTAAGTAACCCAAACCTTCATGATGCATACTTTTCTTTTATATTTGTACATGTAAGAGTAGACCACCACACCTATTTACTGTTTTCCTGACAACATATATAGAAACTACAGGTGGCTCAAGGCTTCTGTACGGTATTGTAAACGATCACCTCTTGAGTTTACAGTTGATTTGATCCCTTGTGTCCTCTGCTTAGGTGAAGACAAACCTGGAGAAGGCTAAACAAGCTCTGGATAAGGAAACATCTGAATTAACCATGGAGGTGCGCTCACTGGTTCAGGCCAAACAAGACGGGGAGAACAAAAGAAAGAAGCTGGAAGTTCAAGTGGCAGATCTGCAGTCACGCTTCAATGACAGCGAGAAGCAGAAGGCGGAGCTGGGCGAGCGCTGCTCCAAGATGAATGTAAACCTCCTTCCGCCGAGCTCTCTGTCCGAGCGATGGAAATAAATGCCGAGAACTCAAACTGATAGGTCGCCTTTGTGTCTGCACAGGTTGAACTGGAGAGCGTGACAAACCTGCTCAATGAAGCTGAGGGCAAGAACATCAAACTGAGCAAAGATGTCACCAGTCTCTCCTCTCAACTCCAAGATACACAGGTAACGGTGCCCAAATGTCCCACTCCGTTACGACAAGATCGATCAAGACTTCCTAGCAGTAGAAAACTGAACTGCTGTGCTGCTACAGGAGCTACTGGCCGAGGAGACGCGCCAGAAACTGCAGTTCTCCACGAAGCTGCGACAAGCAGAAGATGATAAGAACAGCCTACAGGAGCAGCTTGAAGAGGAGATGGAGGCCAAGAGGAATGTGGAGAGACATGTGTCCACTCTCAACATCCAGGTCAGGAGTCGGACTGGGGTGTTCACTTAAATGTTTAAGGAAGTTTAAGTTGGAACAAAAAAGAAAATATATTCTTTTAATTATTTGCAACAGAGGAGAGACTTGGGTAAACTATAACTTTAGGTTAAAGAGAGGAAAAAACAACCAAGTACTTGAAAGAAAATGTCTTTTTGACTGAGTTCTGATTTGTGCACAGTTATCAGATTCAAAGAAGAAGCTGGATGAATTGTCAGGAAACATTGAGCTCTTGGAGGAGGGGAAGAAACGCCTGCAGAGAGATTTGGAGGCAGCCAACACTCAGTTTGAAGAGAAGGCTTCAGCATATGACAAGCTGGAGAAAACCAAAAACCGCCTGCAGCAGGAGCTGGAGGACACGCTGATGGACTTGGACAGCCAGCGGCAGATTGTGTCAAACCTCGAGAAGAAGCAGAAGAAGTTCGATCAGGTACAAATCACAATCGAAATAAGCTTTTTGAAGGATTTGACTTGCACAGGTGAGCCTCTGAAATTTCAAGTGTAACTTCTATTTTCCACTCCGACAACCAGATGCTGGCTGAGGAGAAGAGTATCTCAAATAAGTATGCAGATGAGCGAGACCGTGCAGAAGCTGAGGCCAGAGAGAAGGAGACCAAAGCGTTGTCTCTGGCGAGGGCTCTGGAGGAGGCCCAGGATGGCAGAGAAGAGCTGGAGAGGGCAAACAAGGCCCTGAAGCTGGAGATGGAGGACTTGATCAGCTCGAAGGATGACGTTGGAAAGAATGTTAGTGTTCGAACGTCGGCCGATCCGTAGAGTCCATCAACAAGGAGACTCCAGGTCATTTAAAAACATTTTTGATGGCAGGTGCACGAGCTGGAGAAGTCCAAACGAGGCCTGGAGGCCCAGGTGGAGGAGATGAAGACCCAGCTGGAGGAGCTGGAAGACGAGTTGCAGGCGGCCGAGGATGCCAAGCTGCGTCTGGAGGTCAACATGCAGGCCCTGAAAGCCCAGTTCGAAAGAGACCTCCAGGGCCGGGATGAAATGGGAGAGGAGAAAAAGAGACAGCTGGTCAAGCAGGTGAAGAAGCGTCAAAAACACTCTTTGTTCAGAGAGGCCACAAAAAGGTTATTCAAGAGTAAAGTTTTGCACCGGCTGAGACGGTTTAGCTAAGCAATGACACACACTGGCCGCAGGTCCGTGAGCTGGAGACGGAGCTGGAGGATGAACGCAAACAGAGGACTCTGGCAGCAGCGGCCAAGAAAAAGCTTGAAACGGACATGAAGGATCTGGAAGGCCAGATTGAAACGGCCAATAAGGGGCGAGACGAAGCCATCAAGCAGCTCCGCAAACTCCAGGTGAGAATGAAAGGATTTCCCTACAAATTCAGAAATGAAGAACAATACATGCCATGGACATGTGCTTTTGGTTTTTTAGACATGAGTAAGATGAACTTGAGGAAATGGCATTTAAACAGCCAAAGAGGTTCACCCAAACAGAAGAAAAACAGGGTTCTTCTGGCTGAATTTCTGTTTCCCCTGCTCTCTGCAGGCCCAGATGAAGGACTACCAGAGGGAGCTGGAGGATGCCCGTGCTGCCCGGGAGGAGGTGCTGACCACTGCAAAGGAGAGTGAGAGGAAGGCCAAGAGTCTGGAAGCTGAGCTCATGCAGTTGCAGGAGGTAACACTGTGCATTCCTAACAAAAGAAGAAGGTTTACGGCTGAGCGGAGGCTTCAAATACCTGATCGTATTTCGAATATATTTTCAGGACCTGGCCGCCGCTGAAAGGGCGCGGAAACAAGCCGAGGCTGAAAGAGATGAACTACATGATGAGCTGGCAAGCAATTCCTCTGGAAAGTGAGCGGGAGGTTCATGCCATCTCTTTATCCCTGCGGCGAAAAAAGGAAAAACAAATGCTGACATATCCCGCTCTGGCCCGTGCGCTCAGGTCAGCCCTGGCAGATGAGAAGCGTCGCCTGGAGGCCAAGATCTCGCAGTTGGAGGAGGAGCTGGAAGAGGAACAGAGCAACATGGAAATCCTCAATGACAGGCTGAGGAAGAGCTCTCAGCAGGTGACAGGGCTGTAGGGTTGTGAGGGCTCAGGGACTGGCTGAACACTCTTGTTCTGATAAGCTGTGTACCTTGATTTTGGTACAGAGCTTAGGTTAGCATTTGGTTCCAGAGGGATGATATGAGGACTTCTTAAGGAGGTTTTATGTGGATTTGGACCAATGTACAATAGATATCATTCAAAACTACTTTTGATGATAGTCTATTGCCAAGTTTTGTAAAAAAAAAAACAGTTAGATGTTTTGGAGAAACAAGCTTTTTAAACATGCAAATAATCAAAATACTCAAGAGTTCGCTCTCACCATGACAACACAAATTCAACCATCCATAATGATCTGTGAACGGAGCCATCTTAATCCTGTTCTGTGCGTGTGTTCAGGTGGATCAGTTGAACGCTGAGCTGCAGTCTGAGCGCACCACTTCCCAGAAGAACGAGAGCGCCCGGCAGCAGATGGAGCGCCAGAACAAGGAGCTGAAGGCCAAGCTCCAGGAGATGGAGAACCAGGTCAAGTCAAAGTTCAAGTCCTCCATCTCCGCTCTGGAGGCTAAGGTGGCACAGCTGGAGGAGCAACTGGAGCAGGAGAGCAGGTTGGAGGCAAACGATAATGCCCAAATACATGTCTGAAACCAAACAGAAACTGAGCATTTAGTTGGTACAGACATTAATTTAAAGTTGTTACTTTATATCTATGATTTACTTTAATGATGAGACTTTTTGGCCATCAGGGATAAGCAGACAACTGCCAAGAGTTTGCGCCAGAAGGACAAGAAGCTCAAAGACCTTATAATGCAGGTGGAGGATGAAAGAAAGCAGGGGGAGCAGTACAAAGACCAGGTAAAACGTTGGATTTCTCTACACAATCTCACAAAAAATAAGATGACGATTTAGTAGTGTTAATCATGTTTGGGGACGAGATGGGGGGGAATACTGATTCGGGATATTCCCTCTGTTTCCATGGCAGGCGGAAAAGGCCAATTCTCGCATGAAGCAGCTGAAGCGGCAGCTGGAGGAGTCGGAGGAGGAGTCCCAGCGTGCGACGGCCGCCCGCAGGAAGCTGCAGCGAGAGCTGGATGAAGCCACCGAGGCCAACGACGCCATGAGCCGCGAGGTCAACTCTCTCAAGAGCAAACTCAGGTAGCACAACGTGCCAAAGAGCCCTTCTGTTCCTGTCCGGTGTTTTTGTCTCTCCTTTTTTTTTGTCTAGCTTTTTATATGTGTGGCACTAGAACAAAAACAGACTCTCTGGGAAAACTATGACAAACATTTTATACATATTCAACATTTAGTAACATTTCTAAAAATAAAAAAAGACTACAGCTACACCTAGGTTAGCCCAACTATTGGTCTGTAGAATTGTCATGAGCCACTCCCTTTTTATCGATTGGAATCAACATCCCACTACTACACAATCTTGTCGAAATTGACTGTTTTGTCTGAGGCCAAGATAAAAGTTATTTATTCCATTATTGAGAAGACTTTTCATGCTTGAATGATAAACATGTTTGCCTTAAGTGGCTTAAGAAGCTAAACAAAAACACACGAAAACATGTTCTTCTGAAAATAGTCAGTGTTAAAATTAGACAACAAAATGGAGAAAAAGAAACATTTTTGAGATTGCAAGACAGTCTGGGTTACTGAACACAAAATTTAAAGAAATGAGGGGTGGCTCAGGTATTTAGCACAGGACTCCAATCATATTAAAGATCTCAAATAGTAAAGGAAAAAGAGAGACCAGAATATATTTTTTATTCAATCAGCAGCAAGATCTTAAAATCATTTATTGAGCAAAATCAAAATAATGTCCATCTCTATTCCAGAGGCAACCCTGAACCTAAGGAGTAACACAGCAGGTACCTCTGCGACTAAAAGTTCCCCATCACAGTTTTTCTCGTTCATTTACATGACTTCTAATTCTCCATGCACACTTTTAAAGCTCTCATTTCTTTCATTGAGCCCAACTGAGAGAAACGTGGCTCATCGGCCAGCGCTGATCAGACAGCAAAAACAGCAGAGCTGCAAACCAGCCTGCCCCCATCGGCTCTCGCCGTTCCCTCTCCCTGGTGGCCATGTTTCTCTCAGTGCTTGGTTTACGTGTCATAAACCAAACTCATTTTCCCGAGCAAGGACCCAAAATGAGTTACAAACATAACTGCCGTGCTTAAAGCTGTAACCAAAGCACAATCTGTTCATCCTGCGTCTTGTGGATCCCGTCTGTGGTGTGCGGCACCCGGCTGGTTTCCCAGCACCCCCCTTCTCCATATCTCCCCCCCGGCCTCCTCTCACTCCAGCCCTGTCCTGTTGTGTTTGTATCCGCGTTGCCGTCTCCCCGTGTCGCGGCTTTCTAGGCGTGGAAACGAGCCCTCCTTTGGCAGCACGCCGCGGCGCATGGGCGGAGGCCGCAGGGTGGTGGAGGATGCCTCGGAGGAGGAAGCCGACTCCCAGATGGACTTCAACGGAACCAAGTCCTCGGAGTGAGGAGCGACTGGCTCGTTCAGGCCAACGTCCGCCGCTTAAAAAAAAATCAAATCCAGCTTTGCTATTTTCCACGTCACTTTAAAATATATTTTTCTTTCATTTCCAGTCTTGGGGCTGGTCATTCTTGTTTTTGGAGCACATGTTCTTGACACAAAACAATCAGAGTTGTTGTTCTGGTGGCTCTGCTGTCGAGTGATTTGCTGTTCTTTAGTTTTTAACATGCACTGTTGTGAACTGCACTGAATGTCTGCCTCCTTTCTCATGCAATGTTTTTTTTTTTTACCACAACGATCGGTGCCTCTAATTACCACCCACCTTTGAACTTCGCGCAGAGGAAAAGTGCATTTACAGATGTGTAACTACTACCAGTGACTGTCGTCCTGTTGCCTGTGTCTGCTGTCGACGTTTGTATCCCAGCAAATATTTACCCCAGAAAAGGATTCTCTGATCACTTTTACATTATCTGCACCTTTTCTGTGCCCTTGCATATTTAGATGCCCTTTAGTCCAACTATGGCAGTCTGGAGAGGGGGAAGTTTTAAGCGTAATTCCCTTCATTAAATCATGAGCCAGATGTCAACATCAGGCACTTAACACTTATTGTTGTATCTCCCCTTTTCTCTGAGTTATTGTACATGTTTTAAAAGCTCCTTCTCACAAACTCAGTCTCATTCGATACTGTTACATATAATCAACTAATGTTTACAAGCCACTCTTTGTATCTATTAATTGTTGAACCACCAGCACAAGAAATAAAGATCTTAAAAATCTTTAATCATTTAATGTCTTTGTCAGTAACTTTGAACCGATTCACAACAGCACGGTCGCCGGCTTAGAATCACTTATTAAATTGCAAACCAGCAGGATAAAATATGGGTCTAGTACCTCAGGCACATACAGAAGCAGTCGAAGAAAGAGGCGTTGCACACAAACACCCAAAACACAGTGGTCAAGGATTGCAAATACTGTGAGCTCCTGTTAGCCCAAGGAAGGAAGAGCAAGGAACTATGTCACTGTTTAGATCCTACAGGAAGGCTACAGTGTGCTGAACGGATATTTAAACATGGAACTGTGTCGTCTGCTGAATGGCAGTAAGGACAACTTCAGATTAACAACAAACTTTTCAGGGAAAGGCTCCACTGTCAACGAAACTGGACCATCCTCATTTTTTAAAAAATAAGAAGAAAAAAAAGCAGGAACAAAGTATTCAATATAGGCTCTAGATACCTGCAGACATATACTATGAACTGTGCTTATCGACCCATTCAAATCTATTATTGCTTGATATCTTTTCTCATGTGTCCACCATGCAGCCCTGAGTGGCAGAGCGGATTTCCAAAGACCCATAAGAAATGTGTTACTGTACATTCACATGTGCCCATCTACATGCCAACACCTGCTAAAAGTCAGTAAAAAAAAAGTCTCCTATTAGACGATATATACATAAAGAAAGCGATCGAACAAAAACAGGACTAAAAGGAGAGAAACAATGGAAAATCAGGGGGCATAAACATTTCTTATTTCTTTACACTGCTTGACAAGTGTAAATACAATGATACGCCATTTGAATATGTCAAAAGCATATTTAGACTTTTCCCCCACCCCCTCATGGGCTGTGCGAAGCATTAATGAGCAGTTGGCGTCTCCTACAGACGGTGGAGAGCTCCCTGTCTAAAAAGATAACTAAATAAAAACCAGGCAGAAATTAGGACAATCACAGTGGAAGGTCTGAAAATAAAATCAATTCCAAACGGCTTGAGCAACATTTGGGGAACGGAGACACCGAAGGGACCCGCTGTGCCCCGTTAGCTGAAACAGGGACGCAGTCTTCTGAGAAATTATCTCCCACTACCTCCATTCAGGGCCTGGTTGGATGGATTTTTTGGGGGGTGGGGCAGGCAGTAGGTGGCAGTAGATGCTGCATTTGAAGTGCCCAGGAGCACGAAGCTGACACGACTGAAGTCAGAAGCGGGATTGAGAAATCATCAGGAAACCATGTAAAAGAATCATCCTTAACACCCAGATTCTCCAGTAATGCATGAAAGCACTTTTGCAGTGAGGCAGCAGCTGTTTGCGCCTAGCCTCAAGGGAGAGATTTATAGAATTACTGCTCTTCAATGCTTCTCACAGTCCACCTTAAACACAAAAAATAAACTAAAGCCTTTAACTCGCATGTTAGTTTTTGTAATGGCAGCAGAAACTGACTCAAAACTGAGAAAGGTAACAGCACTAATGAAGGCAGTGGAGGCTAAAATACTCACACATTTCCTCTCAGCTTATTAACTCACTCTGCCTGACTTCTTTAAAAAAAAAAAAAAAAAAGTTTAAAAGACTTTTCAAACAAACACTACTTAACTAACCTCAGTATGAGATATTAAGCCGACGCCTCAAAGAAAATGCACGCAGACACTGAACATCACTCAAATTCTGACATTTTTCCATCCAGGGAAAAATAGTCCCATTGCTTCGGTTTGTTTATCTTGTTTCACAGCTTTGGTTTTAACTGTCTCTAACACAGTATTAGTTTCGGGCCTTTTCATGAATCCCACTCTTAACTTATTGGTCCCCACACCAGAGTCACTTTCTAGTGCCTGTAATCAATATAGCTGGTCCTTATGATGGATCATGATCAGTGTGTGAGAGCAGCAGCGACGGTATATTAGTTTTTGTAAGAGATGCTTTTGGGTGAAGACACCGCACCGCGTCCAAAAGGGAGGAAAAGATGTGGTGCGACCGGCGGGTTCTGCATTCCTTGATGTGACACGAGACGAGGTGGTGCTTTGTGCCGTGTGGTGAGGTGTGAGCCCGGGGCAGCGGGGATGGGGGGGGGTTTGGGGGCGTGTGCAGATGAGCGAGGCTTTCCTGATGAGCGAGATCAGCAGGTCAAGACGCGGCGAGGGAAGACGCCTCAGCTCAAAGTGCTGCGACTGGGAAGGGGAAAAGCGTCGGGACGGTGGCGGCTCAACATTTTTTTTACCCCCTTTTACAGCAGGATCTTGACCCCTCCCTGTGGAGAGTGGGGTCCCTGCGAAATCCCTCTGGGAGGAGCAGGTCCAAACTCTAACCGCTTCACCAAACTGAAAGACAGGGCACAGAAAAAACCCAACACGAGTTTATATCGGAAAAAATAAGAAGATGAAGAGGAGACGTGTTCCTTCCTCTCACCTGTCGTACTGAGGAGGAGGGCTCAAGCTGCTGGCCTGGACCTCCGGACAAACTTCCAAGGATGAAGGACTGCCGGAGCCGGCCGGCAGAGCCGGTCTGCTGACGCCCGTGTCGTAGACGAAGTCTCGACAAGACGCCAGCTTTGACTCCAAATTCTGACGGGGGTGGAAGGAAATGTCACTCCAACGTAGAAAAAACCCAGGCCGAGAGCTGAATTCACCGCGTTTGTGTTTTTTATCTCTCACCCCAACTTTTCTCAGAAGCTCTCCCACAATGTTGAGTGCAGATATTCTGGCAGACGTAGTAAGAGGGGTCCCTGTGAGCCCATCGCCTAAAAAAGATAAATGTCACGTAAGGCCAAAGGGTGAAAATCAAACATCTCCTGAGGCAGGTGGTTCTGGTGGTAATTGTCCCTGACCTCGCCGGATGCTGGGGGCGGGAGGCATGATGAATGAGCTGATAGGCTTGGAGGGAGTGATGGGGATGGATGGGTTCACCGGGGGGGAGCAGGGCAGGTCGGAGCGCTCCGTGTCTTTGCCCAGACTGCTGGAGGGCCGCCTCTCCTTCTGCCGCACGGCCAGCTCCTGCCGAAGGTCTGCCGCGAGAAAAAGAGGAGGAGTTAAGATTATTCTGTTAAACTAAGCAGCGCGCTGGTGTCCACCACATTTCCTGCAGCACAGAGTAGTTGAAGCAACGCCCCCTTGTGATGGTTTCATTAACGTTTAGTAGAACAGTTCAAGCCTTTAATATAAGTGCTCTTTAATGATAAATAAAAGCCAAAAGATCCCGTTAGACCACGATATCCTTCCTCACACTATGATGAGGAAGACAAAGACACCTGACATCTTTCATGCCTGTTTACTTTTACATTAAATATGTTAAATATCTATGTATTTGAATGCAAAAAAAAAAAAAAAGAGATAATACTTTAAATATGTGTATAGTATATCGATTCACGTCAAATTAATCTAGCATTAAAATTCACTGAGCGCGGGGATTCTTTTCAAGCTGAGAGGCCACAGAGAGAAGCCTGCATACCTCTCGCTTCGTCCTTGAGCCTCTGAACAGACTCCAGCAGGTTCTCCTTCTCGTCCAGCTCACTTTCCAGGAAGGCGTTCCTCTCGATGACGTGGTTCATCCTCTGTTCAAAGTCCTCCAGAGACATGATGGTAGCTCTGAAATTACAGACAGTAAGTCCACACAAAGACAAGGTCAGAGCGCAGGTAAGCCAGCACGTTGATCACATGATTTATATCCAATTTCAGTTCAAAAGGCTTTTTTTTTTTTGTTACTTCATGGAACAAAATGCTGAATGAAAGACCAAAGAAAGAAAGAAAGAAAGAATGAACCACACATTTCTATGTAAATAATCAGTTATGCACTTTTTATAACATGTATCATTTTGAATAAGAATATTTAAGACTTGGACTTGGTAGAGGGAAAAAAAAAAAGAAAATAGTCAATTGATGACTGAGCTATCACTCCACACACCTTTTTGTTCTCTCCAAGTCATCGTTGGACTGCTCCAACTCCCTGATATATTTCTGCAGGTGATCTCTCACCGCTCTGGTCCCCGTCAGATCTTCTTCCAGCATCGAGATGTGCCTCAAAGCGTCAGAATGCTGGGTCTCAAATTTCTCCTGCAAACAGCACAGATTTCTTTTCAACTCTGACATCTTGGACATATCTGAGACGAAGTACAATTTAAAAAACCTGCGAGATTCAATCTTTGATTCAATTCCTTTCCTACCACTCCCCTTTCACATGGAGCATCAAGAAAAAATGGCAGTCAGCCGTTTAACAAGTAAACACTGGAAATGATGAGATTAATTTGAGTTAATAGAAACCCTGAGTGTGTTATGTCACTATCTGGACCAGATGGCAATTCAGCTCTACAGAGACCAACGTCTTTTTATAAATCAAGGTGCTACAACCTTTATGTTTTCCAGGTCATTGCGGAGCCGGTTGTTGTCCAGCAGCAGCTCTTTGTTTCGACCCTCACATTGCTTCAGCTCTGCTTCCAGTTCTGCTTCATAATCGCGACTCATCTGCTGGAATTCCTGCAGCTCCTCCTGAGCCTCCTCGGCCCTGGAGAAAAAATGCGTTTGACTCCACCAAAATAACAAAGAAACAACCAAATACGAACATCTGTAATGTATGACTATGGCTCTACAACGTCATTGGCATTTATAGTAAAGGGAGCTGGTTGAGAATGAGTTTTTTTTTACCTTTGCTGGTGTCTCTGGGCTTGCTGTTTCCAGAAACACAGCTCCTCCTCTAGTGATGCAAATGAATGTGCTGTTGGCTCTACCATGTCTGCTGCTCTGAGGAAAGATGACGGTGAAGTTAATCAAAGTAAAGCCTTTTATTCCTCAGTCGTGTGAGGACACGACAGTCTAAACCTCTGAAGCATTAGCCAGCGCCAACTAGGTTAGCACAACAATTAATCCTCGCTATGCGTGTATTCACTATGATAAGAACAGCAACAAATAAACACGTTTTCCCTATCATTATGGTCACTTATAACATTTTGGAGATAGTGTATGAAAGTGTAAGCAGTGGTGTTGAAGGATACATCGGCTTAGCAATTAGCTAACCTTAGCTAATCTAAAAAGCTAAGCACGAGAATCAGAGTATGTGATCACCGATAAGACATAGCCGGAAGCAAACGGACTCACCTACATAAAACGAAGCCACTACAACATAGTAAAAGTAAATAAAAAAACAGTATTCCGGGGTATGGGTTGAAATTCAAGAGTTAACGTTTTGTGACAAGCACCAAACTAATCTCTGGTTACGTTAGGTCGACACTCGATTCACCAACCAAATACAAACGAGTCCTGACTCCCGAAAACAATTGGATATTGCAGATGACGCAACAGGAAGATTGGCCAATCGTGTTGGCCTACGGACCTGTGGCAATAGAAGGCGGGGCTTGTCCCAACATCACCTCCTACTGTTGTGTTTCCTGTAGAACTCCAGTAATGGAAGCTAGATGGAGCTGAAGTTTCTGTTAAAGGCATCATTTTGAAAGCTGAATCTAAGATTATGTGGGGAATATACACAGAAAATGGATGTTTAAATGGAATCAATAAATATTATTGCAAAATAATAAATGTATTGTGTATCCCCTGGTTCCTTAGCTTTTTCTTTGAATAACGACACTTATCATCCATACATCCATTCTCTAAACCACCTATTCACCAAATCTTTTTGTTTCGTCATAATATCAGTTTTGTTTACCATCACCATTTAGAAAATTCCACCGGATCTCACTACCTTTGAAAGTATTGTTTGACTTGTTTGTCCATGCTTGACACAAATGTTATTTAACAATATTCTCAACACTATTTTATGATGTTTTATGTATGTGCTGGCGGTCAGTTGATACAGATAAAGGTAAAATTAGTTTGTAAAAAAAAAGCAAGAGTCCATACATATACAACTGAGACCAATATATGGTACTTTAATTGTATAAGAACTTATAAAGGCTCGAGGGGTCTTCCCCCCGACAGGAATTATACTGACATTTCACAGACTTAAAGAATACAAACTCATTTTCACATAACATCAGCCTATTGTTTTACCTTCCTTAATCATGCATGCATGGCACTATACCAGACACATACAGAATCCTACTGCTGTTAACTGCACAGCTATGGATTTAAAAAGAAAAACTATGTAACCCCGCTAAAACTTTCCCAAACAGAGCATCTCTCTATAATCTGTCGAACACGGAGAGACTAAATACATGTTTACATGTATGGCCAGTTTACTGCCACATAATAACCTGTGTGTCCCCACACTGTATGGAGGTAACTTACAAAAACCTTTTTTTAAGGAAAAAGGCCATGCAAGCAAATGTACAGCATGCAAACTCCACACAGCTGACCAGTCCACTTCTTTCTGTGACTTGTCAAGCTCTCACAACTGCACCTCATACTGTCCCTTAAATTCAGTTCTGTACTTTTGTTTTAGCTTTAATTCAGAGGGACGCAACTTTATAATACTAACAACACATTTAAAGCAAGTGTTATCAAGTGTTCCATCCTTGGAGGTATTCAGTATAAATAGTATGGCTTAGATTGATTGAAAGGTTAGAAACTTTGTGTGCACCATAAAAAAAGCAGAATCAAAGAAAGTTCATTTGAAAAAAGATACAAGGACTGCCGTTTACAGCACATTGCTTTAGATCCAACAGAGTTGCCCTTGAAGTTTTCATAAGAATGAAAAAATAAGAGGTTAAAGAGCTAAACTGTAATAAGATCAAACCACAGTCGATGGACAATGTTGAAGGTTTAGTCCCATCAGTAATCTAAGATAATAAGTGCACATGTTTTTCTTCCTAGTTCTTCTCTTCTATTGCAGCATGGCTTGTCCTCATCACCTATAACATTCAGAAATGAGGCAGTGTGATCTGAGGAAAGACATAACAACTAAAAGGTTAAATTGAACTCATATTACTTGTTACGGTGATGTTACACGTCTATGAATGGACGAAACGCCTCCCTACCTTAGTTTGATTATTCTGCAGCCTTGTTTGCTTCTGTCTTTTTCTTGGGAGTGCACGTCTTTTGACTATCCAACACGTCCGTCCTCACCTGACCCAGAGTTCGCAGCAGGCACATGGCGTCAAACGCCTCGTCGCCAGCCTGCTGCAACAACTCCAGCACCTGTTGACCAGAAGTGTCACTCGCTCTATAAAAGCAAAAACGGTACTCCAAAACGCTGTGCTTTGGCAGAACACCCACCTGCAGACACTTAAATGACTTTAACTGGCTCAGGTTCTCTCTCAGGAACAGCAGATAGATGCTGAGGTCGTTGTAGACGGGTGTGACCACGCCCAAAGCCCCGAATCCGGGCAGTATCTCGTAGGGCCGGAGGAAGCCGGAGCTCTGCCGGGCCGGTCCGAGGGCAGCCACCACCACCAGCGGAGCCAGGAGCACATAGACTCCCAGGTTGATGTAGCTCAGCAGCCTGAAGACGCCCACCGCCACCAGCTTACACTGAACGGCGGGCGGCACCGCGCTGTCGTTCTTCAGCACTCCGGTCCGCAGGTCACACGGAAATTCGTCGGTGAGAGAAGCCAGCAGGATGTAGTAGCCCAGGAAAAGGCACGCCAGCAGGAGGATCACCAGAGTCAGGCCCCGGCAGGCCATGTATTTGACCACTAGGCCGCGGGACGATCGCTTGGTCTTCAGATACTGTTCCACTAATGGGTATTTAAAACAGCCCTCGGTCATTTCCAAAGCAGCGCTGAGGAAAAGACACATTGTTATAGGAGAGGAGAGAAATGTGTGAATATCAAGAAATAGATCCCATTTTATTTATTCAATGTAACAATAATCATTAAATGAATTACCTCTGCTCGTCCTCATCCTTTCCATCTAGTGATGCTAGATTCTTGGCCAGCCTAATGGCCCGGTTATAGAAGCGGTCCAGCTCCTCCATGATGAAGCTGAGGTCGGAGGAGAGGTGTGGAGCAGCGGTAAACCGCCAAAGCAAGGCGGGGATATACAGCAGGATGGCCAGGGACAGCAAGACGTACGGAAAGAACTGGGGAAGAAAACAGAAAGGAGGTTGTGGTTACATTGATTTCCGGATGTAGTCGTCCATATAGTTTGCTCCTCGAGAGCTACTCAGTTATTCAGAGTTCCTGGAGGATGTCACTTTCGAAATGTTATTTAGCCATTTACAGCTAAATAACATTTCGAAAGTGACTGTGTGACAAATTAAAGTCCTGTGATGACTCATGCGATAATCTCAACAGGAAATGTTCATGCAGGACATAGGAAAGTGTTTTTAGAAAGTATAAAATTGTCCTAGAACATTGTTTAGGGGGATCCTGGAATGCTGCTGTGAACTAAACACCAAAGGCAAACCACAAGCGTGGCTCCTAAGATGAAGCAGTTTTAGTGTATTCCTCCTACAACGGTTTTCTTTTTTTTCTCTCTCATGTTAGCCGACTTTTTCATTCTGGTCTCAACATTGACGTCTTATCTATGTGGTTCCTTTCATTCTCAGGCCCGTACCTTGTGTAGCCACAGCGGCGAGCTCTCAGATTGTTGCTGCACTGCTGCCCAACAAAAAGAGTCCACATACGCGGCTTGTTTCATGGAAAATTTACTGGGGGCAAAGCAGCTGATCTGAGTTCCTGTGTGAGGAAAATAAAGAATCAGAGAAACAAGGACAAAGAAAAGAAAACGCCAAATTGCATCAGATTTTGAGTTACTAATTATGCCAGCTTCTTTATAGAGGGGGTACAGAGGGAATTTAATTAAGCCCGTTCTGTTCACAGCTGACCCAGATAGTCAACAAACAGTCACATTCAGGCAGTGGCTGCTCAGGTTACACTGAGCCCCCAGTCATGACATGCCTGTTTTAAATTTGGTTTATTGCAGTTCATTGTCACTACTTGCTCTTCACATACTTAACTTTACTGATGTCCATGCCCCAATAGATTTTCTGCCATCATGACCACCTGATCTTCTTTTGCCTCCTTACTCATTCATCCATTTTTACTTTCATTTAATTTCATCGTCATTTAGAGGTGCTTTTTCTCTGATATCCCCATCAGTCTGTTGCTGTTTTTTTTGCAGTGAATTGTCCAGGAAACTTACCTGGTCCTCCATCCGTCTTACGTGCCCGGTCTGCAGCTTTTAAAACTTTTACTGACTAAAGTGAAGGTATCTCTGCTTCTTTATGCCATGATAATTTGTGTTGTCAACTCCATACAGGAAGTCTATTTCTTTCTGAAAGTTATTCATAACACCAAATCACTGTGTCATATCAACAAAGAACATGATGTGAGCACAGACTCATATGACTGACTTATGATGGCTTTTTCTGAACAAAATAAATACATGAAAGACAACTTAACTGTTCTTCTTTACACCTTAAATATATCCACAGTATCATACCAAGAGGTCTGTGTGCTCAATAAACTTTTAACTTTGAAAAAGCAGCAGTGTTTTATCAATGCAGGGACCAAAATTTCACAAAGAAATTTTCACTTCATTACTTTATAATTGAACCAGTGATAAATTAAATCCCCTTTTGTTCAGATGTGTGTTATTATATATGGGAGGAAAAGCATGATAAACACATTTCAGTTATTTCACAGTTCCTGGGGTTTGATGAGTCAATCCCATTTTAATGTAGTTCCAGGGAAAAGCCATTTCTATATCGCATCCTCTGTGGTTGCACTTAATAGGGAAGATCAATGCTGGAACTTGACCAAAACACATTACAGAGAAACTTGAATGGCAGAGCTCTCTTAAGTCATAATGGATCCACTTAACTTCCGGAGTGGGCTCCCACCGTTCTCATTCCCTCAGATCATTTGTGGAAAATATTTTTTGGTTATACTGAACTGGGTTTTGAATGTTTATTTGTGTGCTGCACTTTGCAGCTTCTCAAACTAAAGCAACCCCGTTTGCCCCCAGCAGGGCGGCGAGTGGATGAGTTTCCATCTTCATTATCGGCGCTGCCTCATGTCTGGGTGTGACATTACAAAAGGGTGGAGACAAAACAAACCCACCTTCTCCGGTATTCACACCGCTCGGCTCCTGTGGACAATATCACACCTCTGCCATTACCACGGAGTCCAGGTTTAAATAGAAAAAGAATAAGCAATATTGCAGGCTTAAGGCGGACTGATGGATTAGACTCACCCACTGACACTTCTTGAGCAAAAGCCAGCGAGATGAGAAACAAAGGCAGCCCCGCCGCAAGAAACGTGACTATTTTGTCCACCGCCAGCTCCAGACGCACCCCCTTGTACTTGGTCTCGTTGGCGTCCTTTAATAAAAAGTCAGAAAAGACGTACTCCGTGGCAACGGTGGCAATAGCCATGACCGACGGGAACAAAAAGCCGGGGTACCCCAATTGATAAAGGAGTTTTCAATTGACCCAACCCCAAATTCCGTCTGGAAATGCAGGTTGCTGATTGATCTCAGTGGGCACAAAGGTAAATAAAAAGCAGAGAGAAACTCCTGTTTACTCGCCTCCTATCTTCACAGCCCGGGATGATTGTGAACCTGCTGTCCCGTTACGGAGCCAGACATCAGTGAGGTGCGGGTGCAGGCTGCCCTCCGCCCACTGGGGGGCGCTGTTTCTCAAGCCGTATATTCAGGTGACCAGACTAGACACCATTCAAAACCACATAGCTTTTAAGGAATTTTTTTGCTGAACTGGAAGTGAGATGTCACCAGTAGATGTTATAACAGAACAGAGCTGATATAATTATATAAGAATAGAATTGTGCTTAAAAATAACGATGGTAATCAGCTGTCATAAAATACATTATCTTCTTGTGTTATGATGTTTATCGTCACTACACAATATCTAAAACGTTCTCTTCATGTTCATTTTATTGTCATATTTTCAGGGTATGGACCTTGTCAAGATTTTGTCATCCTTGACAGTCTAACTTCCAATATTTAACAGTAAATTGAATTCGTAAGAGTAGATTGGATGTAAATCTATGGCAAAATCCAATTGTGGAGGTCTAGATTGCGTTATGGTCGTTATACACCACGGGCAATCTAGTAAACAACGAAATTTACGACAGCTCTTCCTGCTTTCTGGCAGATACTGGTTACAAAAAGGTGCGCGTTTCTAGGGAGACAGAGAGTGGGGGAACGGTTCTTGAGGAAGATGTGAGGAAACCCTCGCAGGTAGCTAAATATCAAGCCGTGGTAATAATTGTCGATAATTAACAAACAAACATGACTTAAACGTAAATGTTGTAGACGGTTACGTGGGAGTGCTCATACGTTTGCGTGTGTACAAACCTACTCAAGTCAAATGAACGGTGTCTGTTGTTAGCCCTGATAGCTACATACAGGTAATGAGTTTGTTTTAGGTAGCAGTCTAAGCTAGTTATCTTAGCAAGTCGGTACCGATATAAACGACGTGAACTCAGACGACCATAACCATGGCTAGCTGGTAGCTAACTTAACACCGTGTCCGTTTATTTTCCTGTTGTTTTTTTTTTTTTGTTAAGCAACACTGGGACATGAGGTGAACTAACTTTAGTTCCAAATGGAAAGTTCGTAAAGCTTTTCAGCATCGACATTACTGTGTTTGCTTTAGGCTGCCTATCAAGCAGTATTTCGTGGCTAAATGCACTTTAACCACCAGCCCTTGTTATCATAAAGGAGTCGGTGCCCTATTTCAGTGTAAAACTTGATGACATGTCCGGTCTCATCAGTTTCATTTCCTCCACACAGGAAAGCATGAGAGAAAAGAGAAACGACGGTGCGGAGAAAGACCCCTGTGGTTTGTATGATGGAAGGACTGGGTAAGGCCAAATCCATTTGCAGCTCTAGACCCATCCCATGGCTCAATCACCCCAAAACAGATGCCTCCACTTTGCTGTGGAAACTCAAAGACTGCTGCCCCTCAAATGAGACATCCCCTCAAACCACAAATAAAAATGTGGGTATATCCATTTTTTAAACATTTAGGAGACATGTACTCACCATCCAACTAATATATTACTGCATATGCTCTGAATTTATGATGCGTCTAGAAAGTTATTTCCCTAAACACTAGTAAATACTGAACATAAACTGCAGTGTGAGGCTGTTTGCACCTGGTGCTGACATGTCCTAGGTGATCTGATCACATGAGGACGGCAGTAAATCCAGTTTCGATTGTGCTGAGGATTATTCCAAGACATTTTCAGATCAGAGGGCCATGTTTATAAACATTTTTCTCATATTCTGCCTTTTTTTAAAAAAATTTTTACTTGAATATGCTGTTTTTCCATTTAAGTACTTCCTCCACTCTTTCCCTTTACAGATGGTACATCTGCAATATGAGTGGGTTTAGCAGAAATTTGTGAGGATATTTAATTTTGGTAAATTAAACCCATTAACCGGACTAACAGTTGCATGTTTTATTTTGGGTATTTCAGAACATCTACATGGACAGACAGGCTGTGCTAGAAGTGAAAGATGTCCCTCCTCCTCCGCACCACAGCGTCTCCTCACAATTACCTCAGCCCTTCCCTCTGGCCCCTCTTCATTTGTCTCCTCCCTGCTTGCCTCCTCCTCCTCAGCTTTTGCAAGACTCTCACCAACAACAGCCACAACAACAACTGCAAGAGGGGGCTAGCCCCAAAGTAAGCATTTGCACCCACTGTGACTATTGCAGCACAGATGGCTATGGGTTGTTGGGTGGCAGAGGTGTTGGTGGTAGCAGCACTGATGGTGTTGTTTCTCTCTATAAGGCCCAGTGTTCTCCAGGAGCACCTATCAGCAGCAGCTCTGCTCACTGCTCTGTAGCCTCATCTGTTTATGAGCTTAAACATAAACCCTGCTGTGGCAGTGGAGTTGATGTTTCTGATTCCTTGCTCAGTCTTGGTTGTAAATCTTGCGTCCCCTCTGTTGCTACCTCACAACCTCTTTCGTCGCACCCCTTCCACCCATGCTGCTCGGGGCTTCTCCACCCCTGCTCAGCTGCACCTCTCCCATGCAGTCAACCCAGCATCTTTCCCTCTTCAGCCCCGCTGGCACCGTCTGTTTCCTCTGTGTCTGCTCCTTTGCATGGCTCTTGCTTGGCCTCTTCTGGGTGTTACACCTGTGGTGTGGACTGCACCCCATCAGCCAGAAGATCCCAGAGAAGTGCACTCTTTGATTATCCGGCCACCAACACTATCACTGGTTCAACCACCTCGGCACACGTTTGCTCTAATCCTAAGCACCTAAATGTAGAAAGCACGGTTTGTGTGAAGGGGGGACACCACTGCCAGGAGTGCTTGTTGAAGGTTGGTAGAGTTCCTTTTTCACTGTGACTTTCTTTGCATGCGTGTGTCATAAATACAAAGGTAACCGGATCCAGAACCACGAATAACCCTTTGGAGTGTTTATGTGCTTTACATAATAATACTTACACCTTTCTTTTTGTGTGTTTTTATTGTTATATGGTCCTGCTAGTCCCCGGTGTCTAATGTTTTCTTATTTGCAGCCCATGAATGGTCTGACCTCTGGGCCTGATAAGGTGTGGCCCAATGTTCCCATCCCTCAGACTGCCTTGATCCCTGTCCCTCTCTGCAATGGCTGTGGCACAACACCTGATGGCAAAGCTACCATGTCATCCATCAACCTGGGCAAGAATGGGCTAAAGTACGGTAAGTGGACTTTATTTTACCATTACAGATATTCTGTGGTTTGTTGAATGTCCTGTCAGATGTGAAGTCACTTCAGATATTAGATGGTACAAAGATGCTTCAACTTACTTTTTTTTCCTTTTTTTTTTTTTTAAGGGTGTCCAGAAAGTAGTGGCCCTGAGAACATCCCTCCCGTGGGTGTCTTTTGGGACATTGAGAATTGCAATGTGCCCAGTGGACGCTCGGCCGGAGCCGTGGTCCAACGCATTCGCAGCCGTTTCTTCCCGGGACACCGCGAAGCCGAGTTCATTTGTGTGTGTGACATCAGTAAAGAGAGCAAAGCCGTCATCCAAGAGCTCAACAACTGCCAGGTATTACAAAAATGGATAAATGTTGTAAGCGTTGAGAACAATTTTACAGGTTGCCTTTACCAGTAGACTTACATTTTCTTGAGTTTGATGGGGAGAATGTGATGTACCTGTCCACCAGGTTACTGTCGCGCACATTAATGCCACATCCAAGAATGCTGCAGATGATAAACTTCGTCAGAGTTTACGACGCTTTGCTGAGACCCACACGGCACCCGCAACTGTCGTGCTGGTTTCCTGTGAGTTCACTAAAATATCCCACAGCCATGATATTGCAGAAACATCCAAGTAAAAAGTTACATTTTGTTCTTTACCGTCACCAGCGGACGTGAACTTTGCAAGCGAGTTGAGTGACTTGCGTCATCGCCACGGTTTCCAAGTGATTCTTGTCCACGGCAACCATACATCTCCAGCTCTTCTGCAGCACGCCAACCGCCATGTGGCCTTTCAAGAGATCACGGCTGATCTGCCACCACGTATGCTTGTCAAAGTGCAGGTAGGCCTCTCATTCCCCATTAGTTCCTAAAAGGCTGCTCTTTCTTTGTTTTGATTTTTATTTTTTTTTAGATGTTTTCATGAAGGTAAGTAAGTGGTGTGCAGAACGAAGAGAAAACCAGATTTTATGTGGACTTGCTGACCTGAGGCAGGTTCAGTTTTCTCTTGGGGATCTTATTCTCGACGTCTGCAGTGCTAACAGAAAGTTTTCAGAATCTCCGTGTTTTTTTTGTTGTTTTGTTTCAGATTGATCATTTTTTTCCCTGTTAAAACCAATTTTGAAGCAAAATGCCTTCCATCACCTCATGGTGACAAGTGTTCAACTTCAGCAATGTTTTGACAAATTACAAGTGATACTGGGCAAATGCAAAGTGACATTTGCTTATAATATTAAATTGAGTTTTAAGTCGTCAAACAAGAGGGAGAATTTTTTTTTTTTTTCTCTGTGCCAAGCAGCTGTTGGCTTGACAGAAGCACTATGTTAAGCACTAAGGCAAGTTGTCGGCTCTCACTTCCTCGGTTTAAACCTTTTTAAAAAAAAAAAAGGTTTTTATTGTAAACGAAAAGTTTAATCGTATCAAAAGCCAATACTCCATTTTCATCCTCACTTACACCATCAACAGTGAGGTCTTATGTAGAAAGCTGTGGGTTTCATTTTTATTCAAAGCATTTAACCAGTTTGTTTTCAGGCAGTGTTAGATGAGTCTGAAATATCTCGTTACTACAGTGTGCTGTTTTCACTGTGTACCACTGTCAGCCTCCAATTTCTTTTTGAAGAAAGACAAAAACTGCTTCAGGATTTTTCAAAAATTTTAAATGAAAATCATACAAACCACACAAGGGCGATGTCTCTTCCTCCCTTCCCTCAGCCCAGTTTCAACCTCCTCTATGTGCACAACCTCCCTGTCATCTGTGACAAGAGCCTGAGGAATGCCGTGAAGCTCAGGCTCCGCCGCCTGTCAGACAACTGTGGCGGCAAGGTGCTGAGCATGTCCCAGGGCGCCGCAGTCCTTCGCTTTGGCAGCCCCGAGGCGGCTGCACGGGCCCGCAAGCGAATGGAAAACGAGGATGTGTTTGGCCACCGAATCAGCCTCTCCTTCTCCCCAAGACTCAAAGATGGTGCAAGTCCTGAGGCTGAGCTCCACTCTCAGTCCCATCACTTGCCTCAAAATCAGGCCCAGACCTCTCAAACCCAGGAGTCAGTGATTGCCCCACCCCCGCCAGTATCCTCCTTCTCTTTTCTTCCCCTGGAGAAACCCAGGTCGCCCAGGAGGCCACGGCGGGCAACACGCCCATGCCCTATCCCTGGCCAAGAGCCTGAGAGGCCCTACAGCCCCAGGAGGGGCTCCAGTGGGCCTCCCGGTGGTGCTCCAGTCAAGCCCCATCAGGTCAGCAGACTCCTGTGCGCCTGCTTTCCATGAAACTCCGCTGCCCTCTGTCCTTGTCTGGACTGCCATGTAAATCGCATAAGCTTCTCCCCCTGCATTGTCCTAACTGCTGCTTTAACTAACAGCTCATAACTGCCTGTGCTAGCGTGTGTTGTAGTCAGTGCTTCATTTATCCCCCCCTGTCGTGCATGCATGTTGCTCATTAATCCTGATGCATGGACTGCCAAATAGCTTCTTTCTGTGTATGTAAATCTGTGCCGATAAAGCTGTGCTTTGTGGATGTCGAGTTATTCCAATATCTTTTTTTTTTTCCTCTATCTGAATTGTGTGCGGTACTTGGCTCATGACCTTAATTATCATGACAACATGCCTTTTCATGTTTTCATGTTTCATGGCTTTTTGTTTGTTTGTTTGTTTGTTTTTTTGCTTGATTGCTGCCAAAGAATCTGCTGTATAACACTGGTTACATCACTGAAGATGAGCTCATGTCCATCTGTTACTTTTTCCTTCTTTCTGCTCCTTTTTTTATTTATTTGCTTTCATGTGCTCTAACAAATTTTACTAATCATGGACCTGCCTACTGCCTAAACACAGACATGAACAAATATGCAGGCATATTAATATTTCCTCCCTTCTGCTTTTTCAGGAGCCAGTTAATACAGAGAACAAGCCCAGGGTGGGTCCTCCCTTCCTGGAAAAAGGACATGGGGTTTCCATGTCACCCCACGGCAATGGTGAGACAAAACCACTGGAGCAACTCACCAGGCCTGGGCTTACTGGAGAATCTATGTACAGAAAGAGGTACGGGAGACACGATTTCTCATTCGAATAAGTTGGAAATTACAATCTTTCACAACAAATAAAACAAAACATCACCCATCATTTTTGTTGGTTTTGTATTCATTTATTTTTTCTCTGTAGAAGGGAGGGCTCCAGTCCTAGAAGAGTGTCTGAGTTGCCTGTAGAAAAGGGGGATAGGACCACAGCGGAGTTCCACATTAGTACACCCTCAGCCTTCAGCAAGTTGAATCTTCACAGGAGCTTCAGTCCTCTTGTGTCTCAGGGCTCCTGGTCCTCCAGGTACTCATGCTGCTGCTTACACATTAGCCAGCCTGTCGTCACGCTAAAAAGAACAGGCTTTGCTAGCTGTTTTTTTCAAACGTGTATTTCTTCCACAAAAGGAGCGCATCCCCCTCCCTGTCCAGCCGCTCCTCGCCACTGCTCACCACCCCTCGCAGCCCCTGCCCTGAAGGGGCCCCCGAGCCTTTCTCCGATGGGGCGGAGGTTCAGGTGGCCAACCTGGACTACAGAATGTCTCGTATGGATCTGCAGCAGACACTGCGTGATACATTCTCCCAATATGGACAGGTAAAAGAAAAACATCAACTCAATTAGGTCACACCTCCAGTGGATTGGAACATTGTGGTTTGCATGCATTGAGATTCAAGGTGGCTCTTTTCCTCCAGTTCTCTTCGTGCTCTGACTTGTTTTGTCTAGGTGAAAGCTGTGGAGCTCAGCCCCCACACTGATTATCAGCTGAAGGCCACAATTCAGATGGGTTCCCTGCAGCAAGCCATCAGTGCCGTCAGTGGCCTGCACCGCTACAAGATCGGAGGCAAACGGATTCAGGTGTCTCTGATCACCGGGGGCAACAGCAAATCTCTTTCTTTGCTCAGGTAAACCTTGCATTTTGAATTTGGTGAATATTGTGTTCATGGTCATCAAAAGTTGGAACATTCCAACTATTCTTTTTGTTTCTTTCATTCACAGCACAGAGATAATCTGTATTCTTCAGGATGCACCTGCTAACTGCCTTCCTCTGTTCAAGTTCACTGAGATCTATGAAAAAAAGTCAGTACCCATCTTGACCACTATTCAAATTTGAACAACTTTGTTCAGTCTTGTTTAGCTCTAAATCAAGAGTTGAAAATGTCACATGAAAATTAGGTGCATGTTTAAGTTTTGTCTTTTTTTTTTATTATTTCTCCTCTCTGCTGTAGATATTCTCGCAAACTGGCTGTTGGTGACCTCTACAGACTGCCAGACCTGCTTTCAGTGCGGGAGCAGGGCGGCTCAAAGCTGGTGTGCCTTCTGCAAAATGGCCAAATCCGTCAGAGTCCGCTGGGATCCTCACAGTCCCAGGAGGGCTCCTCCTCAACCAGTGGGAGCCCAGTTGTATTTGAGGAACTCGAGTACCACGAGCCTGTTTGTCGGCAGCATTATGTACAGAAGGACTTCAGGTATAGATACTTTTCTATACTGTTCTTGAAGAGGTGTTGGCATCCTCCATCTCTAACGGGGAGATCTGTCCTTTTTTTGTAGTGAGGCTGACTTTGACCCTGACTCCTACAAAATCCCTTTTGTTGTGATGTCTCTGAGCTCTTTGGCCTCAGAGCTCCACAGTCTGCTGCAGTCACATGAGGGCACTCTGCCCCTTCTCAGGTATCAGTCACCACATCTAAGCTTTTTACTCCAAACTTGTTTCCATATATACTACAACATTTGCTCACAGCATGAAGTAACGTGTGACATCCATATACTTAAAAAAAAAATGTTTTTTTCAAAACTTCTGCATAGTTTCCCGGACTGTTATGCTGCAAAATTCAGCCCTCTGCAGCTTGGCAATGAGACAATGGAGGGTGGCGTTCCTCTGGAGCATCTCATCACATGTATTCCCAGTATCACAGTCGTCACAGCTCAGAATGGATTCAAAGTCATCAAGTGGGTCCACAACAAACCACCTGGACAAAACTCTGGTAGGAGTATTCCCACTTGTCAGAATTCTGAGCTTGATAAGTTCATTTTGAGCAGTCTTGTGTGCACTTGTCCACGCAGAGCCATGGATTCAGCGCTGCAAGAGCCCGGTTGGTAATCCCCAGCTCATTCAGTTCAGCAGGGAGATCATTGACCTGCTGAAGAGCCAGCCGTCCTGCATCATGCCAATCGGCAAATTCATACCCTCATATCACCATCACTTTGCTAAGCAGTGCCGTGTCTCCGACTACGGCTTCTCCAAGCTGCTGGAGCTTCTGGAGGCTGTGCCACATGTCCTACAGGTAGCGCTATGGGACCAGTCCCTTTTTGTGACCCATTAAACGTAATCTTCTTTAAAATGTTGTCATTTTTAAATGTATTTTCTTCAATAACAGATCTTGGGAATGGGCACCAAGCGTTTACTGACCCTGACACATCGTGCGCAAGTGAAGCGCTTCACCCAAGATCTGCTTAAACTGCTCAAGTTTCAGGCCAGCAAGCAAGTGGCGATCAGGGACTTCATGCAGGCCTATCATTGGTCAGTGAACCGTATTTGGAGCCGTTTCCTATCACAACTCAACCGTCTCTGAAGAGTTTGGATCATTAACTTCATGGAGATCAGTAACATGTTTGTAAACCCTGCATATCAGGTGCTTCTCCAGAGACTGGAGGGTCACAGACTATGGCATATGTGACTTGATGGACCTGCTGACAGAGATCCCAGACACCACCATCACTATTGCACACCAATCAACAGACACCATCATCTCAGTTCCCAAGAGGGGTCAGTTTAAAGCAGATTCTCTTTATCTTTTCTATAATGAGTTGTAAATATTCATTACTTTCCTACTTTAGAAAGAACTTTAATTAGATTGAAAATAACTATGAATTCATGTCAAAAAAGTTTCTTTACAGTACTTGTCTAAAGTAACTTGTGTTTACATGCCTCCAGTTGTCAAGATGTCTCTTTGTCTTGATATTTTGATTTAATAGAATATTTTGCCTGGTGTGAGCAGACCATTTAGCTTCTTTTTGTTCCAGAGCGTACTGCGGAGGAAGTGGAGCGAACCAAGCAGTTTGGGAAGGAGGTGGTGGACCTCCTCCGTCACCAGCCTCACTGCCGAATGGCCTTCAGTAAATTCATACCCACTTACCACCACCACTTTGGTCGCCAGTGCAAGCTCAGCTACTACGGATTCACCAAGCTGATGGAGCTCTTTGAAGCGATCCCTGATGTTCTGATGGTAAGCTGCTTTTTGTTTTTGGGACATAAAGGTAGTATATTTTAAACAAATATAATTTTTCCTTGCATATTGATCGTTGAAAGGTAATGTGTAACTATAACAGCCCCCGTTTACCCTTTTGTGGTACTTTATAAATTGCACTTTTTACCTGGGTTTGTCTGCCTTCTGCTGGCCATCATTTCGACATGAAATTGTCCCAAATGTATTTGGATGCTCCCTTTATAATAAATGCCGTCCCAATTGCTTCCTCAGGTGTTGGAATGTGGTGAGGAGAAGGTGCTGACTCTGACAGAGGTGGAGCGTGTCAAAGCTCTGGCAGCTCAGCTGGTCAAGCTGCTACGAGCTCAGAAAAACTCCAGTCTTCCTGTCAGCCAGCTGCTTCCAGAGTACAGCAAGACCTTCGGTTATGGTCTGCGTCTGCAGGACTATGACGCGACCTCTCTGCCCGCCCTGCTGGCCAAACTCTGCCATGTTGTCAAGGTAAGACACAGTGTGGCTTTTCTGCATTTTGGTGTGGAAGCCCAGAGGCTTCCAGTCCTCATACCGTTTGAACCACTACTGAAAACTCAGATGACCATATTAAGGAACAGTTTACCTCTCTACAGTAGTTCCTGGGACTAAGAACTAAGAGCCAAAGCAGACAGCTTTTACCACTTTTACATACCAATAAGTTTGTATTTCCTAGGTGGTGGATGGCTCTGAGAGTCGTGAAGTGCAGCTGATCAACAGGAAGTCTCTGAGGCTGCTGACCTCTCAGCTGCTTGCTCTGCTCATGTCCCAAGAAAAGGATCAAGTCTCCAAAGGGATGAAGGTAGAGGAGCTGAGCCACCATTACCAGATTCTTCACGGAAACCTGCTAAATCCATGTGAATACGGGTTCCTGTCCCTCAGCGAGTTGCTCAAGAGTCTCCCATATCTTGTCGAGGTTGGAAAAATAGATGTCATTCTTCAGTCTTATGAGTTCTTGTTTTGCTTGCTTAAGCTGTGGTTAATGTTGGTGACCCTTTTCTCGTATTCATCTAGTTGTACCAAGAAGAAGGGGATGGCGGCCCAGCCAGCGGTGGTGGCGATGAGTGGGTGAGGCTCACCGGGCTCTACCACTTTGCTGGCAACGTTCGCGCGCTGCTCCACACCTACCACTACAACCAGATCTTCCTGACCGAGTTCCCGGGCGCTTATAGCAAATTCACGGGCCGCAGCCTTGAGCCGCGCTCTTTCGGATACTTCAGTACAGATGAGCTGCTTGGCGCCATCCCACAGGTGAGTCGATGCTCAGGAGTACAGTTAACCTCTAAAACAGAAATGCTGAGACCCACTCACACAGTGATCTGTGTTGGTTTGACATCTTTGGCTGTAATCAGGTGGTTTGGATCAAAGGGCACGGCCACAAGAGGATTATCGTTTTGAAGAACGATATGAAAGGTAAAGGCTTATCTGTCACGTTTCATTAGTTTAGGTTTCGGAGTAAAACCGGCATGTTGGACACGCTTTTAGGACGGAAGGAAGATTTCAGTGTATATGTGCTATGATAATGTGGCTTTATTTTGTGTACGTGTCCTTTCAGCTAGAGCAGGCTCCTCTGTGCCCAACGGCTCCCAACCAGAAGAGAGCGCAGAGAGCCCGAGAGATAGTCCTGTCAGCACAGCAACATCTGGAACCCAGAGTCCAGGTAATGCGTGAAACCTGACAGATTGCTTCTTTTAGGTTTCACCTTTTGTGTTAGTGCTGCGAACATGTATAAGACCACATAAGGTTCCTGAAAACATTATCCTGAGATAGTCTTTACTATTCAACTTTTTATGTTTTTTCTTTTTCCCTTTTTTCTTTTTTTTTTATGAAGGAAGGTTCCTAACTAAAGAAAATGACCTGGAAATTTTAGATGATAAGCATCTGTCATGCTGGAAATATGCTTGATTGGGCATGGCTGCTAAATATATGCTAAATTTGTTTAGCCTGCTGCCGGTATTGTCTGGCATAAACAAAATGAGAATGCACTGACAGGCCCAGTGTGAGGCCAGACCAGATGTTGTGTCACGGTGCCCAACAAGGCAACAGCTTCATGTAGTAAAGGCTTGAAGAAAAATCTTTCAGCCAAATCTTCTATTGGCCACATATTCATGATGCATCTGCACCATTTTTCATCCTGTAATTGCTTCTGTTTTGCTCTTTTCTGCCAGGTGTTGATGCAGCTGAAGACTCGGAGCTGCTGTGTCTCACGGCCTCCCTGGACCTGTTGTGCGGGCCTGTGCCGTCCTGCCTGCCCTCCCCTCTGCTCCACCCGGACCCGGTCCCCCCCCAGCACGTGGACCTGATTCACTTTGAGAAGACTCCTCCACCTCGACTACCGACAGGTCAGATTTGAATGTTTGACTCCAAACGAGGGGTCGTTTTTAAGGCCCGGTTTGTTTCCCTGGCCCAGTAGTTGCCTCCGTCACATGGAAGCGCGGTCTGTGTTTGTGTGTGACAGCAGAAAGCGTTGGAAGCGATGCAGCTGCTGATGAGCCGCCTGAGTGTCCAGCCCCCCCTGAGGTCAAGAGCCTGTTGTCCACAGACAGCCCCGGAAGAAGAGCCTCGCGTAGCAAAATCAAACTAGCCGCCAACTTCTCGTTCACAGCGGGAATCTGATCCCACACACACACACAAACACACACACACACACACACACACACGTGCTGCTCACAAACCGTAACTCTAAGTGGAAGACTTGAGTTGCGTCAAACGCACAACAAAACAATAACCCTTAAAGAGTATTTGTCTCGTTACCTCGACACCCCAGCATTACTTTCCTTTCTGCTTCTCGTCACACCTTTTTTCTTTTTTTTATGTTTTCAATCTTTCACTGATGTTCACCCAGCTGTGATCTAGTCATTGCAGATTTTCTGCAGTCGTTTCATTTGCTAGTTCAGCTGCTGAAGACTGTTCATGTTCATCCCATCGGCGGTTGATTTCGGTGTGCACTGTTCTGAGAGCTTCCTGTGAATGAAAGTGAGTTGGTTGTCACTGTGTACCGAGCGTTGTTCAGCAATGGTAGAAACACTACTAACAAATGACTTCTATACAAATTCAAAGAAATGTAGCTGCCCACATTTTCAGTTTGTAACATTGGTATTTAAAAGAAGGTTTTAAAATAGATTATGAAAGTTATGTCAAGACATCTTCTGAATTATTTCCTCATTGTCTCTCTAAAGACAACTCTGATTTAAACCAATATTTTCTCATTTATGGAACCTTTCTGTCTCGTTAACTCGTAAAAAATCAAGTGATTCCCGCTCACCATCCCATAGGCTCATAGTTTCTGAATTTTTTAGTAGTAGTATCTTATCTCTGGGATAAGTTCCCCTGTTGGAAAAGAAGCCTGCATGTGTTTTTAGTTCCTTTTGTACTCTGCAGAGAAGTCATCTGTGGACATCTGGTCTAAATGTGAAGTAAAATGAGGGCAGTTCAGCGATGGAACTGAAGACAAATGGCTGTTTTTAAAGGCTTGGATCGAAAGGTTTGACTTGTATTGCATCAGTGGCTGCTCTCTTGATGATTTTTGTTAGTTTGTTTTTTCATTTTCTTTTATTGTACCAAGATCATGGCTGGGTTTTGACTTGTCTCTTTGTCCAAATCGAAGCCGTGTGTAAAGGAGAGGGGCCTCACTGGGTATTCCTACTGTGCTCCGGCAGCAGACCCACACTTTTGTGTTTGTCTTTAGCCAGCAGTCGGTGTGTTTTTGTCTTCTTTTAGCTGTGTTTTGTCTGTGTGGTGTAGATTGGAGCAGGTGGTGTGAAATGTGCATGGAGTGCATAACTGAGTTTATGCAAAGCGTGTAACCCCAGGAGGAGCAGGGAGCGAAACATTTAAGATCAGCCTTGATTTCCACCACGGTTTTTGGGTCTCGGCTTGAGCGTCCCCTTCGCAGTTGCCTTGTAAAGAGCTCAAGGTTTGTAGAGATAACCTTTGCTGCCGGTGGGCACTGCGGTAGTGGTGCAGTCCGACGTGCACTGAGTTCGGTTTTTGTTTATTTTTTTTGTACGTTTTTTTTCTTTTTTAACGTCCCAGTGAATGGATGTGAGTTTTAGGAAGAGATGGGATGGAGGTTGTGGGTTTGAGGACCAGACCGGAGGCTTTTGGAGGCCTCCTGAGCAGACTGACCACACAGAGGACCCTCTGCGGCTCTCTGGAAGCTACCGGGCTTTTACAATGGCTTGTATTTGCCACGGCGCAGAAAAAGAAGAGAGGTTCTCTCCTCCCCACCCTCTCACACCCCACACGGAGAAGTTTTAACTAGCAGATGCGCGTTCGTTTCTCAGCATTTGTTTCTTTTGTCTTAAGTGTTTGATCGGCTGCTGAAATGCCACCAAATGTCTGCTGCCCCCCGAAGCCGAGCACCACCCAGGTGCCACTGGAGTCATAGGTAGGGCTCTTTGTGTTCACAGAAGGCTAGAGCGCATGGGCCAACGCCCACGTCATCAGTTTGTTTGCGTTTCCTTGCAGATTCTGTGTTTTGAAGTATTCTAACAAGAGTTTTTCTTAGTCAAAACTGGATTTCAACCCAGTCTGAAAGTGGCCCCTCAAATGCGACATGCAAATCGGAATCCTTTTTAGAGTCAGAGTTCAGAGTAATTATTTCAAATTGTGGTTTAAAAAGGGAAAATGGCAGCATGAAGATGTTACTTTGAGAAGTTGCCAGGCATTGCTGAAATTCAGAGTACCTCAGTGACAACTAACTCATTTTACCGGGCTCCTGTTTAGTTTAGATCGGTGAGAAGCTGCTGTACCTGTTTGAAATATGCATTTCTGCATAGTTTTGGTTCATGAAATACATGTTTGAAAAGGGGTTAAAACAAGTAATCTTTCTCGTAAAGTAAACTTTCTGTGTCCTAAGTCGGTTGTTCAACGGTAGATTTTAAGGGACTTGTTTATTCAGACGTCCTTGAAGTGTTTTCCTCGTGGTGACTTTTTCTTTACCTGCTCAACACCTGTCTGGCCACACCCGCCCCCCTCTGTCACGTCCTTTTACTGCCCTGCTGCAACGGAGGCGGTCGTTACGGTTAATGTTCATGGGACCAAAAACACTTCCATTAATAAAGTTCACAAGCATCAAACCCGGCTTCTCGCGTTTGTGTGAATCCCAAAACAAACACACGGCACATTCCTGAAAGATGCTCTTTATTGAAACACATATGTACAAGTAGTTTCAGCTTATTTTTCTGCATATTTACTGTTGGGACCCTCATAAATTCACTACAACTACAGAAGTTATCGGTAGGAAGTAAAAGTGACAAAGCAACACTCTGCCCGACACAAATCACTGATGCTTTAAATACACTCAAACACACACATACAGGATATTGGAGGCTTTTAAACGAGTTTTAAATCAGTTCTGGGCGTCTTTATCATAAAAATGAAAGTCTAAATTCAAACGATGCGAGTCTGTCTGCAGTATTCGTGACTGCTATGGTTGAAGTCTTACTACCATAGTTAATATTTCCAGGTAGCTGCAGAATGAGCGAGCGGGACGAGAGTCGAGCGCTGGTATTTACAGCCGATGACGTCAGGATGTGCAAAACCCAAGAGAATACAGAGGTGAGTCATGTGTAGCTGACGGCACTCGACTCGCTTCGAGGGGTCGGCCATATTTTAGAGTCGACTTTTCATTTATTGTACATTAACGTTCTGCCTTCCCGGCCTGGTTTCCGCAGGACGTCAGTGCATTTCCTTGGTTTACCCAATAACCGTCTATTACCTGAGAGGCCTTTCTGTCCACTTCTCCTCTGGCACCAAACCAAATCCCTAAATTGAATTTCCTTCATTAATTTGCTCTGCTCTGGAAGCGATCAAGCAAAATCCCCCTTGTTCATGTATATCCTTTAAAGTGCCACCAAGCCTCCTCTGCTAACTTTAAAGTGTGCAGTGGTCACCAGAAGCTTAATCTGTAAACTCTGTGAGATCATTTCTCAACTGTCCCCACAAAAGCACCCTCAGGCCGCCAGTGTGAAGCAACCTTTTCCTTCACTGGTTTGTGGGAGGCCGTGTTTGCATTTCATAGCCAGCTACGTTCTGCCTAACCCTGAAAAAAAAGAATATTGTAAAACGCAGAATTATTAAGCTCCTGAAAGTCTGAGGTTCATATGTGGGCACAGAGTCAGTCGAATGATACATGGCAGACTGGAAATGTCTTTCTCTTCTTCCCCCCTTAGTTCACCTTGTGGACGTTGTGCTTGTACTATCAGATGCATCACAGGTTTAAAGGAATGTAACGTGACCGAATGATCTGATCTGCCTCCGAGTCAACAGACTGAATAAATATACAGACACGGTTATCAGATTTTTATGTACAGTTCCGTTTAAAGCTCCCCCTGGCTTTACTTTAACAAACTCACTGTCAGGTTTCCCTTGAACGCTGATTAGGGATCAGTTCCCACACGCCTGCGGTTGAGGTGTAATTATGATTCCTGAGCAGATTCAAGGGCAAACTCTGCTGCCTGTGGTTCTCTGAGTACCAGGAAGTGATCAGGTCATGCGAGCGCTGTGACACGGCGCCGGGAGGAGGTCGCCGTGGGTTACATCACGGCGCACTGGGTGGCTCCACAGCAGTCCTTTATGATGGCCGCTCCGGACTTGGTGATGGATGGTTTGTTGGCGGGTGGCTCTGGGATGCATCGCTTGGTCTTTGGAGGATCTTTTCATTTAAAAAGAAAAAGATATTAGCAAACAAGTCCAAAGCTTTCTCTTTCTAAGTAAGCTGAAACGCTCTCACTCACGCTGTGCGTCTTTGAGTTTCTGTTCCAGAGGCCTCAACTTCAGCCTGAGGAACTCCGCCATCTCTATGTCCTCCTCTTTCTCCCTGCGGGGTGATAAAATCAAATCTGTGCTGAACGCAATAAACGTCAGAGATTATCTGACTTGTATGCCGTCAATGGCAGAACATAACAGCCGAGTCTCGCTACGTCTTATTATTGCATTTGTATTTCAGCGTCAGGTTTTCTGGAGGATAAATCCCTGCCCACTTATTTCTGATGCATATTTTTAGTAAGAACTTTATCTACATTTCAATAAAAAATGAGCTTTTTTTTTAAACATATACTTAAACAGCAAAAAAGGTAGCCTTCTGTAAAATGCAGCCTATTGTGTGTTTACTTCTAATTCAATGGCAGCAGTGGGGATTGAAAAAAAGAAAAAAATGGGGCACTTTTACATCTGTGTTGCATCACCTCCTCTGACAACAGCCTGGAGTGGTGGCACAAGCTGCTGTTTTCTTTTTAACAAAGTCTTTAGTCTCCCTTTTTGTATTCTATATAACGCATAGTCATAAAGCCTGATAGTCATAGAGCCATTCTGCTGTTACACACATGTAACGTGGGGTTTATCTTGCTGAAAAAGCAAAAAAAAAAAAAAGAATTCACTGTAAAAATGACAGCATTGTGCAGGTCTTGAGTCAGCCTTTTTCCTTGTTTCCCTTCCTCGAAAATACGTTCTTGACAGCAACCTTTCATGGAGATGGTTTCTGACAAGGCTTTGAAAAGCAGAAGCTGGACCAGCTTAAGGTCAAGCTGCATCTCTCCTGTGTCTGTTTTCCTCTGACTTTAGGCCCTCACTTTCAGATGTTCATCTACAGCAGTTTTTTGTTTTTTTTTCAGATCTGCCACTTCTTCTGTCCTCCAGTTTCTTAAAACGTTGTCAAACACAATGCGTGCCATGCTAAATCCTGGTTGGGACCAGCTGCTGCTATACAAATTCAATTTGTGTGTCTGTTGACCTGTGTAGGGGCCACTGGGGTTCGAATGGGTGCCCCCACAAACAAAATGTCTCAGAACACAGTTTACACACACATTCCTCAAAAAACAGACACAAGTTCCCTTGAAAATGTTCAAAAGGGCATTAAGATGACGTCCCGGATATTAACTGGGCTGTACCTCAATCTCTCCACCTCGGCATCGTCCACCAGGAAATCCCTTTTCTGCACCAGCTTATGGATCTTCAGGATCAGCTCCTCCTCCCGCTGCTTGTGCTTCTTGTTTTTTTCTTTCTCTGTTGAGCAATAAAAAAAAACAAAAAAAGGTCACCAACATTCTACTGTAATACATCTAATAGTGTTTCATAAATCCACTGTTGGAAAACTGATTTCAACCCTTTAAAATAATAATAAAAACATGAAAGCAGAAGCAGGAGTCTTTGATGCTTTTATCTGGCTGACCTTACAGCAAAGTCAGCCGGCTCTCAAACACTGAGTCACATCATACTCCTAATTTCCCTTTAATGTTTTATGAACAACTACTGAGGCACTAACTTAATTATGCAAATGCAGAGAGCTCTTCTTTTCAATGTGGATTTGCAGCATCCCTTTCGCTTTGCTAATCCTCCACGTACAAAAGAGAAAGAGAAAAGCCGAGCAGACCGCAGTGATTGTGCACAAACACTCGCTTATGTTTGGGCTTCTGGTGTCCGGTCTGCTCGCATAAAGGCAGCTGAAAAAAGAGACTGCTCGCGTCAGCTCTTTCTCCCGTGTGGGAATGAAGTGGAGCGGCGCCTGTCCCCCAGGGGGGGTCAGGACACCCTGAAGGGTGCAGGACTGTGAGCGGAGTAGCCACCGCTAACACCTTCACACACTGATGATTTGTTGTGGATGTTCTCAAATCCAGTTTTTGTAAATATCCATCCATCCATTTTCCTAACCGCTTATTCCCATAACAGGATCCCAGTAGTCAATGGGTGAGAGGTGGGGTTTTACCCTGGACGGTCCCCAGTCCATCGCAGGGCCACACAGAGACACACAAGGACCAAGCACACACACTCACATTCACTCCTAAGGGCAATTTGGAATGTCCAATCAACCTAACATGCAGGTTTTTGGACAGTGGGAGAATCCACGGAGACACAGGGAGAACATGCAGACCCCAAACAGAAAGGTCCCGGTTCCCCCAGGGGACTCCAACCCAGAACCCTCTGGCTGTGAGGCAACGGTGCTAACCACACCACCCGTTTTTGTAAATATGTCAGGGGATAAATGTGAATAATTCCCCTGAAGATGTATGGAAAAAAAAGCAATCAATAGGCCTAAAAAAAAAAAACCCTGGACCGTCAGGTGCTGGAGTTATTTTCTCCAGCGGGCCTGGTTGTCAGGCGTTTGAGTAAAAAAAAAAAAAAATCCCCCCCGGTGTGCGCGTCCTTGAACACGACACCGGCGTTCTGACACACGATGTACACACACGCTCCCGGAGGAGGCGTGTCCTCCTGCTGTTGCCGGCTACTGTACTACTGTTACTACGGGCGATGAAGCCTGACGTCAGAGCAGTGACTCAACCTGCTGCAGCTCAGACCACTGCAACGCAACACTGTCTTTGCCTTTGCCTCCACGCCAAATGCAAAAGCAGGGAAAACTCCCATGGCGTAAAAAAAGCACGGTTATTTTGAACTCTATGCCTGGAATGCATTCCCAGCTCGTTCAGCTGTGATGATGCAGTGTGGAGGATTCTCTCTGCCTTGTCCCTGAGACTTACCATCCATCAGGCATAGTTTAGTAACAGCAACAAGCACGTCTATAAATCAGATTGATGTTTCCTGGGAAGGGGGGGTGGGGGGGAATGGGAGCTGTCTCTCCTGAAATACTAACAGTTTTTTTCCTTTTTTTTTTTGCAGAGCAATCAGAGTGTAAACTGTACCTGGTACGGCCACAATCTGTCTCAGCTCCTGCTTTAGACTCATGATGTCTTTGCACAGCTGAATGTCGTCCATCCTGACAGAGAGAGAAAGAGAGAGAGACAGAACAATGAATCACTGCTTTTTGCAGATTAGAGAGGGCACGATATTATTAGCCGCTTCCACTTTGGATATCTGACTGAAACGGTGTCAGACGGGATCTCTAAAATAACTTTTTTACATTCGGCCTGGACGGGGGCGAAACACTTTGTTTCCAATTGTTTTTTCTCTTTTTTTGTGTGTGTTTACTGTCACAAACTCTTAGTGTCACGGTCTGATGTTTGAATCCAAAAGAAGAATGTCATCATTTCCCCTGAGATGGTGACAGCTCCTCTGTGTTTTCATCCCAAAAACATGCAACACGGTGAACATTCAGATCACTTCAGAGAGAGAAAAGCAGCAGAGTGACTTCAGTGCTGGGTGGATCAGTGACACGCAGCTGCTAATTAATCTCTTTCACTCAGCTTGCCTGACTTGTCACTGAAGGAAATCACACGTTTCCCCACGTTAATATCTGATTGACGAGCCGTCGCCTGACTAATCTCCACCAACTATTCCGACAGCCACCCCAGACTTAATTCTCCCTCTGATAGATCCGGCTGATGACTCATCTGCAGCCCCCCCCCCCAAACCCCACCACCCCTCCTTCTTCCTCCCTCTTTCTCTCACTGTTGCTCCAATTTACACCTTCCCATCTTCTTTCTCCTCACAGGCCCTCCCCTTTTTTTCACCCTGCTTTTTCTCACTTCTCTACTTTCTACTCTTTAAATTGAATCCACGCTGTTGGGCACACTGAGTCAGGCGGAGTCTGTCCCGGCCCTAATGAAGCCTTTTTTAGAGAGCGTGCGAACAAAACCGTTTTAAGCGAGCGCGCTCTCTCTCAGGGCATCGGCATCATCTGACAGCTTCCCCCGTCACACTGCAGATGTTAGTGGGTGGAGTGAGTTGCAGAGCCGAGGCCAATTTACAGTTTCAAAAGCAAGAAACTGTTGTTGTTGTTTTTTTGCATCCCTCCCCCCATTTGTCTTAAACCTCTGCACTGACGTCTAAGCAAAAAATCTACTGCTTGAGAATTAAAAACCAGATAAATGATGTGTTTATCAATGTCTACAACTGTGAAAAAATTGCATTTGTGACTATAATGCCTCACCAAACAAAAAGACAAACAACCTCCATGTGGATTTTTCTGAGGAAACCCAATCGATGAGCAGAGCTATATTTCTCTTTTTAACCGTAACTGCTGCATTGAGGAGCTCTGTTTATAAATCAAACAACCATTTCAGGGGACAGGAGATCAAACTAAACTATCCATGAGATTGGATAAAATACAGGGATGTGTTTGAAAGTGTTAAGCACACTAATAAAAACTTGGCAGCATTGTGATTAACCAATGTGTTTTTGGAAGAAGTTACATAACCTCCTGAGACCCGAGCTTTTATTTGGTGTTCATTTTTGCTATTTCTTTAAGATATATGGGATTTGTTGGACCTACTAAGTTTAATAACTACATTTTGTCATGGTACAGGTAGTTTTTCTTCGTATAGGCTCAGTGGTGTTGTCTTTATATTCAAAATGTTTGTTTATATATCTATTTAAATGTTTTCGTAATTTGGTTCTGATGAACGTGATTGGTGAAAATGTATAAAACCACTTTACTGTAGATTTCAAACAGTAGTGTCTGAAAGCGTCTGCTAGGAGAAGAAGTCAAAGTGGAAAGAAAAAAGAAGTGTCATGGTAAACAGAGACAAAAACGTAATGTCCTTGTATGAGGATGCAGGCTCTCAGCAGGATCATGAACACAGATAGAGATCACTTTGACTTTGTTATCACCTGATACATGAAAATAAACAGAGAGGATAACAGCATTTAAAGCTAGGGGGTAAGAGCATTTCTCAACTCAAAATATGAAGAAAAGTAGAGGTTTTGGAACCGAGAGGCTTTGTAGGACCAAAAAGACCACATATAAGGAGGATTATTGAGAAAAGCCTTCATTTCCCTGGACTCTGGAACATAGAATGAATCGGTCTTGCTTTGTTTCAGAGGGGTGGGAGCATCAGAGTTGGAGCTGGACGATGGGCTGCACCCCATTTTGGGTCTGCTGGCCAATCCAGCAGACCCAAATGCACACGGTGGCTTTTCATAGGTCAGTTGGAATCATAACTGTGAGATTGTTGTCTTAATCTGAGAGTTAGCAAAACAAAATATCACACTAATTCCTCCTTTTTTTTCTTTTGTTTTTTGTTTTTCTTGAGCAGCCTGTCCAACGATCCATAATCCCTGAAGCTCCTGATGATGAGGAGACGGTGAGTTCATTTTCCGTCTGGTGCTGGCATGTCCCGGCCTCTGAATAATCAATGGACATTTCCAAAGGGCCGACTTGCTCTGAGCCGGAAGGGAAAAGCACTCGGAAGCCACTGTAGCGCCTCACACCAGGGCGTAAATCACCACGGCGACCGGACAGGCCCCATCAGAAGGACAACGGGGACCGCTGGTACCCCTGTTCACTCACATGAAGCGCAGCTCGGACTCCCGGCGCACCAGGACCTCCCGCAGGCGCTGGATACGGGCCATCTCCACCTCGATCTCCTCCGGAGACATGGTGCTCTCCGCCATGGACACGTCCGAGTGGCCTGAGAAAACAGGGGGACCACAGGGTCAGAACAACGCAAGGCTGAGGATGAGGACGAAGGGAGCAGGAACTCTCAGGAGAAGAGGAAGAAACCAGCGGGGCCCTGCCATCTTAAATGACAGAGGGGGGTTATTCCGCACGCCAAATGACAGACTCAGTCAAGACAGCAGCTGGATCTGATTCTAATTTGTTTTTTCTTTCTTTTGATTCATCAAAGTGCTCTCGTGTGTCTGCCTTTTGGGGAAAACCTGTCCTCTCGCCGGAGCCAAGTGCACAACATTTGGTAAGAGAGAATTTTTAATAAGTTTAAAGACACAGACAGAGCTAGAACTGGAGCCACAGTAAAGCAGGAATATACGCCACAGGCACTGTGAGGCCTTTTTTTCAGAGAGGAGGGTTATAGAAGCATAAAATACAGCACTGGCCACTCATAATCATGACATGCAGGCACCGGGGCCACAGATACTAACAGAAGCCACCATCTAACGGAATAATCCGGGCAGCGGAAACGCGGCCAGATGCCAAATACTGGCTTCACTTTTGGTGTGTTTCACAACTAAACAAAAAACCCCGCTGCCAACTTACCAGGCAGGCAGGGGTCTAATAGCACATGCTGATGAGTTGGCGTTGACTGCTTTATTTTTGGTCTTTTTGACAGAATACGTCCAGATCAATGATCTAAATAATTCTGTTTTTTTAGTTCTCCGAGACACCATCACTATCCTTTTAAACATCAGATAGATCAGACACTTTGTCTGTAAAATTCCAAAGAGTTTGCCCTCCCGCAGAAGGCTCGGGACCAGTTTGATGGGCGTCCCGTCTTTGAACACCGGCTCCTATGCAGTCTTTGGCGGTGGTGGCGGCTCTCTGAGGATGGAGCTGACTCACCCCGGCAGACAGACGTCTGCACAGGAGGGCCCCGTGCCTCTGAGCAGTATCCAACAGCAGATGCCGAGGCTAATTCAGAGTCGGTATCTCTCTGGATCTGTGACAGCAGCATTGTTAAGCCGACGCTAGCTTTTTTCTTTTCTTTTCTTTTTTTTTTTGCTTCCCGTCAGTAACACCCAGCAGCAGAAAATTGATTGACTCCACAAAGTGGCAAAGCTTAATTACAGGCTCACATCTCCCTCTAAAATAAGCAAGTATAAACAAACAAAAAAAGTCTAATTATCGCCTTGAAAATCTCATATTTTTAAAGACTTTCCGATCATTTTTGGAGGGGCACATTGATGGAGAACATGGCACAGAGGACGATAACCAGCATGGACCAACATGGACCAGCATGGACCAGCATGGACCAGCATGGACCAGCATGGACCAGCATGGGGCAGCATGGACCAGTATGGACCAGTATGGACCAGCATGGACCAGCATGGACCAGCATGGACCAGCATGGACCAGCATGGGGCAGCAACTGTGGTGGCACAAGAAGGCAGATTATAAAATATGAGGGAATTTACTTCTTAATGATTTGCCACTTGTGTTCCTGGTGAGTCCATTTCAACACCATATTTGGTTCATTTCGTAGAACTAAATCCACATTTTGGTTAACATTGTAAAATTCAAGTATATTTTGGGGCTGGCTTTGATGGAGAAGTAAAAACTAATCAAATAATTTGGCACAAATTTAGCTTTTTAACCTTTGTCAAGTACACAAATTGCTTCATGAGTTTCCAAATCACTTCACACTGTTGCCATCCCAACCCATGGAAACTGGTTCTCACAGGACCCGTACAGTCACACTGGCTGGTTTGTGGGTTCTCAGTGAGGGACTAAAACCCTCTGTGGGTTTTGCACTTCAAAGAGTCTCCACATACACCAGGAGATGCTTCCACACTAAAAAAAATAATTAAATCATTGAATTCTACACCAGGTAGCTGTTTGAAAATGTGAGAACTAACATATGATGCCAAATACTGTTTTTTTTTATACATCATAGCCACTCTGGGAACTATCAGCTGGAAACTCATGGATTCAAAATGCCTCTCAACCAAAGAGGTGACATTGTGGTATTTAAACTGTATAAATCATCCAGATGGTGTAAAGTCGGCTTGTTTTTTTTTCTTTCTGATCTTTCACAGTTCTGGAAAACAGTTTCATTATAATGACTTAGAAAACCCCTGAGGGACGTAAAGCCGACATGTTTTCTTATCAAAAGTAGATTTTTCTCCGACAGCCGACAGCAAACTTTGACACCAACACTCTTCCTCCTCACGTTGTTCTCTGATGTAACGCTCCTCGCGCAGGTCGTTAGAAGATTAGTCGACTTTAATTAGCCCCGTTTGATCACGTCAAAGCGGCCGCTCCTCAGGATCATGATTTATTTCCGTTAAACAGCCTAAGAGTCGGGATGGTGCGGCGGCCGCATGGGGCTGGACGACAGGGAAATGTCAGCATCTGTCTGACACATCCTGCAGTCAGACTGAGCCCCCCCCACCCCCACCCCACCCCAAAGACAGCAACCAGCACAAATACAGAGTGCAAAGCCTACGTTGTCAATATTTAGCTTTGTTTTCAAAGCTGACCGGACATCAGGATGCTGAGAACAGACTCTGCTGCAGCGTCTTTTGAAAAAAAAAAATCACAGCTGTATGCTTCTGTTGGTGGGAGAAAGAGAGACGGCTGGATGTGTGACTAAAAATAAACTCTGCATTTTACCACTTTACCCTCTTCTTCTTCGTCTCTCCCTCCCTGCTCCTCTGAGATGATTTATCCTTGTAAGGACCAAGAAAAACTCATCTGAAAGAGCATCTGTTATCCAAACATATGCGTCATCCAAAGCGCTTTAAGACTTGGATTTTTTTAAAAGGCCAAATAAAAACTATTGAATTTAAGTGAGCTTTTTTTTTTTGCATCTCAGTGGTTACGGTGAAGTTGTAGTTTGTGATACCAACAAAAATGGAATTTGGCGAGGAAAAAAAAAAAAGACTATTCTTATCAATTATCACAGAAAATGTACACTTAACGTTTTTCTTCTCTCTGGTTTTCCTGTATTATGACTCCATTCTGTGTTATTCCATGATTTACAGATTTTATGTTGCTTTTTTTTCAGTTTTAGGGCTTTACTTTGTGATATTGTTTCAGTCCTAAACAGGCACATAGCTCATTTCTGCAAACAAAATTTTATATGATATATTAGATAAGTTACAGAGGGTCTTATTATTATGCTCAATCTGCCCATTTATGAGTCATAGTACCAAAAATGCAAATTGACAGGCTGTGAGGTGTGGATTTGAAAAACAAAAACAAAAACAAAGATCTAATAACTGTCAGCTATTCTTTCATTAGCATGTAAACATTATTCTAGGTGTGAAATATGTATTGACTCAGGCAGAGGATCAGATTAGTGTCAGCTTTATTGATCAAACTACCACACTATTGGAAATTATCCTGGCCTCAAGGCATGTTTTTCGTCGGCAAAAACTCATTTACACACCGCAAAATATGCTTACACATTTGTAGGGTGAGTAATAGGCCTTTTTTAGCTCCAAGGCAGCGCAACTGATCCATCCCAAACCTTCCGTGAGTCACGCTTTAACCGTTTGAGCGCTAGCTGCTGATTTCTGGGAGCGAGGCATGCTGGAAAACACCGAAGCAGAAGACGCTTATTTGAGGCTAAAACGTTTCCCCATTTTGATGCCAAAACGCTCACCTTTGTCCGTTGTCCACGCTGTTTCCGACACGGAGCCGTAGCTCCGGAGCGCGCGCTCGGTGTCCGAAATAGATTTCTTCATTTCCATGTCGATGAGGTGCACGCGCGCCGGAATAAGAGAGATTATAATAAAAACGCACTTTACTTGTTTTTTTCTTCTCAAGACAGCTCAGTTTCAGTGGGAGACAGGCGACCCGAGGCGCTGAGCATCTTTAGACAAGTCCGAGTGGATGAGAGGATGAAGGGAGCATGCGCAGTGTGGGCAGGACCTGGGAGACTCCCACTGGCACTGATATGATGATGGAAATAAAACAGGTACACAGTTGTGAAGAAAATATGATTACATGCACTAGATGAACTGAATCAAAATTGATATTGTTAATAAGTGGTCTTGAAAGATACCATGAGGTAATTCTGTCTTTTTCATCCAGATTTCCTGGTTGCAATAAGCATAATAGGAGGGATATCTATTGGACAGTATCATTATGAACCCAAAGATCCATTTATAGAACTACATGCAGAATTATAACATAATGACAGAGACATAAAAATAATGTACTTATGCAACAATCATGAGCAAAAATAAGGAAAACATAAAGTCTAGCTCTGGAGTCACCACTCATTTCCTTACCTCATTCTGGGGAGAGAAAATGGGCGCTACATTTTTTAAAAACAGAAATGGAAATACGGCACATAAGGCAAAAACAGAGTTCGTAAAAGCTTTACAGGCTTCCAGCAACAAAGTGCATATAGATGCAAGTAAAAATAGCATTTCATTTAACTTGTATTTTATTCAGAGACACAACACATGTTCCTGTTCGAGATAGGTGTTATTTTTACATTTCAGTGATTCATAGCTAAGTGTAAAGTGGCACTTGCATTGCACATTTGATACATTCCTAAGCGTTAACTTTTATATTGATTTGCATAGTTGTTTTCTGTAAAAGATGTTTGACATTTAGGTGGCTGGTTTTGAGATTCATTAAGGGTATTACTGCATGCAGCGCACTCTAAAATGGATCACACGTTAACTCTTTCATCGTGTTAGCTGAGATTATTTTGCACATTTTGTATTCCTCTGAAAACAACCAGGTAAAAAATAGACTAAGAATGTTTAAAAAAAGCACCAAATTTCACAAATCCTGGAGAGTTAATTGCTCAATACTATTTAAAAAGGAATGAGTGGTGGACTCCACATTTTTAAACAGGACTGTGAAAAGGTCTATGTCAACCCCACTCGAGCTCCGCTGTGATTCATTTTGTCTGTGTAGCTATGTTCAGAAAACTTTACACCGATAGTCAACATACGGTAATCCTTTTTATTTGTTTTCCCAACAGAAATTAGTGCAACAAATGCAGAGATGGGAGATGTTTACAAAGTTCAGAGCACCAACGTGTTGCATGTGAGGTCCAAGAACAAGGAGGGAAATGTCAAACTGTGCAAACACATTCTTGAATAAAGTGGCATCACTGATATGAAGACTGGGGATATATTCATCGATATGATATTTTTGTTCCAGTGTAGCACATCAGCACACAAATAATCATTCAACAGTAAACCAAACACTGTAACACTACTCTGATATCAAACCACCACACGCAGTGGTGTATTTTGAATATAAAAGGGATAAAACTCCTGTAGTGTTCATAATTGTTTTTTTCTGCACAGCAATTAAAATACTTTTTATATATTAAAATACAACATTGAATTCAATCTGACATATGCAAGCTCACATATTTTGAATCACACATAATCTCATGCTTGCATACCCTCTACCAGCATTGATAAAAACGTATGTAGATCCGTCTAAACACCTATGGTAAATCCATCAATGGGACTAGCAGTCAACTTTTGTGCTCACACTAAATCGTAACGGCCAATGCAGGAAAAAGATCCTAATCTGCAGCCTTTAAAAGTTGTTCTGTTCCAGAAACACAGAATAACCATTTTGTTTTTTTGTCTTTTAAATAAAATGGTGCAAAAGGAAACTACGGAGCACTCTACAGTATAAGGTTAATATTAGGTAAAGAAACACATGAGCAGCATTTCTTTTATTAAAATAATGATGCTATTTGCTCAGTAAATTATGATCAACGTTTAAAAAGTACCTACACCATTACTAATCCCTTAGTGTACCGTTCATGATAAATATATATATATGTATACACATATATATTCCTATTACACAAGCTTTATAAAGTTAAAGTCTGAGCTGATTGTTTAGCTGACACTCCACATGGTGGATATTCATCATTGTGATCATTGTTACGGTTTTGTTTTTCCCGACTTGATGTGAAACATCAGTCATCAGGATTTGTATCTCAGACAAACTGGAGAAGCTGTCATGGAGCCTTCCAGTAATTTCAGCTGGTCCAGCAGAGTTAGGTCCCTGTCTTTCTGTAAATCTGAGAAGTTGGTTACACGAACACCCTGATTAGAAACAGAGTGGTGATTGTTACCTGTAATGTGGACGGATAAGACTGTGAGCTCCGTGTACACTCAGAGAGCTGAGGACACAGTTTTTAATGTATTCAGCCGGTTAAACCCAGCGGTTCCAGCCACATAAATCAGCTAAACTGGACTAAAGCAGGACAACCCCCTGTGATCCAGTTGTGTCTTGTTCCCACCAGTTTCTGTCCAGGTTCTGACTCTCCTACACAACAGCGGCTGACTCAGCTACTGTGTGGGTTTAGGGGCTGCCGTTCCCTCTACCTTAATCTCAGAGTCGACTTTCTCTTTGGTCTCTTTCTCTTCTGCGTCATCCTTTTTAGGGGGGAACATCCAGAGCAGGGCAGCCCCCGCCGTGCCGTCACCGGTCTGACGTGAGAAGCACAGGAAGGTGGCCCAGATGAAGGCGCAGCAGCCCGTGAAGGTGGTCCGAACGTACAGGGGCACCAAGGCGAAGTTCAGAAACTGAGAAACAGACAGACAATGTGGAACCTTCACGTGACCGACTTTACATTTAAATACACTTTTATGGTTTTGATTAACAATTCGCACCTGTTTAGTTTTTAAAAATGCATAATACATTGAATAAGCCTTTGTATGATGTTGGGATGGTGAACAGACTCTGATTTGATTCAGTCTGAAAGTCTGAAATACAGCTCTCTGAATCATTCGTGACTGGACCTTGGAGCTTCAGTTAATATTTACCTGCATGAAAGGCCAGAACATTAGCCCCGTCTGAAAAGAGACACAGAAAAACATCACGCATAAGTAGACTTAATAATCCATGCTGAACCAACAGTCTACATAAACATAACTGTGGGTGTACAGCATAAACATTGAGCAATAGGCTTGGTGCTGCAGCCCCCTGCTGTGGTTTGATGGAGGCAGTGTGAACCGTCACAGCACATCACAGTGTTTACCGATGCTCACGGGCCAGAGCAGAACATCTCCGCTCTGACTCACCTTATACGTGTTCAGAAATTTTTCCCTCCAGTCCTCCAGAATGTCTTCTTTGCCCTCCAAGAAACTTACGCCTGGATGGAAGAGGAGATTTCTCAGAGGAATGATTTACAGACGGTATCAAGAGGACTTTGTGTCAGAGCGGCGCAAAGGATAAAACATGGTTTCTATGGAAACCAATAGGACATGTTATGTATATAAAGTTGTCTTATTGATTTAGAAATGGCAACACATTCTCTTGTGAAACATTATCAATAAAAGCAAAGCGTGTACATCGTTTTGCATCAGACATGGACTTCATATCTAAGCTGTGAATGACAATGCACAGATGAAATGGGAACAGGTTGTGTCTTTGCAACAGAGTACTAATAAGAATTTACAGTTTCTCTTTCCAGTAACTGACGTTTTATCTTAAAAAACTTTTTTAAAGTCTTTGTGGCCCATGATCTCAACACTGTACAGCAAGACTTGTAATATGACAAGATACACCAGTGTTTATTCTTACTGGATGATGAATATTAGTTGAGAAGAAGAGGTTTGGTTTTAACATGAGCAACCTGTGCCTTAAGTCCTGATAGTCAGAGGACATGACGTCAAACACTGTCTAGATATTTTCTGTTTTAAAATAGCTGAGAAGATTGACATTTGGCCTATGAATGATATGATCATTTTTTCATATGTTATATAGAGTTGATAGGGATTTAATTCCATAATAGCAATAAGAGGACCTAATTTTACTGACAAAAATATTATTTTCCAACCTGAACACTGAGGTCTTCAGCAAAGACTCTGTAAAGAAGCATGTGAGGTAATTAACACCCTTTTGGCTCACGGTTTTATCTTAATACGTAACTAATTGCAATGCACCATGGGAGCTGCATGAATCTGTCCCACCCCCCAACGCGTTGCAATATGTTGTCAGTGTTTTCTGAATCTAGATAACTTGTATTCAGGGTGAGTACTATGAGGAAATGTGGCAAATATGAAAAAGAAATGTTGGCTGTAACTGGGCAAAATGTTTGAGCAGGGAGGTGTTCCTACAGCGACCCCTGCTGGTCAAACCGCTGTAGGGCAGGTCTGGGACCACACACTGGCAGGACTTGTGTTTTTACAAATTCACAGATAGCCCGTCTTTTTTTCTTATGTTAACAACTCGTTTTGTCACGAGGCGTTCGGGAGCTCGCCGTCCCACGACGACTGACCTGTGTAGAAGACGCTGGTGGCCAGAGGCGCCGCCGTCGTCTGGTCCAGGAACAGCTTCCTCATCACCATCCCGACGGAGTTCCCCGGAAATCTGCGCTCCAGAAAACGCATCCAGAAGAAATTAAAGTTGCCATGGAAACTGAACGCCACCACCGCGACGTTGCGCGTGTGGCTCCAGTCCATGTCGTCCCGCCGGGAGAACCATTGGTGGACGAAGTCTCCTCCGGCGAACAGGCAGCCGTACAGCGTGACGTTGGTGACCCACGGATAACGACGGAAGTGTCTCAAAAACGCCTGGCGCATACTTTCACCCGCCGTGGCTCCGTGGGGCGCGCGGAAAAACGCGTTGCTAGGGGCTGACTAAACCGGGGGTTCGAGTCAGCTAGCTGAATGTTGCTACACAGACGGTCACATGAATGTCCTCTCTACGTAACGGTCTTGGCATCTCTAAAAAAAAAAAAAACGCAGCCGTACATTTGTGCCAGATTTCCGACATGCAACAGTTATCAAAGGCAGCGTGTGTGTATATATTTCTTATTCAGTGACTGTTACAAAGTCATAAATATCCACTCAGTTGCCTACTTGCTTGTCAAACTCCATCCCGCACCCTGCAATGGACTGTCAGTCCTCCGCCACCGGCCCGTGTACACTTCACTACGCCCCCTTTTTTACGTAAAAAAACGGGAGTAGAGTTGAATGGGCGGGGCTCCACTGGAGGAGCCCGGCAGTAATGGAGGCTCACGGTCGGAAGAACGTGTCAACTCCACTTGAGGTTATTGCCACTGTTTCAAAGTTACCCTCAGAGGTGGGAGCAAGGACATTTCACCAGCCACCTCAGCGAAATATAGCCTTAACTTAGCCTTTATTTCTACACAAATGAGGGTTCCTCTTATACATCTCTATGGATAGAGTGAGGTAAAAAAAAAGAAGAAAAAGTGATAATATTCCCTTAAATCACATTTGATTTGGCTTTTTTTCTAAATCAGAAAAGGGAATTAAATTGAGGTGTTTTGCATGTGAAAAAATAAACAATCCATAAACTTTCTTTCATATCTAATATTAAAGTATCAGGGCAATGACTGGCTCCTTTGGAAAGGTGACTGGAAATGGCCTCCTCCCCTAATTTAATTTGTTCACAATCGTTTTGATTAGATCCGGGTATAACGGATTGAAGTAACTGAACCGGTGTGTATTAGAAACTATTTTGAAGTGAAATGTCAGGCCATCTAACAGTTTACGCCTCACTAGAACTGGTTGATAACCATTTGTTTTACTAAATTTGTTTCAGTGGAACATCTAAACAAACTTAAACATCTGGTTTTATGCAGATAAAACTGGCACACAGCTCAAAGCTTAAAAGTTGAGTCAGACTAGTTAATCTAACAGACTTACATAATCACTTCAGACACACAACCACCGTATATTTGCTCATTTACATTTATTTTACAAGTGCAGCAAGGTCACAATTTACATGGGCTGTTTGAAGCACTTTTTTCCAAACAACACAACCGAAGAAAAGGCCACATAGCTAATGTTCAACTGTTTCAAAAGACACAAAAACAAGTAATCAGATATTTGCTGCATTCATCAGGAATTCATACTGTCTCTTGTGGATTACAACGTACATTTACACATGCAGTTTCTAAAACAAACACATTCATAGCAAAGTGTACAGCAGTATATAGAGTAAAACTCAATATAACACTCTCACAAGGAAGGTGCATCCTTACTGAAAAATAAATGGCGAGCAAGTTAGTTTTAACTTGTAGTTTTTTAAAGAAAGTGCCAAAACATTTTTTTTATTAGTGTTGCATAAAGTACCCACTGTAATTATTCCAAACCTGCGGGATGAAGAGCAGGACAGATGTTTTTGTGTACAGGTTTTGGCTCTAAACTGCAGACCATGCATAGAGTTCTTAAGCAAGTTTTTAGATTTGTGTGGGTTCAAAGTTCTGTTTATTCCATTTCATAACCGTGTTGGTTTGATTTCACCATGCACCTGATTTTTTTATGCTAAAGTGAGTTGATTCTTGCACTGAACAGGATTAAACTCGATTTATGCTTTGGGAAAAGTTACGCAGTGGCTGTTTGTGAGCTAAAATAAAACAGATATGCTGACAGCTGTCATCATAAACTGAAACAGTGAAGCAGAGTTAGATGTTAATGTCAATTTAAAGCAACACAACAGGCTGTATGAAGTGTAGACTTCATACCGCCTGAGGGCTGAGATTAAATGTTGGAGACTTAAACAGAATCAATTCCTTCTCTTTTTACTGACTCGACACGCCGGAGTGGTGGGTAGAGCTGATTTATTTTCCAGCTGGGGGTGGGCTCCACGTTAAGACACAATGAACATTGAGAGCAGACACCAGGGAGAGTGGTCACAGTGTGTCCCTGGAGCTGAGAGGCAAAACAAAAAGTTCAGAGACCAAGCGGCGGGGCTCTAGGACTGGACCAGCCTCTCCCAGTCCCCGCTCTGGGCCCTTTGGTAGAGCTGCGGCTGGCCGCCCGGGAACAGGCTGTCGGAGTTGGGGTGCTCTAAAAGGAACCGAATGGTGGACTTTATGTGCTGGACAAAGTGCGGTGGCTCAGCCATCGGAGAGGTGGACAGGTACTAAACAAGCAGAGATAACCCAGTCAAAATCCACTTACATTACCTGTTACTGTGAATATTTGTTTAGACTTTTGTAGCTGATTTCCTGTTTTTCATCAATGTTCGCTGAATGTGCCTTTACCTTTAGAATAACCTCATCGCTCTGCGATAACCAAAAAGCAATATCCAGATTCGAAGACCACTTGCATGGACCAACTCTAACGAGTCCATGGCTTGAGTCGTATATGTCAGCCATCTGAAAGGAGCAACCGATAAAGTCACTATTCTTTCTGTGAAAACAGGTCAGCCACGTGATTAAAACCAGACCGGCCAAACTAGTATTACGGGTCATCCTGATATGACTCACTGTTCTGCTGGAAGAACCCGCATCCTGTCATCCATCAAGGCTTATTCAGGTATACACCCCAACGTTTTTGCCTATCAGCCGCCCTCCCATTAAACTGCAGTAGACCCGAAAAAATGCTAAAACTGCCTCAGATACCAGTCGGATGGCATCTGTAGGGAAACAAGCCCAACCCTACAAACTAAATCAATTCGAGTCTATTTGGTACTGTCAGTCAAACAAACCATTTCACAAATTCTTAAAATTTTCAAACATGTAAACAGTTTTGTATCAGTCAGAAGAACAAAGTAATCAATTAGTTCCTGAAAAATATCAACATGGTACCAGATCATGCGATAAAAAGTAAATAGTTTCTGCACAAACTACCAGTGTGTGAGAGCTAGATTTCATTCTCACACACAAAACGATGTTTCACTTCCAAAATACCTCTCCTCCTGTGAAGGTCCGTGCTGATCGCAGCTCTTCTGCAGGCCCTTTATGAGTGAAGGAGGCAGGGAACACATCCCCCGTTTTAACATTTACACCTGTAAATGAATAAAATAAAATAAGGCAAAGTACTGGAACAATTTGTTTTTAAAGCACATCTCTCTGTATAGCACGTGGCTCACCTATTCCATACACGATGGGTCTATGAGTTCCATTATCAAGAATGTCATTCATTTCTAAAAAAGAAAAGAAAAGAAAAAAAAAGGAGGTTGACAAAGACTTAATGGGAAAACATTGCATAATAATATCAAAAAGAATATCAAAGTTACCTGTAATGCAACACGTTTCCAGATGAATATCCTCCTTCTGTTTCTGAAATGCGGCTATAAAGATAAAGATAGATTTAAGTTTCCTAGAGCCCAAAATGCTCCCCAGAAATAGCACAACGCTCCAGAAAGACAAGAAGAAGCTTTGTAGAATCATACCCAGAATGTTAAGGCTGAGTTTATGGGATGTTTCTGAGTCATCAATGAATCCCCCTACAAGATGAAGCTCAAATCTGAAGAAAGGCAGACAGGAATGCAAAAATAAAAACCACAAATAAGATCTATTTCAGAGCATTCACTCAAACAGTCATTGATCAAACAACCAGTAATTATTCATCTGGGTATTAAAGATTGACCATTCATGTGTTTTAAATGTAAAACCTATAGGCTGATTTTGGAAAACACAATTAAATATCTTTTTCATATGATGGTGGCTCTCCTTTTGTACTCGGTTTTTCAACATGAGCGCAGACGGATATCAGTTTACATGAGGTTTGGTGTGTCATTCCTCAAAAGGAAAGTTCACTGGGTCAGTCTGCATTCTCTGTACAAGCTGCCCTGGATTTGAACCCTGAAAGTCCAAGAAGCCAAATGAGGACTGGATCTCTACAATTCCTTTAAAAATCATTTTGAAAAATGGTGATTTAGAGTTCCCTTCTGTCAACAATAGCTTTTTCCCACCCATTTTCCCTGGCTTTTCACATTCTTTACCTGAATCTTACAATACTTTTTTTTTAGCCTGGATGTCCTGTAATGTAGTCTTTAACATAAAGCTACTATAATACTTCACTCTGGTTGTAGAGTTAGTCTGCAACAATAACCCTAGGACTACAGATTTAAAATACTTTTTTGGTGCCTTCTCTGATATCTGTTTTTAAGTGCATTATGTCTGTTAAGCAAAGTAATAAATAACAACTTAAATCTAATAAAATATTCAATATGAATTCATTTGTGTGCATTCTTCATTTGTGTATGTGCGTGTCGTACCTGCCGTCCTTACAGACGTTACCTAATGATGCAACGGTTTTCACAAAAAGTGGGACCTCAGAACTAGTGCTGGAGCCATCACAGTGGGCCAGGCAAACGGCTCCACTTCCTGGGATGAATCAAACGTCAGATGGTGGGAGAGGTTAAAAAAGAGCTGCCACAGGATGGCAGACTGAGAGCGCAGCGTAAATCTGGCAGAAAGGACGTTTACCGGTGTGTCGCAGCACAACCAAATGGCAGGTGGTCGCGTCATCCGATCCAATCACTGAAACTGAGTCTGAGAAAGATTAGGAAAAGCGTGTTAGTGAAACTGTTCACTCAAAGCTATCCAAATGTTTAAAAAAACATTCATAAAAAATTAAGAACAGTTACAAACAGGGTCATGTTCACAATGACCGTCGATCCTCTGAGTGGGAGCACAAACAGGGACCTTTCTGACCCACCTCATTAATTATTTGTGTAGCACAGACACTAACATGCGGCAGGGTATCTGGTTTACAGATATTTATTTTCCATCTCACTGTGCGCTGTGAAAACTCAAAAGTCTCCAGGTGTCAGGTTGTAATACCATGACGGACTCTGATCAGCCTTTTGGTTGCATATTAACAGATTTTTTATTTCAACCAAAATTTTTAATGATGACGATTTTATTTAGAATATATTCGTGCATATTTCAAGTTTCGAGGCACAAATTACGCCTGTTTATTTTTAGTCTCTAACACATTTTCTCTTAAATTAATCCAACTGGCAACACGTTTGATTTGTAAACATCCAAAAGAGCATTTTAAAGACAAAAAAAGAAAAACTTCAAACAAAAATAAAATAAATAAATGTTGAATTAACTTTAAATGTTAAGTCACTGTCTTGTTATGACTACTGAACAACTAAAAGTCATTCTAAGTTGTTAAATTCAAAGCCAGTTTGTTCCATCAACTGCAAAATGTGCAAGTTATGAACATAAGAAAAGACAGATGGTACAGAGTCCCTTTTGGTCTGTAAAAATACTGTGAAAATCCAAGTTTTTAGAGCCAGGATTCCAGTTATTTTTATATATTCCAGATTATTGTGTGATCACAGTAAGATTTGTGTGAAAAAAAAGTAACCAACTGAAACTATGGCATTAGAAAGGTTACCGCAAGTGTGATTAGTATTTGCAGATGTGTTACTCACTGTCTGCTGGTGTGGTTGCAGCAAACTCTCTTTGCTGAACGTACAGGAGGCACCCTGGATCCACATCAACGAGAGCCCTGGAGCGAAATGTTCGTGCTTTTTCCTACAACATGTGCAAGACGTTTACATAAAACATCAACAGCAACTATTGATGTCTCTGAAATGTCAACAAATAAAGGAACCCCACACTGATTATTCTGAATCACAGGTAACAATAACAAACATTCAGGTTGCACATCATGAAGTTCATCACAATGTAAATCCCCTCTAGACCCCGCATCTCTTTCTTTGAAATACACAATGCAATCACAGCTATTACTGCAGGATCTATGGAAAAATAACGTCCCAAACAATTCAGGGAGCAATGCAGACTCATCAAAAAGCTAAACGCTGCTGTACTTTGTGAAAAACAAACCTGTAAATGTGGATTATTGTCGAATAGTTCCGCTGTTGACCTTATGCGGTCAAGTTCTTTACTTTGAATTAACAAAGGCATTTCCTTTAACGAAATCCACCTTATACTCTGACAGATGTCACGACATATTAATAAAAAAGAAAAACTTCATAATGTGTTTGCCAGTTATCTCATACTACATCCGTGACTCCATCGGTTACATCTATTGGCTGGAGCTTCCTGGAGGGCTGATTTCTCTTCTTCGCGTCGATGCTGCATTGCAATTGAGTCCACTGCTGCCCCCTACTGCTTCATTGTTGAATCATACTTAAATCGATCATGTTTATCATTCAAACTAGTGAAATAATATTTGAAAAAACGGATTATATATATTTACTATGACTACTGGTTTGAAGGTGCCAAACCGTCATTTGCTATTTCGCCGTTAAAGAAGCATCCACTTTCGACGTTACCCATCGTGCAAAGCGCCACTGTTTACGAGAATTGCATTCACCATCACTACGAAATTAACGTACGTACATTGTGACTCCTCTTTTGACACAATGCTACGCAAAGTTACTAGCCAAAGTAACGTCTGTAAAAAGGGCAGGGAGGCAAGCTGCGAAGCCGTTCTGCTACGTGACGCATATATTAGTTATTGTGCAAACTCGTCTTGGAGCATTGTTTATATTTTGTATCCGTACATCAATAAATCGACGATTTATCTGTTGTGTTGCACAGTCTGCTCCTATTTAGCTGTTTTTTTGCCGAGCATAACGTTTGAAAACCGCCGTTTAGGCTAGCGCTACAAACACATAACAAGGAAAACATCTTATCTTCAACATGAGAGGGGGTTCGTCTTATGGAGACAGAGATAGAGACCGCGGGCGAGATAGGTAAGATAAAGAATTTATGATATCTATGACGTGTCTTTTCTGGAAGTTTAATTTGAGTTGTCAACTGGTCTGCTATTAATTAGTCGAAAGGGTCATCACACAAGCATAAACTGGTGCTTGCTTTACACAATTAAAGTAGTTTAAGATGGGAATTTAGCCTTTTATTACCTTTCCGACCATTTTAAAGTGTTTTTTCATCATAAAGAATAACCATGCTGTTGCACAACGTTTGGACTAGAGCAAATAATGTTACACGTCGATCACCAGGCAAAATAAACAACGCAGAGGCCTAATGGTGGCGTTTTTGTGCTGAAGTGCCGCGTGAGCAGGCCCTGCGGCGGGCTTTGGGTTCAGTCCTCAGCTGAACGCAATCAAATATAGAAAACCGCTGTGCTGTTTGTTTATCTCATCAGAAGATAAAAGTAAACCTTCCCCTATATACAAATAACTTTGTTTTGGCCTGTTTGCTCAAATCCAAGAGCGACCAGCATCATTTATTTTGTTCTGCAGGAGCATCACAGACTTATTAAAATGTCCAAATAGTAATTTGTGACATTCAAATATTAATATGAACAGAAAGGGGTGTCTAGATTATCCATGATATTATACACAGCATTAAGTCGGACTATTTTCTTAAGGAAAGGCCACGACTCACTTTATTTTTAGTTTAGCATTTACATGAAAACGTTGTTTTAGCTCAAAACTGGCAGTTTTTTTTCCAGAATTAGTTGTTTAATCATTTATTACAGCTAAAGTGTTTGGAACACTGCTGGTTCTCATAAAGTTACCATATTTGTAAAACTCTGTTTACCATAACTTCCCAACAATATATTGTTTTTTCTGCTGTGTTTTTACTTGTCCGGCTACCATGCACACCATCGACAAGTGTTTCCTTTCAAGGGCTCATGAATGATATTATTGGCAATTGTGAGAGTCATTTGTTAGTCAATTTCTAATCTTATCAAATCCTTTTACTTCCACCACTTGACAGACTATTAGGACTACGTTTTTTTCCTTCTCCAAATGAATAATTGAATTCCTATACAGTTGATTAGAATAAATATATCTGAGCTACACCCTTTAGCCCACGTGCACATTTCCTAAAGCTTCTATATTCTACCTGATCCTGATTTCTCAGGCCGCGGTTTGGGAGTGGCATGAAGTTTGGCAATCCTGGCGAGCGCCTTCGCAAAAAGAAGTGGAACCTCGATGAGCTGCCAAAATTCGAAAAGAACTTCTACACTGAACATATTGAGGTTCAGCAGGTGGCCCTGGTAAAGCTTTACACATCCCTCCCTCTCACACAGCACAGCAGATGGACAGTAAATAAAAAAAATGTTACACAATTATTCTGTTAAACCAGAGAAAGCAACCTTAATTTTTTGTTGCCATATCCAGTTTGATGTGGACGAGTATCGCAGGAAGAAGGAGATCACCATCAGAGGAACTGGATGTCCAAAGCCCGTCACTGCTTTTCACCATGCTCAGTTTCCCCGTAAGTAGCCCAAGTCTTTTTGGAAGCAGTAATAACTACATTACTACTCAGTAAACTAATAGTTATGCATATAAAATGGAGCTGTCAATTCATTCAAGTATTTGAAAACATCAGTCATCCACAATCCTAAGGGTCTGAAAAAGGGAAACCAGAGTTCTTCTTAAATCTTTGAGATATTTCACATCTTTTCGAGAAAGCTTTTTCAGTTCTGTGCACAGCAGTATGTCTGTACGGATTCGCAGACAGCCAGATCCTAATTGTTTTAAAAAAAGGGTGTAGTGGAACCCAGAATACACCAAAATATGAATCCTGCCGTGAGGTCACATGTCGTGTTGATTGTTTTCTACCTTTGTCTGGCAGAGTATGTGATTGACGTGCTGGTGCAGCAGAATTTCAAGGAGCCAACAGCCATCCAGTCTCAGGGCTTCCCCGTGGCTTTGAGTGGAAAAGACCTGGTGGGAATCGCTCAGACCGGCTCGGGAAAGACACTTGCTGTGAGGGTTCCTTAACATTGTTTCTGTTCACATAGTTTGCATGGAAGCGCAAACTCGCACAGGGTAAAAAGAAGCATAAGTCAGAGATCAAATTCTGGGTTGTTTTATTGTTTGTGTTGTCTTTATTCCCTGCAGTACCTTCTTCCTGCTATCGTACACATCAACCATCAGCCCTATCTGGAGAGGGGAGATGGCCCCATTGTGAGTGCAGACGTCATATAATCTTAAGCTTCAGTTTTTTAAAAGCTAAGGACGGTTGTATTGACATTCCTCTTCATGCCTTTTCCTCTCTGCAGTGTCTGGTGCTCGCTCCAACCCGAGAGCTGGCCCAGCAGGTTCAGCAGGTCGCGTACGATTACGGCAAATCCTCCCGCCTCAAAAGCACCTGCGTCTACGGCGGCGCGCCCAAAGGGCCGCAGATCCGAGACCTGGAGAGAGGTACGATCGCTGGACAGCGTCTGGCACGAGCGAGCGTGCTAGTGTGTGAGCGTCCTTGTTGTCTCTGACCTGCTGATCGCGTCTGGCTGCAGGAGTTGAGATCTGCATCGCCACTCCGGGACGCCTCATCGATTTCTTGGAGTCGGGGAAGACCAACCTGCGGCGCTGCACCTACCTGGTGCTGGATGAGGCCGACCGCATGCTGGACATGGGCTTCGAACCGCAGATACGCAAGATAGTCGACCAAATCAGGGTAGGCCCGCGGCCGGACGCATGCTCTCTCCGCGGGGCGTTGCAGAGCTGCTCAGATGAAGCATCCGTGTTGCTTTGTTTTTGTTTCTGTCTGGTAGCCCGACAGGCAGACGCTGATGTACAGCGCCACGTGGCCAAAGGAGGTCCGGCAGCTGGCTGAGGACTTCCTCAGAGAGTACATCCAGATCAATATCGGCGCTCTGGAGCTCAGTGCCAACCACAACATTCTGCAGATCGTCGACGTGTGCATGGAGAGCGAGAAAGACCAAAAGTAAGAGCCTCTACTGGGAAGCGACCCAGCCTGCGAACAGCACAGAACCCGGAGAGGTCCGTCTGATTAGCTGTCGATGTCTGCCTCTTACAGACTGGTTCAGCTGATGGAGGAGATCATGGCTGAAAAGGAGAACAAAACCATCATTTTCGTGGAGACCAAAAAGCGATGCGATGACCTTACTCGGAGGATGAGGCGTGATGGGTAAAGACATTTCCCCGTGCCGTCGAATTCTGAGTTTGCAAAAAAATAATAAATAGGCGGCGTGAAGAGCTAATCTTGCAGCTTCATTTTGCAGGTGGCCAGCCATGTGCATCCATGGAGACAAGAGTCAGCCAGAGAGAGACTGGGTCCTCACAGGTGGGGCTGCATCTCAGCCAGCCAGACCACTCCATTCTTTAACTGGCTTTAATCCGTAAAATATTTGCAAATTGACGTATCGTTGAATTTAATTTCACTTCGCAGAGTTTCGGAGCGGCAAAGCCCCCATCCTGATCGCCACTGATGTTGCTTCTCGTGGTCTTGGTATGTCTCTGCACGCACACCGCTTCATGAGCACTCATCTGATTTTTAACGCCTTCTATTTAGGCAAATAATTCTGTAGATAATAGAAGAATCAACACAACTGATTTGTTTAAATATATTTAAATATACCAGTTGGTAAGTATTATGCTGAGTAAACGATTCTAACAACCAGCCAGATCAACATCTTACATTTATGTCACTTTAATATGTGTAAATATAAGCAAATAAAATGATAGAACTGATTGTAGTTTTAGCACAGTATGTTGTCGGAAAGGGGGGCTGATGGAGGGAGGGGGGGTTCATTTGCAATACACCATACTGAAGAAATTCCCCTTAATTGTTATATTTGACAGCTGACACATCCAGGTCGGGGGCTCATGGCCTCTGAATCTGGCTTCTAGTCTGTTTCTTGTTACTGTAGTCAAAACGCTTCCTTCAAGCGGGGCTCTTTGGCACGCTGCCTAAAAGGAGGGGGCCGTGTGTGCAGCACAGAACCTCCTTTTCTTATGTCTCCTTGTATTTTCAGTACAAACCCACTGCCGCACACACACTTCCCTGAAGCACACGTGTAGAGGAGCTGTGTAGCCATATCCAGACATAAGAAAGCTGTGCTCACTAGTTTCTCTTCTCATCTGCTGGGAGGATGATCTGAGAAGGGGGGATAAGTAAAGTGTCTTAACTTGCCAAAATTTCGATGACTGTATCCTTTTTTTTTTCTTTTCCCCTCTTCTCCTCTCAGGGTTTGGCAGCACACGGCAGCTGTAACAGTCTGTGCTGCTGTCACTGCCCCCTCAGTCACGTTAAAAGTAGAAGCTTTGTTAGCCGTAGCGGGACTAAATCCCCCCCTTATTCTTCTTGGCTAAAAAAAAGAGAAAAGAACAAAAAAGATCCCCCCTGCCCAGTTTTTCAAAATCCAACGAGCCTTCCTTGGGAGCAGCCTGAGGGTCCTGTATGTCTGCCCATCGGTCGCCCCAAAAAGCAGACAGACAGGCCAGAGAGAGAGTTAGACGGGCTCGTCTGGATCCAGTCCTGGCCAAGGTCGAGGAGGGTCCTGCAATGCGGCGAGAGAGCAACAGAACCAGCCGTTGAGTGTGTGTGTGTGTGTGCGCCTGGGTGCCTGGGTGCGTGTGTGTGTGCGCGCCTGAGGAGGTTCTATGGTTCTGCTCCCGTCTGACGTTGCTGGTGTGAGCAGAAGGTGAGGGAGGAATCCTGTCTCCCTCTCCCTCAGCCCCTCCCTTTGAACCAGGACTGATCAGGGGGGACTGACAACCTTTGTTAAAAACAACATGAAGGGGGTAAGTACCTCAGCACCCCTTTGCCTTACCTCAGTCACCAGCTCACCATGCTTTAAATGACTGCCGTCACGATGCAGAAGACCTAGGATGATTCCCACATTTCGTACAAACACAGCACATTCATTATTCCAGAGTAGATTTAGGTGAAACGCCTTCCCTCAGTCCTGACGGAGGGGAGATGGGAGACTTATTGATCAGCAGTGCTGTCAGAGCCCCACCTCTTCTGTAATGAGAAACAGACTCCTTGTCCGCTCACATTTTGACCAGCAATCACTCTGCCGCTCACACGGTTTTCTGTGCACATTACTGTCATGCTCGCTTATAAAAGAAGTGGGTATAGTCATGTTGATGTGTGGATTTTTGCTTGATGTCTGCTCAAGCAGGTAAGTTACTCTCTTTTGTTTAGATATCGTCCTCATGAGGAATATTCCTTTGTAATTATACGTGTGAAAAATCTCATTAGAACAAGTGAATCTTTTTCTCTGTTGGAGCCATTTCCCCACTTGAAATAATCACTTTTCCCCCCCTCACGCAAAAAAGATGTGGAAGACATCAAGTTTGTCATCAACTATGACTATCCCAACTCCTCGGAGGACTACGTCCACCGGATCGGACGCACGGCCCGCAGCACCAACAAAGGCACGGCCTACACCTTCTTCACTCCAGGAAACATGCGGCAGGCCCGGGACCTGGTCCGGGTTCTGGAGGAAGCCCGGCAAGCCATCAATCCCAAGTTGCTCCAGCTGGCCGACTCGGGGCGCGGAGGGGGAGGCGGCGGCGGTAGGAGGGCCGACGCCCGTTTGTGGTTAAAAAAAAAAAAATGGCTGTAAAAAAGCTCCAGTGATAGATTATAATTTCATCACATTTGTGTTTTTATCAGGTGGAAGAATGCGTTACCGCGGCAGAGACTCCAACTCCGACAACCCTAACCTCATGTACCAGGACGAGTGCGAGCGCCGCATGCGATCCGGCGGCGGCGGGAAGGACGGCGGCCGCGGCGGCGGCGAGCGCTCCTCCTCCTCTTCCTCGTCCTACAGGGACCGCAGCCGGGACCACAAGAACAGCAGCTACGGCTCCGGCTCCGACCAGTACCAGAGCTACGGCAACGGCGGGAGCTACAGCTCCCACACCGGGGCCCAGCCCGCCGGCGCCCAGGATCAGGCCGGCCAATCACAGGCCCCGTTCTGCCAGGCCGCCGCCGCCAACCCCCCCCCTCCGGGGGTGCCGCAGCCTTTGATGGCTCAGCAGTTTGCGGCCCCACAGCCGTCTCTGATGAGCTTCATGGGGCAGCAGTACCCGTTCTCCTCAGCAGCCGCTGCTCCACTCGCCAAGTAAAGGGACGGGGGTCCAGCGGGGGGTCACCATGTTACTGTTTCTGCTGTTGTTATCTCCATAACGCAGGAGTTTGACAGTGAGAGGTCCACAGAGGGAAGGGCTGGTGTTTTTGTTTGACACGTAGCATGATTAATTAGTTTCCTCAGACCCGCCCTCCACACAGTGGTGCTCAGCCATTTTTCTTTAGGTTTCAGCTCCAGCATTCACTGAGTGAAGCCTTCAGCTGTGTCATGATTTGGTAAAAATGAGGTAAAGGCATACGGTCACATTCCAGACTCCTTCCAAAGCTTCTTCCTTGTTCAGTCTGTTTGACTTCTCTTTAACACCAATTCTATCTTTAGAGACCTTTCTGGAGTTTTTTTCTGTTCTAAGTAGCTATTGTCCTAGATTTAGACACATGGTCATGCATGCCTAATATTTTCTGTAGTGTCGCAAATCCAAACTAAAGTATTTTAATAAGCATTGTTGATCAATATGCCATTTATCGCTTCCTCCTTAATCTCACGTTGTTCTTTTTACAGTGTTTTCTAAATAAATGGATCAAACAATATATCCTGATCTGCAAATGCTTTGGATTTCTAACAGCGAGCTTCAGCTTTTGTTTGTCAGAAGTGTTTATAGTGCACTGAAGTGAGCAGCAACTACAAAATGAATAGCACAAATGAACTGGACATTACTTCCTCTAACATTTGTGGCCATTTAAAAATCTGGATGGAGGTTGAGTTACACAAGAGGTATAAATTAAGGTTTTATCGATTTTATAAATGTAAATCTTGAAGCTTTTTAATTTAAGACCAGATTTAGTTCATGTACTTATTCAGCACATTTGCATCTCATTAAAGCTATCCCAGTGCATGTCCTCACATTAATAAAGACTTTAAATTGATAATTCTATACTCAACTGTGAGGTCTTCGTTTAAACACCATTAAAACACCATATAAACCATTTCTGTATTCAGCAGTACGGAAACATCTGGCCATGATGTCCTAGTCTTGACTTGTGTGTTTAGTGTAAATGAAAAATGACTTTCAGACTTAAAAAAAACACAGATTTATGGCACATACAATGGCTTATGTCAGCTTCTAATCATAATTTATTGAATACTAAATGATTTTTTAACAGATTCAAGTCAGTGTTCAGCTGAATCAAAACCATCATCGGTAAAAGTCTTGGATCCCTCGTCTCATTAAGTAAATTCTCGGGACTTTGAGCTCTTTTGCAGTTAAACACAGCAGAGGTTTTATTCTCTTTCTTCCTCCAGCAGAGCCCGTTTCCCTCCAGTCTCACGCTTTTTTCAGTTCGCACATCAACTCTACATCTACAAGAGGGACTCTTCACTGTATTTTTTCTCTTTTTGGGACATGAACATGTGAAAACAAGTTGGTCATCTGTATATATTATATGTACAAAGCAAAAGAAAATCAAATCTCAGGCACATGTGGCAGAATCAAACCGGATGTCGGGCTCAGGACTTAACGTCCTTCTTTGGATCAATTACCGATAAAAATAAAAAAAACAGGACAGTTGACTGCAAAAGGGAATGATTTTCATGTGCAAAATATATACATATATTTTTTTTAAAAACAAAAGTGCATGTGGATTTAAACTGAACGAAAACAAATCCTGAGTCAAACAATCTAAAATCAACAGAAACTTCAGAGAATGTACAAAAAGTGCAAAACAAAAATACGATTTTACGGACAGGGACTGTGTGCCCTGATTGTACATGTCAAAAAGAAAAAAACAGAAGGTAATGAATCCCCAAACTCGACTGGCATGTTCAGTTTCAGAGTCCTGCGGTGGGTTTGGTGGCCTAAGCGAGGCTTGTAACAGCAGCTGTGCTTTTTTTACCTGCTTCCTCAAAGCTTGAAATACACTTTCTTTTTTACCTCAAAAGCAATGAAACCCACTTAAAAACCACATGCAGGTTCATCACGTTTGCTCTCTAGATGATTTGGTTCCAGCATTTCCGATCGGCTCCTCATATTCTAAACATACTAAGCTCAAACAAATCCAGAGGTTTAAGAAAACAAAAACAAAAAAGTCTAATTTTGTCTACGTGTCCCAGAGAAAAAAACACCAGCAGCTTGTTTTCTCACAAGCACACGAATGCTGCACCTCTTTTTGAAAACACTAGCTCAGGATTTTCATTTTAAGTAATTCAGATCCTTTCTATTTTAAATAACAGTATTTCTTTTTTATGTGCTGGAACTTTAAGCTCGGGAATACTTCAACATTTCTGAGGGGCTGAAAGGAAACAACCAGCTGGGAACAAACACTGGTCATGCAAACTGTAACAAGCAGGACGGCGTCAGGCGCTCGCTACAGAATGAGCATCTGATCAGCTCAAAATAAAGCGAACCGGTGATTGACGGGGCGTCTGGCTTTTTTTTTTGTAGCGGCCTGCGAACTGGACAAACTCACACATTCATCTTTTTTTGAAAAGGCTCAGCTTGTCGGCTCGTTGTGAATGCAGTGGGCTGATTGTTGGGGGACAAAGTAGCAACACCACTGGCCAACATGGACATGAACAAAGGAGGAGAAAAGAAGGCACAAGGTAAACTGGTCTCCACAACTGCTCTCGTATCCGTCTGTATTTCTGAGGCCAGCTGTTCTCAGCTGAAGGACGACTTCGACTCAAAAGTAAAAAGGAAGCAGCTGGTCGGATGAGGGGCGACTGGTTCTTCTCTCTAAAGGTTCCCCCAAGTGTTTGGAGGTGGGAACTGGTCGACGTCACCGGATTCGTCGTGAGACTTTTCCCCCAAGTTGAATGTTAGTTTGTACCGCAGGCGTACTTTTTCCTGAAACGAGAACAAAACTGATGTTGAGACTAGAACAACTGTTATTAATAATTCAAGTTCTTTTGCTTTCCTTAAAATTGTTTGTGCGCCTCCAAGCTTTCAGAAGGCAATTGACAAAAAAACACGAGAACAATATCCGTGCAGCGACGCCTTTTCTCTGAACCAAAGTTCATAGATTACATATATAACAGCCGTGCGGCTTCAGGGAAGAAGAGTCTGCCTGTAATCCAGATGTTCCATCCACTGTAAAGAAGACTGCTGAGCAGCGAGAATCCTAAATCAGATGAAGATGGGACAGGATTCCTCCCTCAACTTGTCCCCTCGGTCCCCCAACACTCTAAGCTACTATGCCTCATGAAAAGGTACAGGTTTTTTGTTTTTTTCTGGAAGATCCGTCAAGCAGCCGTTGTGACAAACCTTTTGAGGATTGGCCAGCAGGAGGATCTGTGTGACAGCAGCCGGAGGCAGGATGGGGTTGAATGCTGGAAGCTCAGTGCTGGAGGGAGGCTGCAGCTTTACTTTCATCACCTTGGAAAAACAAAAAATAGATCAAATATGATCATTTGTGCCCCGTACAGTGAAGCAAACAGGAAAAAAAAAAAGGAAAGTGCTTACTTTGGGCACAGCGGCCTGGAAACGGATGTTGGTGACGGGAATGGGGGCAGAGGACAGCATGGAGATGATCACCACCAGGACGTCGGGTCTGGACGGAGGACAGTCCCTCGCAAAGGTGAACAAAACCCGCAGGCTGTGCTTGTCGAACACGGTCACTGGTAGCAAGCTGCCTGAAATAGGGGAGCCGGTGCACAACACACAGAAATGAACAACATTTAGCATTTGGCAAACAGTGCTGTTGTTTTACATGATTGGGAAAACTCATTTGATCAAACACCTGGTGAAACATGAAGTCTGTTTATGCACCCAGCTGGGTGTCTTACTCTTCTTAACAGACACATTTTAAGTTCCTTCACCAATTTGAATGACTAGTTTTTATAACAATCGAAGGAGAAGTTTCTGAACGGAAGCCCGGCGATCTCGGTGCTTACTCGGTTTGATCGATTCCAGCGGTACCGCCACGTCGGCCAGAGAGATGCTGTCTCCGGGGTCAGCGGCGGCCGACGGGCTTTTCTCTGTCAGACTGAGAGCGGAGAGGAGGAGCGCCTGTGCCTGCTCTGACCCGGAGCCCGGGCCGGACGCCTGGCCGGGAGCTGGAGCCGGATCAGGGCAGGTGGGGGCTGTGGGCGGAGCGTGCTGACAGCTGCTGCTGGACATGGTCTGGAGATCTCGTAAAGTGACTTTAGACGGGGGCTGGATCTTGTCCCTGCGTCGAAAAAAACGGCAAAAGCACGTGACGTGTTTGAAACAGGAAGCCGCGTTGCCCCCTTTGGGACGACTTTTCACAAACCAGTTCTTTCTTATTCGTATTTCCGTTACCATTTGACCTGCTGGCTCTCTGGTGGTAGAGACTGCTGTATCAATGTCTTCCCCAGCAGGTCCAGCTCCTCCATGGCTTTAGGGGGAACAGGAGGGACCCCTGCTGGAGCAGTCCGGGGTGTGTGACGCACAGCTGGCAGCAACACTGCAGCTGGCACAGACGGAGCAGGCAATTCTGCAGCAGCTAAAGACTGCAGGGGGGGGGGGGGGGGAGGAGGGGGGTCAGTGTGAGAGGAAAGTGCACCGGTGTAGAGTCACGGCTCATTTTGTCATTGTTTTTGTTAAAGGGAACATCTTACCTGCGAGATGCTGTTAGAGTCACAGTTTTCTGTTACATTCAGTCCTAAAAGAAGAGAATTACAGCATCTCAGTGGTAGCTTTTTCAATCTGAAAGCTGTAAATATCTGCGGCAAGGTGGGATGAAGTTGCTAACCCAGAGACATTAGTTCGTCATCCAAAAGGCTCAAAGCCACGTTCTGAGTCAGGGTCTGTGGGCCGGAAAACTCCGGGTTGGACGGTTCTGTGCTCAGTCCGGTCAGGTCCACAAGGGCCGAACCCTTGCCGGGCGATTTCAAGTCTGCAGAAAATGGTGCCAAACTGGTGGTAAACGCTGATGGATTTTCAGTCAGAAATAAAATCCGCGTGCGCCTACCTGGCTGTGGCATCACAGTCCCATCTTTGGTCACCTCCTCGCCCTTTACCAGCTCTCTGTAAAGATTGATGACTTGCGTCAGGCTGTCGTTTGCCTGCAAGATATCCGCTGCGGGAGAGAAAAAAAACGGTTTACAGCCTTAAATCCTACATCCTCGTATGTTGCTTGGCCTTCGCTTACCCAGCGCTTCGTCGTTGTCCTCGGTATCACTCGCTAATCTGAAGAGCGTAGGCCTCATCTTTTCACAGCGCTGGTAAAGATCCTGGAATCAAAGACAAGCTTGTCGTTCAGCTCAAAGACTTCTGATAATCTAGAAGATTGCCACTGCATTCACTCCACTGATGGTCCCGTCGCTCCTTTTTCCATCTCTTCAGAGTGGAGATGCTCCCCAGCAAATTAAAGCCTTCTTCATCTCCAGCTACCATCACCCGTAAATGGGTTTTCTATGGATAAAAGCTCTTCAGTGCGCAGTAATATTCTTACTTTCACTTTTTAAAATTCTGCCACTGATTTTCTTTGGCTCGAATTCACAAGACGGCTTAAGAACTCTTCTCATTCAAAATATTGTTTTGACTCATTTCCTCCACACGGATGACGGTTCAGGACTAAGCCTCCAGGTTTCAGGACTAATGCCTCAGAGAGCCCTTGACCCAGTTTCTTTTGTTTCCTTGTTTCAGAATCATTAGACTCCATAAAGACCAAAGCAACTCAAAACATAAACCTTTTTCAGCTGAAGCTGAAGTAGCTTTCTTGTGCAAAATTTGTTTTCCTTCATTAAATCCAGATGAAACCTTTTCTGGCCAAGCAGCTTATTTACATTGTAACAAACATCTTTGATCTTCAGCTTTCAATTACAAAGAGCATTTGTTCATGAAGGTTAGATAGCTCATATGAGTTTCTAAATAACATATCATTTTTCAAATTAAGTCCCTGATACTTTTGTACTTTTATCTCTGTGTCTGGTCTGCTTGCAGATCTTGTGGGAGGGGCTTAAACGCAACGTGGAACCAAGGCACTACAAATTAAGAAACAGGATACCACGTCAATTTGGGTCACTGTGCAGTCGAGACAAAAGCATAAATTCCAGTTGCAGTGTCATAAAAACCAACGTGTATGCTACACAGAGACATGCCAATAAAATAAATGTAAAAAACGAAGGCAAACCCAAAACAGGTTGCATAATATAGGAGGAAAATAAGACTAATTTATTTTGCATTTGATGCAAACAACGCAGAGAGATGCTGAAATGGTAGCAGATACGCTTCAAAAGCAGGTAAACCCATTCAAGTGCAGCTGTACACTAAAATGTTGAGTCAGCAGACGGGTATAAAATGGCTGCTTTGAAATGAGCTGAGCTCCACCGACCTTAATGAGCTCCAGGTTGCTCTGGGAGCAGCCATCCTGGCTGTAGCCCTCTAGCAGTTGGCTCAGCAGGCTCACACTTTCGTTCACCTCCTGAATGGCGTTTACTCGCTTTGATACTTTCTCCACTCGCTTTTGATCCTGGAAAAAGGGAGGGAGTGCTGCTTAATTTATCACAACATGGTACATGAAGGACATACTCATTTTAAGACTGTTCTGTATGAAGGCACATTAAACAAAAGACATTTTTAAAGTGGATTTTAAATATATAGTCAGGGTGGTTATTTTTTTATTACAAAGATAGTAAAATTCAACACGTTTAATACCATGCGCATTTAGCTCACTACACCAGTGATGGATAAGACTGTGGAGTCCTGTGTTGTGCAGATAGAAACAAAACAGACGGGGAATCAAAGTTGGTAAACAAAGCCATTGGCTCACCTCTTGGACCATTTCCTTGATGAGCTTGTTTGCTGCTCTTAAATCATCTGGGTGAGTGCTGTTCAATAAGCGGGACAACATCTACAACAACAGGATGAGGGAGAAGAGGGCGGGAATGGAAAGAGGAAGAGTATTTGTAAACCGTCAGCCCCTTCATAATTTCCCCAGGAGTTTCACTTCACGTGGTGGTGGTGGTGATTGGATTTTTCCACCGTGACTTAAATAAGTGCAGAACATGAAGATCTTTTTTTTTTTTTTTTTTAAACGTTCACAGGACAATAGAGGTGGTACGATTAAGTTAATCCCATCACGTTTTCATCTAACGCCTTCAACACTTCTTGACCACTTGTGCCACAAACCTTGGACTTCTCCTCATCCTCAAAGATGGCACTTTTGGCTCTTGGTGGAGGGGGTGGGAGGAGCTTGTCATCAGGAAGAACAGGATCTTGCTTTACAATGCCTGGAAACAACAAGAACCCCCATTAACCTCACGTTAAAAACAAACCCCTCAACAGCTCGGCTTCGGTTTGTGTACAGATGAGTTACAGAGTTAGAAAGCCATCAGACTCAGTACAGTCCCAAACAGCATTTGATGGACTAAGCAAAGCAAATAATGACAAATGTTGTCTTTCCTTTGCAAATAAAGATTGTGCTAAAAAAACGACCTATTGTTAGTCGTGTTCTGTCATGTCAATACATCTCCATTTTTTTGGATTCAGCTTCCCTTGACTCAGAACATTAGTCTCATGTTTGTGTTAAAAGGAGAACTGATACTACCTACCTAGATAATTAAATAGAATATGGAGAACTAAAAATGACATTATCATCTTAGGAACGGAAAAAGAAAAAGAAAGAACTTGCAGAAACTAATTTGAAGCTTGAGGCAGAATGAAAAAGCTTTTCAAAATGATCCTTTGTCATTTATGAAGGGCACCCACCCTGTTTTTTCAGCATGTGATAAGCTTCTGTTATCTTGGTCTCATCAGGGAGCTTCACAGTCCAGCTGTACATTATTTCTAAAACCTTCTTCTTCACTGGCTCTGGAGCCCGGGCTCCTAAATACTGCATGGACAAAATGAGAGAAGATCTTTGAAGAAAAGTGTTTTCTTCTTTGACATAGTCAGCTGATCAATTCCACTTATATTAATTTATCAGTTCACATCGCTTCATAAAATAAACCCCCCTCATTGGTATTGTGTTGCTGCCAAAAAGTTCAGAAGCTTTAAGAACACACTCATTACCTTAGGTGAGACCACCTTGATGAGCTCATTAAGAAAGCGAAACTTCCCCACTTCGCTGTGAAACCGCTTTCCACAGTTCCTCATACAAGTCTCAAGTGCCTATTAATTATAAAAAAGATTTTCATGTCCTTGATTTTCACATGTTTACAGACAAACATTTCCAGGAATTACTTTCTCGATCCATCTCTCACCGTCAGCGCTTGCATCGCCTCCCACTCCTGAGGAGACTGGACTTTATGGGCCAGAAGTCTGGTCGCAAGCTGAGGGCTAATAAAGAACATATTATGTCAATGGTTGGGTATAAGACTGGGGTCTTTCAATTATTAATAATGCTTAAAATAATCTTTACAAAAAAACAATCAGAGTCTCTCCATTTTAGTCAAAAATTAACATAACACATGAAACCTCACCCGTCTGGTTCATTGTCAATCTGATCACAAAAAGCCTTGATAGTTTCCCAGTCAGTGTCCTTATTCAGAGGATTGGTAGCTTTATCTGTGTGAAACATAAAGACATCATGCTAAAACTTTGGATTAGCTCTATAATCTTGCTATAAAAGCTGTACTGCGATGCTCTACAAAAACTGAGACATCTGGTTGATTTATCATGCAGACAACCAATACCCTGGTTAGGGTTATAAGTATGGAATTATTGCAGAAGTGCCAGAGTTCCTGGGGCTGGGTCACTGTTTGCTGAACTGGTTTGACATAGTCCTGAAGGTTTGTTAGCGTTCACGTTACTGAGTATTGTGAGATTGAAAATATAAATCACATCGTTGCTTTGTCACACATTGCAGAGAGACAAAATTAACAGAGCTCACAGACATTACAAAATGTGCTAAATATGTGTACATATTTTTCCTTCCTTGTCGCCAGCTGTACTTTTTTATTTGATGACATTTCTGACTTCTCACGTGAGAAATGTGTCACTCACAACAGGAAATGTTGCAATTCTTTATACATTTCAATATCTTATCCATTCTACAATTGTCACCTCGCCTTCAAAACTTTATCCGACATTATGATATAATATGACTTACTGATGCGTGACTGCAGGCTAACCTCATCTGAAGGCGCCGCCGCCATCTTTCGGGAATTCTTAACAAGTGGCTAGTATCACGTGACATTTGTAACATCTCGCGTGGATAGCAACCCGAGCAGCAGCTGCTCTACAGCTCCCCCAGTCGGGCCAAAGGGGAACAACAGGGTGGTTGTCAGAAAGGTTGCGGGCAGCCTGCCGATGCTGGAACCGACTTGGATGGCTTAGCAGCGGGAGAATGGCTGCTTTAATCAAATACTGAAGGACTAGTTTTGCACAATTTGCTCTCGTTTTTTCGTCGCATTGAGAGCACATTGAAGAGCGAGCGGTTCGACAGACTCTTCACCCAGCGTTTCAACAGCCGTTACAGTCACTGAACCAACTGACAAAAACCCGTCGCGGTCCACCTCAAGGAGGAAACTCTCACCCGTGCTTCGACCGTATCTGCATCATAGTCAGAAACAGCTTTCGTTGTGTCACAAAAAGAAGACAACCTGCAAACTTTGGACTCGCAGTAAGCTACCAGTGCTGCTTAGCTAACGTATCCACGTCAAGAACTTTGCTGGCTCCGGTTATCAGCTCAGGTTATCAAACATGTTCCGGCTAATTTGATTTGAGGACGTCTGCGTTTCGCTTACAGGAAATGCAGTTCCCAGTTATTTTTCCTGCTCGCGAAGTCCGCTAAAGTCTCGGTCAATTGCAAGCCATGCTAGTACTTTTAAGGCGGCTCGGTGGCTTGGTCTGAATGTGTCCCATCGGGTGTTGGCTGGCTCGAGCTCCGGGACCCACGCGCCGCTGCTCACGAGTCTCGGACCCCAAAAAACATCGCCTTTCACCCACAATAACGACGTTTATTTGACGACAGTATGATGGGTTCTCTGAAGGCTCTCCAGGAGTGGTGTCGGATACAGTGTGAGAATTACAACGACGTGGAAATAAGGGACATGTCAGCGTCCTTTCGGAACGGCTTGGCTTTCTGTGCCATCATCCATCGTTACAGACCAGATCTCATGTAAGTAACGTCAAATCTGAGATATAACGTTGACACCAGATACCCAGACACAGCGGATTAAGACGCAGGTATAACGTGTGCTAAAACGGTAAACCGGTTTCTGAGGCAGCAGCCGGTTGCAGGAAGACTTGGGGACGTTTTCAGGCTGCTGTCTGTTTGCCTTTAAAGGTACACAGGGACGATACTCACCTGAGTGTCAAACACTCAGGATGTGAATGCAAACTCAGTCAGCTGTGAGCCCAGATTATTCTGTGCCACATACCAGAGGAGCTGGTTGACTCATGTCAACAAAAAAATACTTCATTTGAACACTTTAAAAAAGCAGAAAGCCTAAATCAAGCCACTACACCCAAACAGCAGATAATGGTTATATTGTTGGCTGGATACCTAACAATTTCTGCTTCGTAATAATACGTTTATTAAAGCGTTAGAGGCCAGTGTGGTGTAATAAACCCAGACTGACAAGCTGTGCCCTGTCTGTGACAACACACCCCTCCTTTTCGCATAGTAAACCTACACAGAGAGCACCACAGATACCACAAAGCACAATAGCATCTGTGATTTGTGTGGTTTATTATAGGGAGAAGGAAATGATGGCCCACCATTGTTCGAGTTCAGGTCAAAATCAGACACTTTTAGTCATTGTTGGGCAGCCGTTTGACTAGTGTCTGTTCAAACTCAGCAAACTGACTATCCTGTGAATATCCCAGTACCTCTGACTCATAGAAGAGGATCACCATGAGTTGTTTTAAAAGCATGTTCCTACATCATCTTCTTTGAAATTGGCCTATGCCACATATCATTTAAGCTCCCACATTCCCGTGGGTTAATGCGCTGTTGTCACATCACAGGACAAGTCGTGCCAAGTAAAGAAATTAACCTGACACACGTCATAGTACAATAAAGGTTTTTCTAACTAATGTCAAGTTTTCCGCTTTTCAGGTTTCACCGTTATTTTTTTCTATCCATTCTTTTTGCATTGACACCGTAGATCTACATTCAGTTAGTACAAATCTAGATATCATCCAAAGCAGTCGCCTTTTTTGCTTGTTGGATCACTGATGTAATGACTATAGTATAAATTACCTCAGAAGATGGGTTACTGCGCCCATATGAGTCATTGTTTGGTGGGGTGGAAACTTAGAGCTATAAAATTAATGCCAAATATAGTAAAACATTCCCTCCTTTTTATTGTTGCGTGTTGATTATTTGTATATTTCTCCCTGTAATAATTTTAGAGTGCTTTGTCATTTGCAAATATCTTCAAAAATCATTCTCCTAATTCAGTTATGCATTCGTTTTCCATCCACTAATCCAGTTTCTACACCCGTTTAATCCAGTTTAAGGCCACAGAGTTGCTGGTAGCTATTGGAGCTGCTGTTGGGCAAAATTTAGGGTTGACCCTGATCGGGCATTCTGGCTGTCGCAGTGGAGAAAAAAGAGCTAAACTGAAGTTTGCACGTGCTCTTTCGTATCACTTCAGACATGACAGTTCCACACAGAAATGATTTGTTTGTACCACTTCACCATTATACTGTAGAAAGTGTAACCCAATATCTTATTTACAATGTGATAACTCCAAATACCCCAAAACTCGAACCTCTATTTGTCTCACACAGAACGTGGAAAAGCTTGTCTGTGCAGCATAAAGTATCTGTGTCAGCTTGGCCTGCGTCTGAATGTAGTAAAGTAAACGCTGATCTGAGCAGCCACTGAAGTGGAAAACATCCACACAAAGGACACAGCAGTGAGGCTTACAGTTCACAAGTGGACCGATCCTTAATACCCTGTTTTTGAGCTTGTCTCAGTCCGTGCCCCACTGTTCAACTTTCCACATAGCTGCCAATGACCAGCCACACTCACCCTGATGCAGACAGACAGCCCGTCTGGCTAATACTGACCCCACTGCCTGAGCTCAGACCTCTGCCTGTCACACTGGATTTGGGTCTCATGCAGAGCCGGGCCACTGCCGTTCAGCTCCGCACGTCACAGCCAGTGTGGACCTCATCAGAATATAAGGCACTTCAGCAGGAGTGAGATGTTAGAGGAGAGAGCAGTAGCTCAGGTCAGCCGTCACTTAGCCTGCTAGCAGCTCCTGGTCAGGGGCCAAAAAAGGTCATTTGTTATTCAAACTGCTCAAACACTCACACTCTTGTATTGCTTGTCTGCGCCCTCTGTGGAAATATGAACACATTTTAATTATGTATTTACACATTCAACACCTTCTCTTCTAAATTGCATGTTATTTAATATAATTTAATCAATAAGCTGAGTAGAATTCATTACAGTGCTGCTTTGTCACTTTTGTTAGTGCGACTAGACCAAGTCCAGCTGGTCTACTGGTTCTTGCAGGGTTTCGGTCTTGTGGCTTCTGAATACCTGACACACATGCAGGCAGAGACACACCATTCCTTAGCCGTCCTCTCTCCCAAAATAAACCTGGAGGGACCATCTGAGTCACGGTGGATTAGTTTCGCGGTTGCAGTCTCACGCTTCATCATCCCCTCTGGTGACAGCTCGCTCTGTTCTGAAACCCCACCAACAGTTTTGAGTGTTTTTTACTCCAGGGTTGCAGTTGTTGTTGTGTGGGGGGCAGAGCCGGCCCGGTGTATGTAGTCTGACACTATCTTGATATTAGTGTTGCTGCTCGGTGTGCTTTGTGGCCATGGGAACTAGATTAGAGAGAACAGAGGTCACTTTGTGTGGCTCCAACACGGAGCTCATTCATAGGATTTCGCCTTCTTGAAACTTCCACATGTTTTCCGCGCGCCCCCATCGAGGTTATGGTGGGTTTTTGTGTTGTTCCTTTTTCCATCACTGCGTTGTCTGCACTTCAACACACATTTGCTTACTTACACAAGTGGGCTTTCATCTCCGAGCCCCTCAGACACTTTCCAGTTTTACAGCAGGAAGTTTACTGGCAGGAGTCTGTTTTTATTTCCAAGCTGAGCCTTGTAATTATCAGCCTTGCTCCCGCTTGGCCCGGCTTCATTCTTTCCTTTTGTTCCGCCCCTCAGTCATAGTTAAGATTATCGATTGGCTATTGTTAACTGTGCTGAGGGGCAGTACTGTCTTTTACCAGTGAGGCTTTTGCGGTTTTTAATTAATTCCCTTTTCTATGTCGTTTCAGAGATTTTGACTCGCTGTCCAAAGAAAATGTCTACGAGAACAACCGACTGGTGAGTCAGATTACCAGCTGCGCATTTTGAAACTATGATGTCATCATCTTTTGGAAAGACTTATAAATTCTGGTTGTGGCTGAGCTCATTTCTATCCACCGCTTAGCTTTCAGCGTCCCATCTGTTACCACCTAGTGAGCCTTTCCAGTGTAAGCAGTCCTTTCGGCAAGATTGCGGTATTTGACTGCCTGTGTGAGGAAAAGTTATTTAATCCTGGTGGAGCCTGACAAGGACACACAGTGGGAAGTAGAAACCCGGACTATTCCTGGTCAGGCATGTAGAGCATCAAGGGGATAAATTTAAAGCGCAAATGACTAGAGTTTGCAGCAGTAAATGTCAGTAAATATCCCCAAAATAATGCTGGATAATTGCCCTCATATGCCATAAAGCGCCGTGTTGTAGATAATGAAGGTTCTCCTGCCGTATAGAGCATATATTATTATTTTAGAATCACATATAAGAGCCACAGAGCTCATTTGTTGTGAATATGTAATGTGGCTGCATTGTACGCTAAACCACAGTGCAGGAAACCAAGACTTATCTGAGCCACAAGCTTATATTGGTTGGCTGAGTTATTGCAGAGCTTTGTGGCTGCCAGTCTGGTTATGTAATCAGATCTGTGCACGGATCATTTCAGTTTTTTTCCTGACCTCGCTGTCAGTTATCTTCAAAGGGCAAGAGCATCAGATCGTTCAGGAAAGTCAGTACATCTGCAGATTTTTTAGCTGGAAGGATTATTTTTTCATTTGAATGTCTGGAAATACTCCTTTTAAAAGTTCACATAAAGCTTAAAATATCCAAATTGGCTGTAACACCCAAACTGATTTCTCTCTCATTTTTGTTTCCTTTTTTTTACTTAGGGTTAGGGTTAGGGTTTATCAAAGACATTTTCTTGTCTTACACCATTCTGTTTCCTCTGTCTTTGTTTGGTCACAGGCATTCGAGGTGGCTGAAACACAGCTGGGCATTCCAGCCCTGCTGGACCCGGAGGACATGGTGTCCATGAAAGTGCCTGACAGACTTAGCGTCATCACCTATGTCTCCCAGTACTACAATTTTTTCAACAACAAGTCACAAGGTACGTCCTCCCAGCTCCGTTTATATGAAACAATGTAATTTGTGGGTCAAGCTGCCCGAACAGCTGACACAGACTCTCTGTCTTCCACAGCAAACCCACCCTGCATAAAGAGGCTGAGTTCTGCTAGCCATAATGAGCCGGCTCAGAAAAGGCCTCCGACGCTTTTAGAGGACAAAAAGCTTGAAACCGATGTAAGTAAAAGATGTGACATGAGGAGAAACCATTTAGGGGGAAAACCCTTACTTTTGCCCAAAAGCCTGGTAGACTTTGGTCCACACTGATCTACAGAAGCCATGCATGAAAATGGTAGAAAGCTGTATTAATCTGTTGTTGGAATATACAGCAAAATCATTTCATGTTGTGTGTTAATACGCATCCCAAGCTTTCAAATATATAACGTCATTGTGCATGAACTACTGGGATTACTAACTGTCTTTGAGGGGCAACAATGGGTAATATCCACGTGTGGGTTTTTATGTGTCTACTTCCGCATGTGAGCATTATCTTGCACAGCAGGGGAAGGGCCAAACTGTAGCAGTGGAGTAATTCTACAAAGATAGCCTCTGTATCCTGTCTCTCTTTTCTCTCGCATGCCTTTGACTTCTTTCCTCCGTCCCATACTGGCATCCTCCTCATCACCCCACCCCGCTCCTACTCCCCTCTTCAGATGGAAATTCATTCCACTCCCTCCTCTTCCTGTTCTTCATCCTCATATCTGGTTCCCCCTCCACTCTCTGGTCCTGAGCCTAGGCAGTAGTGTGGGGGTAGGGGCTGGGTTAGCAGGTGAAAGGAAAAGCTGGTGGGTCAGTGGTTTTCCAAGTATCTCTTGTGAATAAAGCCTAACAGTGGTGTTATTAACACTGTGTTTTACAGTTTGCTGCTTCTGACCCCCCTTTGTAACACATAACACACCCCTACATGCCTAAGATCCTTTCTTTTATTAATAAATCATAAAGATCAATCCCAGCCAAAATACTACCAGAGCCACTAACCCGAGCTGTTGTGATTTTTCACTTTTAAATACTTCGTTATAACCAAACATTTTTTTGTATCATTCAAATTATGCTTTAAGTAAAAGCAGAACCATATGAATCAATTAACCGTAGGCGTTTGAGTAACTAACTACATGTAGCTAGCCAAACAGAATGAACAATCCTCATCCTCAAATCCTGACTCCGTGTATGATCTCCCCCTCCCCCATTACTCTCCATCTTGCCCCTTCCCCTGATGTGTCCCCTTCCTGCAAACAACCTTCCGGTCGCTTGCATCAGCCAATCCAGCCTGCACAGGCCGCCGCCGAGGCCGCGGCGAAGCGCAGCTCTCTGAGCAGCACCTGCGCTGCCTGTCAGAGGCACGTCCACCTGGTGCAGAGGATTCTGGTGGAGGGAAAGCTCTACCACCGCAACTGTTTCAGGTGAGCGCCTCGCCAGCGGCTGCCTCCGAAAATATTTACCCGATTCTGGTGACTGAAAGAGATTCTTAAAGTCTTTGGGCTAATACTTCAGCAAAACCACAGCAAACATTTAACTATGGCTTAACTTATTTGTAACACAGAAACTCTGTTTGTCCACTCACACTAGAGATCGCAGGTTATTCTGGGGAATAAAAAGATTAATATTACTTGACTTAAAGTAATAAACATCTCAAAGAATGCTTCATTAAGATATAAGAGAGATATAAAAGAATTCCGTTGATTATGAAAAAATTAAAACCAAGAGTTTTACCATTGAACAGTTATACAAAAGATGCTTACAGTTTTTACAATTAAAAGTAAACAAGAAATAAAATATGATAACTAGAGACTGGACGTTTGTGTTCTGATCTTCCTCCTCAGGTGCACAGAGTGTCACAGCACATTAATTCCGGGATCCTACAAAGGAAGCGATTCTGGGGCATTAATTTGCAGACATCACCTGACAAGACACGCCGCGGCCAATCAGAACGGCCGACCAGATCTTAGTAAGCGGCCGGTGGTAGATCCGTCTGCCAGGACCGGCGGCAGCACAGTTCAGCACGCCGCGCCCTCCGAGAGGGACCAGGAAAAGATTCCAGCCCAGGCCAGTGACTCAGCCACCGCAGCTCCTGTTGCCTTCACCAAAGAGGAGAGTTTAGACGGTGCAGAAGAGACAGAAGGCAGTAAAGAGACAGAAGACAAATCTCGGCCCTCCTCTCCTCCCAACCCATTTGATGAGAGCGATGAGGAGGAGAATGAGGAGGAAGAGGAAGAAACCCAAACACCCGCTAAATGTACGTCTAATGGGGAGCTCCCTTCGACTCCGCCCACTCAGGTGGAGGGAGCCGGTCGACCGGTGCCTGCACCCCGAAGGGTTTCCGAACCCACGCCCGCGCCCCGCCCGGCCCCTCGGGTTCGGCCGCCCCGCACCGCAAACGGCCTCATACTCGGTGAACTTTGAGTGTTTGGTTTTGTGGATCGTGATTTATTTCAAATGATAAAAGAAAAAGGTTGTGTTTGCTCATTATGATCCTTTTTAACTACAGATGAACATCTGAAGCCTCCAATTCCTCCCAAACCCCGAGAAAGATCACGGTCTCCTGGCAGGTAGCCGAAAACACCTGGTTTTCTGTCTCTTTTTACGATGTTTAACCAGCCTGATTCACATCATCAGACTTTGTTTGTTTGTTAAAGTCCTAAAAACACTTTGTTTGCACCTTCATGCCTCCATATGGATGTATATTGTTTCCCTCTGTGTGACCCCCCTCCATCACTATTTGTGTGTCTCACTGTTCAGTGGAACCCATACACCCAAAGACCCACCTTGGCTTGCCCTGGTCCAATCAGAACCCAAGAAGAAGAAAGCTCCTCCCCCACCCCCTCCTGGACTGACCACACCTCCAAAAACAGGCTCTCTGTCTTCTCTCCAAGGGGAGGGCTCCAGACCCAGCACCCCCCCACAGCCCTCCAACCCGTTTGAGGATGACGACGATGAAAATTGTGTGGTAAATGAAGAAGAAGGGAGTGAAGAGGCAGTTCCCCCTACAGTGGTGGCCAGCCACCCGTGGTACCGCATCACCCGGGCAGCCGAAACGGCGGGCAGCGACACGCCGGGCAGCTCCTCCCGGTCGGCCAGTCCCGGGAGCGCCAAGAGCAAGAAAAGGCCGGCACCTCCAACTCCTGCGCCAGCCACTGGTCAGCAAGGTTAGATCCCACACCTGGAGGCCAGAGTTTTCCATCATTACCTTTCCATATTTAACGCGTTTCCCATTTCATTAGCACAACTATATTTTTAAAGCGTCTTTGAGCCAAATCACCTTGCAGGATGTACTGAATAATGAAATAGTGAAATTGTCAAGCTTCAGCTTCTTTTAAGTGGGGTCTGCTTCTTGTGGGAATTTTTTATTAACTTTAATATTCATAACCCCTTAGACCAGGTTTACCAAAATTCAGGAATATGATTACAAAAGCTTTTCAATTTACTATTATTCTCACTCTGAAATATGCTATTTGGTTTGTGAAAGGTCACATTTTAGCTAAAGCTGGCTGCCATCTGAATAGGACAAAAATGGCTTCTTATAAAACAGTAATTAAAATGATCAGGACAGGTGTTCTCTGAATAAAAGGTTAACAAGCTTTTTTCTTATGTCTCACCCTCTTTCCATTTCAATTCGCTCCTGTTTTGTCCCTGCTTCCTTTGCTTCTTGTTTTCCCCCTTAACCTTTCTTCTCCAGCTCTGTCTCACTCTCAGCCCTCCTCCTGCTCCCCCTCTCCAGCTCTCAGTGTGGAGAGCTTGTCCTCTGGCTCGGACCACAGCTCCTCCCTGCTCCCTCCGGGTGGCGGTGCCAGCAGCGACCAGGAACAGGGCTTCACCAAAAGCGTGTCGGAGCCCTCCATCTGCTCGCCCTGCGACGGCCCTTCCTCCCCTTCCTCCTCCTCAGCCGACCGTCTGCACCAAACCTCCCCGGGCCCGCTCCCCCCCTCCGTACCGTCGACCGCCAGCTCAGCTCCCGCCACCCCACAGGCCACCCGCACCGCAGAGTCCAGAGGTCCAGGAGCCCCCCCACCGCGGCCCGCTGCAGCCCCCAGCCCCCTGGCCACAAAGTCGCACAAAAAGGTAGAAGAAGTCTTCTTAAGATAAAGCCTTAAAGAATCTGCCCATTATTCCAATCCAATCCAATCCACCTTTATTTATATAGCACGATTTAAACGAACACAGGGTTTTCCAAAGTGCTGCACAAAAACATATCCAGAAAATAAATAACACAGTAGAAATTCAGCTAAAAGTAAATTCATTTCGTTTCTCTTTTTTAGCGGATTTGTAAGGAGAACCCCTTCAACAGGAAAGCTTCTCCCTCACCAGCTAAATCTCAGGACAAGCCTCCAAAAGGCCCTCGCCCCGCTCGGCCCCCGGCGCCCGGACACGGCTTCCCGCTTATCAAACGCAAGGTAACAATAAAAAAAGAGACAGATAACGGTCTTAGTGAGACATTTGGAACAGATGTCACCGGTGCTCAAACGCTCCAAACTCGCTTGCAGGTGCAGTCGGATCAATACATCCCGACAGAGGATATCCACGGGGAGATGCTCCAGCTGGAGAAGCAGCTGGACGAGCTGGAGCAGAGGGGCGTGGAGCTGGAGAAGAAGCTGAGAGACAATCCCAACGGTAAGACGCGGCCCCGCCCGTAGCTCCAGCCCAACCCAGCTCAGTCCGGGGTTTCGTCACGTTTAAATGTTGCTCCGCGTCTCTCTGTTAGACGAGGATGAGGAGCGCCTGCTGGTGGACTGGTTCACTCTGATTCACGACAAGCACCTCTTAGTCCGCCGGGAGGCCGAGCTGGTCTACACGTGAGTGACTAACACACCAGTCTGGAAAGATAGAAGCTCTGGTGGACCTCTGTAGAGGTTTCTCTACAGGTCCGTTTTGATTTTAGCACAGTATTAAAATGATGTTTGTTCAAATTGTATCCCAACGTTTCAGGTAATTCAGATAAATCCAGCTCTCTTTTTCTTGTTTGTTTTGTTGCTCATTTTTTTCGGGTTTCCAATGATATTTTTTTTATAAAGCCAGTGGAGAAAGCGGTTTAAAAGTAGTAAATGAGTGGTTATGTTCTAACATAGTATGTTATGGTCACCACAGGGCAAAGCAACAGAACCTGGAGGAGAGGCAAGCTGATGTGGAGTACGAGCTGAGGTGTCTGCTTAACAAACCAGGTGAACAACTCTGCCGTGTCCTGTTTCCTTCACTGCCCACCTCGTTTTAACTGAATGCATGTATGCTGCATAGTTTTTATTTGGTTGGAACAGAAAAAAAGAGCTCATGCATTCCTCATGGTGCATGTTCAGTGGATCCTTATCTTTTAATGTAATCTGATAATGAAAACCCTCCTGACAGGATAATTGATGAGCCTTTTAATTATGCAGCTAATACTGTTCTGATATGTTTCCGCTGCAACAAAGTGCTTCTGTTTAACATATCTAGTAATTGCTTTATAAATTAATTTAATGGATGTTAAGTTGATGGCATGCATCGATTTATCAGAGACTCTGCTGTATTCCCACTCACTCATAAGGCGTCTTTAATATGCAAAGACCATTCAATTCTCCCTTCAGGCTCATGTTTCTGAGTTCAGACTAGGATCAGGCTTAGAATAGCATCTCATCATTATTTATTTTCAGTATAGAAACTTCTAAAGCCCACTGTATGAGTAGAAAATAAACACAACACAAGTTCAATCTGTACCAGTCGGGTCCATCTTCTCTCCTTTTTATATCTCCATCTATTCCTTTTTCTGCTTCATTTGTTTATGTTTCTGCCAAACTAGATATAGTCTCAGAACAGCAGCAGATGTCAGGAGAGAAATTCTAACAAAATCTTCCTCCTGTCTCACGTGCAAAACACATCCGGATCTGTTCATCACACACTTTGCCCCTTTTTTCATATTTTTACCAGAGAAAGACTGGACTGAGGAGGACAAGAGCCGAGAGCAGGAGCTAATGGCTGAGCTGGTGACCATCATCGAGCAGCGCAATCAGATCGTGAACAACATGGACCAGGACCGGCAGAGGTAGCCAAAGGCCTCCATAACCGACAGCCTGAAACTCAGTAGTGTGCCGAAGTGTACTTTTTGGTTTGACTTGCTACTGTTCTCTGTAACAGGGAGGAAGAGGAGGACAAACTTATGGAGGCCATGCTGAAGAAAAAAGGTAAAGACCCATTCAGTGATCAAAGAACACGCCTCGTCCTCCTTAACCCGTTGCACTCAGTTTGATTGTGATTTTTTTTGGTTTTTCTCTGTTTCAATCCTCGTCAGATTTCCACAAAGATCCAGACGGTGAGCACCAGAAGAAAAAAGGGGCAAAGTTTAAACCCATCAAGGTGCTGAAGCGGCTGAGTCATAAAGGCGAACCGGCGAAGAGCCCTCGCAAGGACAAAAGCTGAGCAGCTCCGGAGGACGTGAGACTTTTTTATCGAATGCCGAGACAAGGAGCATATCGAGCTCAAGCAAACGGAGTCTTAACTTGTATTACAACTCCCTCAACTCCTGCAAAAGGTCCATTGTGTCTGCTTTCAGCTGTCTTTGTGTCCTCTAACAAGACAGTCTAACAACTCAAGTGCTTTAAGAGCTTCGAGCTCTGACTTTTAAAGCTAGTGAAGCGTTAAACAGATTTCCGTTGTCCCGCACTGATGTGTTTTGCTCCCCTCGCATTGGTCAGTGACGGCGTCCCGAAGGCCTTCGTCAGGGTCCAGCTAAGGTGAACCCTGAGTTTTTAACGGACGCGCCTGCTTTAAAGCCCTTTCATACGCGTCTGTCCTTCTCTGTGTTTGGTTGTCGACGTATCTAACGTCAGCCTGTGGTACTTGCTCGTGTTTTAGCTTTAGTTTTAAGCTCGTTTCCTCAGAGGACTCAGCTCTGTGATGCACAGCCCGACACCGTTAGCTGCTAAGCCGTCTCCTGTTTTCTTTCCTTGTTGTTGGTGTAAATGCCAGAAAGACATAGATGAAGGTTCCATGGTTTAGATGTGTGAGGAAAGGCACAAAAACGTCCCATGGAAAATGTTGTAAAGGTAATAAGCTGCAGAGGTGTTTTAGTTTTTACGAAATAGGTCATAAATCCAGTAGGTATAGAAGCAAAACATGCAAACCGTAAGAAAATACCAGCTTTCAGCTTCCAGCTGTTTTAACCGCAGGAGCACAGTCAGCGCCTGTATATGCAATCATGAAGTTCCCCGGCCTTTCTGCTTGTGTTTTGCCTTCAGACAGAAAGAAACCAATGCAATAACATGAGTGCCATTTATTTAATTTTATATGTGGATGAAAGTCAAAGTGTTGATGTAACTGTTTGTGTGTTTTAACTCCCTCTTATTCCAGCTTTATCTTTAAATCATGTATGTTTTCCTCCGTTGTAAATGCCCTTCTATATCGGCCTGATTTTTGTTTCCACCTGAACCCATTGGCTTCTGTGGCCATTCTGTGTCCTAAAACAGCGGCAGAACTATTAGAAGTACTGACACTGTAGAAAAAAATAAATAAGTTAATGCAAGTAGTCGATGTCTTCTGTGCTGACTGATGTATCGTCGCCCCACAGCTGCTCATACGGGAAAACTTGTTACAGCTCAAGGCCACCAGTCGGTCACAGCCCTCTGCAGACTTTAGGTTCATAGGTCTGGGTTGAGTCTTGCTTCCAAATAAAAAGTTTGAAGGATCCGACAAGGTGCGTGTGGTCCGAAGAAAAACAGTTTGTCCCGCATGCTTTTTTTTTATTAGGTTCTACTCGGGATCTTTCTTTCGTTTTAACTGCTCCAGTTCCCGAATTCTCTGTTGGAATAAGAATAAATCATATCACTTTATCACAGATTTAAAGCTGTTTACACTCTGAGGGGTGTGTATTTATTTACAGTCCTGTGCAAAAGTCCTGGAACACAGATTTGGTCCTCAGTTTGTGAGCATTTTTCAAAAAAATGAAACAAAAACACTTAGAAAAGTCGCTAAGAAAACTTCAGCAAACCTCAGCATTTCCTTGTTAATCAGGATTTACTTTTAACAGCATGACAGTACCTGTGATATCTGCGTGTTTATAATGATGGTGTACTCCCTCTCCTGACCCAGAGCCGCCATATCTGCCAGAAACTGCTTCCTTTCTTCTATTTCCATCATAACTGGAGGGAAAAAAACACAGACTTCATTTACAGCTCGTGGTTGCTGACACCTCTCCACCAGCTTCTGTTTCTGTCGAGTCAGCCTCACTTTCCTGATATCGATCCCTCTCCTCCGACGCCTCGGGCTGGCTGGATGCAGGAGGTTTTTTAGGCACTCGGGACTCTTCTTTTCCTGTTGCAAATATGCTCTGAAGTCTCCTCTTTTCTTTCTCCAAGTCTCCTTAAAGCGAAGCAGATAAAAAACAAGTGAGGAAGAGACCGAACGAGCGTCAGGACGCAGAGTTCTAATCAATGCAAATGGACTTAAATGATGAATCAAAGACGGGATTGGATGGTGACGTTTTGGGGAACATACGCGCGGGACCAGGGCGGAACATTTCTCTCTCGTAGCTGTTCCCGGACTGGCAGGATTCAGCGCTGCGTCTCAGAGGCCTCAGTGATGGCGGCCTCTGTACAAACTCTGTACTAACGACGGCTCGAGGCAAAGCTGCTTCATCTGAAGGGGAATTGTTTCTTATTTTATTGATACGAACATATAATGTTAAATACTTCACAAAAAAGTTAAGAAAAATATCTCATGTGAGTCCAACGTCTGCTTTGCTTACCTTCTGAGGATCTGACGACTTCTTTTCTTTTAAGATTCGTGAGCCTTGATTCTTCTTTGATAACTGGACAAAAGAAAAGAATGTCGAGAAGACCAGGAATTTATGCAAGTTGAATTTTGACCAGAAGTTCAACAAACTTTTTCTTACAGGTATTTAGATTATAAAAAACAAAACAAAGAAATGCATCTGAGTCTGCACTATTCTAGGACATTATTTAGATTGAAGCTATCTATTGGGCAGTTTCCCTCTTTGATTGCCTGAATACTTATTCCACTGATGATTTCATCTGTTTATATTTCAGCTTTCTAAGCTTAAAATAATGGATATACTCAACATGTTCGGGGGCGATGCAAAATACACTAAAAAGATTCGTCAAACGGGGGAAAACAGGATTGCTAGTATCAAAAACCTTCTCAGGCTGGTCAAAGAGGATCAATACATTAAAACTGTTTTACCCACCTCTCAGCAGGTCCTGGGCCTCCTTACTGCACTGGGGTCTGGGGCTGTTCCACAGTCCGTTGGCAGCACTACTCCGGGAGGAAGACTCCATCTGCAAAGAAAACTAAAGTTCAACAGGCATCTCAGGGAAATGCGGACATAAAACCCACGTTTGTCAGATACGCTGTGGCTGGAAACATTCAGCTGATTTCAAAGATCCAATTTTTTCTGCATACTCGACACATGAATGGGGATTTTTGTACTCCCTGTAACGTCTTAAGACGCATTGTTTAATAGTAATGGCTGATTTGAAAATAAGGATTGCAGTCTGGGCCTAAATGATCTGATTAAAGGGGAATAAACGAAGAAAAACGTATGAACAAATGCAAAAATAATTAACATCACCTCGTTTTATACGGTCTCTCCTGTTTAAACTATAGTCATTGAGAACGACGGCTTGTTGCCCTGGAAACGACGCAACAACAAACACTTCCGTGCAGGTGACGTCATTTTATCTGCTTTTTAAAATTAATTTTAAACTTTCCCATCTTCTGCTTTTTTTAAAGCAAATATGTATGTTTTCTTTCTTTTTTCTGCTTTTCATTCCAAGACAATATTTCAATAATTAATTTACGTGTTTATTTGCTTCTTATTGTTTGTTTAGGTTTGTATATTTGTAGTTTGTAGTCTCTTAAGTATCGTCGTTATCAAGTTTCTGTTCAGGAAATGTATATAATTGTTTGATAATAGTTTAATATGGTTTTATTAGAATATTTGGATCATTTAGATATTTACAAATTTCAGATATCGTACAAATGACTCAAGTGGTGATTCCGTCAGGAAAGGTGCAATGACAGGTCGAGGCCACCAGAGGGAGACAGGTTGGTTTTCATGGGATGACACTTCATCGTTTTGGGACTTTATCTGTAAAATCAACTGTTTTTGTCACGTTCAGCTTTCTGCAATTTAATGAATAGGCTGTCAAACTAGAGTAGGATAGCAGGAATTCAATCCTATATTTGCTATTATTTTTCTAGAGGGATCAATAAAAGGTTCTCACCAAGAGTTTCACATCACTGAACCTGCGTTATCAAAGTTTGTGTAAATTGTACAGATACCAATTACCTCATATCCAACACCCCCAGTTTCAAAGGCCCAAACAAACAAATTCCCAGTTTCTTTCTTTAAGGTGCATTTGGAGCTAAACCTTTTCCGACTTCATTTGTAATGTTAATGGCCTCATAAAGACTCTGCAGTGAAACTAGCCCCTCGACTTTAATAGTAGATGTGTTGTGTACTGATCTTTCAGAGAGAAAAACTCTTTATCAGCGGTGGTCTCGTCATCAGGGGTCCGCAGCAGTCAGAGCTCCGCTATCTGCTGCAGGACAGCAGCCTCCAATCTGCCCCGTGTGCTCAGATAAACAGCAGCCAAAATATAATCACCTTTCACACACAGGTCTTCTCAGAAGCTCCATGCTCTCACCCGGAATACTCAGAGCGGCCGGCGTAGATGCGAGGGTTAAACTATGAGCAGAAAAACAAAATAGGACTCACTTTTTAGACTGGATTGTGAAGCAATGAAACGTTTCGAACATCTCTGTCACTTTTAGATTAGTAATTTCTGAGTTTACATTATTCGTTGTTTAAACATGGACCTTTCTGAATAAGATGACCCTAAAAGATTTTTTGAATAGATTTTTTAAAATAATATAAAGCTACAGTCTCCATTGCTGTGTATTCTAGGGGTTTGGTTGCATTGATAATAAATTCAATAATTTGCAGGATTATTTTTGTTTTCAAATCCCTGTAAACATTTCTAACCTTATCGTTATAATTACAACTACACACTCGGATTGCTAAGAACGGCAACTAGTCACTGCTATATCAACATTTTTGTTTGGATAAAGTGTATTTCAATTCAATTTAAAACACTCCCCTTGTTTTATTTTGTTTTATTTTCAAGTATTGGAATACTTTAGTTATTTGTTTGTTGGTTTTGCCACTTAATGCTGACCCATGAATCCTTCCAACTTCAAAGATATACAAAGGCTCCTCTATCAAGGTATAAAGCAGATTGGGATCATTCTGACATAGAACTGGACAAAAGGCAGCTAATATCCAAAGAAGAGTTTCTGGATGTCCTGAAAAACACCCAGAGAACTAAACAACATTTGTCTGAGAGGGTTCCAGTACTCAGACTAAATATTAATTTGAAAGCGTGTTGATAGAGTATATGCATTTAGTTATTCCTGTTTTTACTGTATTTCAGCTTATGACGCACGTTTCAATACTTTAAACCTTTTTCCTGTTGAGATGAGTAGTTCATTTTGCACTCTGCTCTCTTAACTTCATTTTTCTCATGTATCCCCACCATGAATTATCCTGTTATCCGTGTTCTTTGGGAATGGGAAGTCAACTTTGGTACTTTTGGAGTTCTATTTATACATAATAACTGAATGACTCCACAGAAAAGTTTTGTATTAATTAAACCTGCCTCCATGTATCTTTAGCTTGATGTGGATCAATGTCTTTGAGAAGTGTTTTTTGTTTTTTTAGAGTTGAGGGGAGATACTAAAGTTTGTTTGTGATCACAAATGAGCAGTTTTCTGATGTGAAGAAAAGGAAACAGTAAAGTAATTCACACTTATGCTCCTCCTCCTCCTCCTAACGGTCCAAACCTACGTGAAAGAGAGAGATTTGAAGTTGGACCAACAGCAGACAGAGATAGACAAGACAGAGGAGGGAGAGATAGTGAGCAACCTGACAGAAACCGCTCTCTATGGCCCGTAGGACCTGGAAGCTCTGAGTGGACTGGAACTGGGAGGGCTGGCCTGTTAGCTAAGGGTAAGACGGTCATGTAAAAAAAAAAAAAAAAATGTTGAAAAAAAAAGGACAAGACCAAAAACAAACAAATAAAAAAACACTTTACTGTTATTGATACATCTGCCGCCTGTCCGAGAGCTTAATGGCTGTTACCCAGGCCGTGCTCCCGTCCTTCAGCTCCTTTTCCAGCCTATCGCACGCCACCGACAACATGAAGGTAAGAACCACCCTGACTTCTAATGTTTCCGTCCTGACAGAAATATAAACAACTTCGAGTGTCATTTTTGTTACATCACACAAGTTGATTGTGATGGTTTATTTTACTTGACAGTTATATTTCCTTAGTTATTACTGGTTTGTGACGGTTAGAATTTAGTTATTAGTTTGTTTGGATGGCATTTTTATATATGATCTTATTCATTTGCGGAATCATTAATTTCTTAGGTATGAAAATGTGAGTCTGTTCTTGATGTCATAGTGCTCTGAATGCAAACTCGTTTTTAATATAATGTTACATGGCCGACTGAGGAAGGGCCGCATGGCAAGATTTTGTGAAATTTGCTTTATCTGTTAATTTGAAGGTGGCTTTAATCGAAATGAATGATATATTTGTGTTTATCTGCGTTCTGAAATGTGCATTTGTTTCCTATTGTCTCTTTCTAAAGACAATCCACGGACAGAGTAACGTAATAAATTGTCACCTTTGGATGTAAAAACAAAACTGAATAATATGAAAATTCCAGTATTCAGTATGAAAGATCAGTTTTTATGACAGACATACATACAGTGGAACATTTAGCATTTTTACTGTAAGAAATATTTGTTTTAACACCGTAATAATCTTTTATGACACATAAATTAACTTTAGAATACTTAAAACATCATGTATGTGGTTTTGATGTCTGAGTAACAGAACAACAGGTGCTTCAGTTCATGTAAAGTTTTTAGGAGATTTCGTCTTCATATTATAAAAGGTAGTAATGTTTTTTCTCATGTTCCATTGAAACCTGTATTCTTCACTGTTGTTCATCCAGGTATGGAAGTCAGACGAGGGGTCTCTTCCTTTAGACTCTCTGGGCAACAAGTTGTCGCCCGGTAGCTCCGATCAGGTTCCAGTCTGCCAGCAAGTGACCGAGGAGCTCCTGGATGATGAGAGCCAGGCATCCTGGGACATTGAGTTCTTGTTGTCTGAGTGGAGCCGCTCTTCTCCTGACCTCAACCCCCCTTTGGACAGTCAACAGCTCACCCAACCCGACCCAAACTCAGCCTACCTGGAGGGGGGCGTGCTCAGGGACCAATCGAGGCCGGAGGGTCTGCAGATGAACACTGGGGGGCTCATGACCGAGCTCCTGTCCTCTGACCCCAAACCCGTCCAGCCCGAGCTCTATCACCATGGTTACAACGAACCTCAAATGGGCCGAGCTTTTTTCCCCGCTGTGAATAATGTCAATCACTTTGACTTCTCTCAAGTGAGTAATGTGGAAAGGCACGGCAGAGGAAACCTCAACAAGGCCACATCGTGGGATTTCAACCCTTACTACCCCCAGCAGCACGCCTCCATGGTGACCGTCCCCGACGGCAGGTTCCTGCCCCCCCCGGCCGTGACCCCCGACCCCCGACACTACGGCTACGTGCCCCCCCACTTCAGTCCCGGCGCCGGCCTGTTCTGTGAATACTCCCACAGCCAGGCCTCCGTGCATCTGCCCCACCACCAGCCCCCGATGCTGGTCAGGCCTCAGCTGCCCCCTGGTGGGGCGGAGGGGAAACGCGGCCGGAGACCGGCGGGGAAAAAGAGGCCGGCCGTGCACAGCTGCGAATACCCCGGCTGCAGCAAAACCTACACCAAGAGCTCCCACCTCAAGGCCCACCTCCGCACACACACAGGTAACTAGAGGAGCCCAACAACCACTGAAGATGCTATAATGTCAGCTGAGTGTATTACATCCCCCCTATTTCTTCTCATCAACAGGAGAGAAGCCCTACCACTGTTCATGGGAAGGCTGCAGCTGGAAATTCGCCCGCTCAGACGAGCTGACGCGCCACTACCGCAAGCACACGGGTCAGAAACCCTACGAGTGCCTGCTGTGTCAGAGGGCCTTCTCCCGCTCTGACCACCTGGCTCTGCACATGAAGAGGCACGCGTGAGGCTCACACACGCCGCGACACGCGAAGGATGCTCAGGGCTACCTCCACCTCTTTGGAGAAATGTTTGGTATCTATAGTGTAAAAAGGTAATCATTTATCCCCCCCCACACAAAAGAAGGAAGGAAAAAAAAGACCACTAATGCAACAGGATCCCTCTTCATGTGTATTATGAACAGTCTAAATTTAAGGACCTTTATTAGTTTAAATAAACGCCACTGGTGCCAATCTTTCCTCTCAAGGCAACCTTTAACCAGTAAAAAGAAGAAAAACGCAACTAAGATAAATGAATATATATATCAGGATGTAAATCGTCCCTCCTAAAGTAAGGATAATGTAATTTTGGGCATTAGAGCCACTCTGAAAAAACACTGTAGGCACGTAAACAGCTAAACACTAAAAGAAGACCTACAAAAAAGTGTGTGTAACATGGGTTATATGAAGAAACGCTACAGTATATCCAGTAGAACCTCCCAGCGCACTGACAAAAAGCCACGAGTGCTTTGTAATGGTACATCATCCTACCACTGCTGGGAGGATCTGATATCTCTGTTCCTTAAAACTTCACCTGATTGTCGATTTAAATGTTACACGCACACAACAAATGTGTTTGTGTGTTTTCTCATGACTTCTAAATTAAGAAAACCTTGATGTATGCTTTGGACTTTGTCTCCAAGCAGATAGATTTATAGCTGTTAATATATTGCATCTTTTTTTTTGCCATTTTAGGATGTTGAGCAGAATATTTATTACTATATTTTATATCAACAGAAGATTCTCTATTATTGTACATTGTTTTTATATTTTCAGAAGAATGCTTACAAGTCTTTTAAGTATTGTTTCCTTTCTCATGGTTTCACTAATAAATAGTTTTAATGCTGCAGAAACTGGAGTGTGGCATGATTTATCAACGTGGCCAAAAGAAGAAATACAGCCGTTATTCTTATCTTTGGTCAGTTTAAGCCCCCTGGTTATTTGGAGCTGTGTGTGCCGGGTTTAGTTTGGCACAGAAAGAAGGCAGACGTGCAACATCGACTTTCAGCCCTTAGGGGGCAGCTGACTCTCATAGGAGTCTTCACGCCTTCAGGCTGGTTACAGGCTGTTTGGATTTGGACACGCTGTGCGTCTAATCCGGGCCAGGATGAGTGTCTGCTTATGTAAGTCAGCACCCACTGATTCATCGTGGTTATGTCATGATGGAGGTCATCATCATGTTACAGCTCTCAAATGTTCCGTTAGTATCATTTTTAGTTTTATCAAATCAAATCCAGTGTTTCGAATCAGAAAATGTGAAATGTGTTTGGTGGAGCTATCTTAACCTCTGACAGTTAGAAGCCATGTTTGATCACTTGTGGACACTTTCAAAATAGAGCCATCATATAAGACAGATTAAAGTAAATTAGCAAGGGTCAGACTGCTTCTCTTTAGGTGATGTCACGGGCTCTGACCAATCAGGATTGAGACAGAGGCAGTCAAACTTTTTCTAAAGTCTGGGGTCAGGGTTACACGAGTTACAAGTTGAGTGCTCAAGTTCTTTAAAGGCTCATTTCTTATTGTCAATTTAAGAAAATTTTCAATCTAAGTTGACATGTTGTTCTCTACATATTTTTTATGGACAAGGAACTGTATATAATTTTTTCTACCAAAACCTGAAACGTTTTAGAAATAAAAAAGAAAGAACACTGAGGAGTTTCCCTGAGTTTTTCAGAGTTTCTTTAAAGGGCTGATGGTGCCTGTGAAGTGTGTTTTGGGCTGACCTGAAGACACACTGATCTGTTTCTACTGCCTCCACATTGTGGTAACTTCTCCCTGGTCCACATCATTTTGTGCTTCTTCAAGCAGGCACTTTGTGTTCACAGCTTTGAAAACAAGCACAGGAGAATGAATAAAATGAATATTTGAGCTGAGAAATGTTTTTGTTCCTCAGATTCCTTTCTGCTCGGGCACAACACAGCACAGTTAAATGGGCCTTTGGTAAGAACATCCTCATTATAATGCCTTTGACAAGGGTCTCCTTCTTGCAAAATCTCTAAAAGACATCTCTTTCAGTGGGTGGTTTTTGAGGACAAAATACGTATTGTTCCTCCAAGAAACACATGAACCAGGAAAAGACCACAAGAAGAGGGAAGCTTCTTGTATTTCACTGTGGAAAAACACAATCTAATTTTCTTTGTCCACAAAGCAGAGAAAATAAACATTGTGTTTTTCTCCTTTGTGCCTGAAAACTATTTCTAAACCATCAATACTATAACTAAAAGTAGCCAAGAGTATTTAATGTAAAGAAATAAAGGGAAGTATAACTCATAACATTATATTTACATATTATTAATATAGTTGTACACACTTTAGGGTTAAAGGCTCAGGATTTAACTTCCAAACCTGTTGTATTGTATCATCCTGAGTGTTAAAGAGCATATTATATTTATGAAATGGCTCTTGCTCACTTATTTCTCATATTGTTAGTTTAAGGTTGTTTTAACATTCCTTTGCTGAACGATTACTTTGTTTTTACCAACACACTAAAACTAAAGAAGGTCAAGTTATGCAAGTTTTAGATCTCAGCTGACTAGCTGGAGGTAAGCACTTTAGGAAATTAAAACTATTAATAGAAAACTGAAAGAACAGCAGTGACTTAATGTGGTAGAAACAAAGAATCTGAAATTAGCATGAGATAGAAAATGTAGAGTCACTGATCCATCGACTAAAAAGAAAACCTGGAGTATTTATTCTGAGAAAGAAAACTGACCAAAGTGATGCAGGTGTCAGTAGGACCCGGTGTGAAAGCTCACATGGAGCTAAAATCAACAGGAATAAAAGGTAAACTAAGATGAAGAATGCAAATACTGTAGAGGGGTAAATAAGCAAAAATGCAGGGGATCTATATCCAAAAGACAAGAAAGGAACAAACTAAACTAAACCCATTGATCGTGGTACAAAAGTCCTAAATAGACCTGAATAAATACACAAAATATGCACGTTAATGCAAAGTGGACATAATCCTCCTCTTAACCTTTCACAATAGCTCTTTTGATGACAGAAATGGTTGATCCTGCACTTTGTTCAGATGAAATTATCTCTAAAACTCCTGTCTGGCTTGCCGTGAACACAAACATTCACATCCCTAACCCTCTGGGTAAATTCTTGGACCTTTGTTGATACCCTCTTAGTGTTAAGGTCAAAATTAAGACTTGGGTCTAATGCTGGTCTATGGCTGATTGGAGGAGATTTGCTTTGAACTTCATGACAAACAGCTTTTCCTTCAGCAATGATTATATAACAGCAACACAGAGACAGGACACTAAATTATCCACAGAGGACTGGCAGGACTTAAATGAAAAGCTTAAAAAAATGAAAGCAAATCGGTGGCGGGGGCCGAATGTAAAGCTTCTCTCCGTGCAGAGAGGAAACATCAAGTGTCCAGCAGATAACTCACGGAACAATGCTCCTTTTTTTCTGCGTAACGTCACCCGAGTCCGCTGTCCTTACATGCTCCCTCTTTGTTTATTACACAACAGCCAGCTTTTCCATTCACGCTCATATTCTCTGGGATATGAATGGCTCACGCTCTGTGAGGCTTTTTAATTTAGTTCTGTTTAATCCAGCTCAGTTCAATACTACTTTATCAATCCCGGGGGGAAAATATATTAAATCACCATTACAGATGTGTCATTGTTATAGACAGCTTAAGAATAAAATGGAAAATTTTGGCTGAGATCACCATGAAAAGACGGAGGTGTTGTTTTATTAAGCCTGGCATATGCCAGCCCAATGGAACAGTCACATGGGCTTCATCCAGTGTCGACTGAACTCAATTTCAGAAGAAAAAAAACACCAAAATCCTGAGAACAACAGTAAAAACACTAAGACCAGGAAAAATCCTGAAAAGGTGGGTGAGGAAGAGGGACACACGGGAAGACGGACGGCTGGGACGGATGTAAGGAACTGGTCTAAACACACGTACTGGTCTAAATATACGTCTAAATATACAAAAGGACCTGCCGTCAAAAGAGAGTTTGCTGTGTTAAAGAGCTGTTTTACCCGCCTGACCGACAGGAAGTACCGCCCTGACTGAGTGCTCTTCACAAAGCCAGTTTATCTCTGTGTGGCCTCCGATGTTTGTCCACTGTCAGCCGTGTCAAAAAAATTTGGAGCAAGTGAAAACAAAATGGGAAATCTGTAAAAGGGAAACATTAACCTGGACCAAAAACAAATGTGGAAGAGAAGTCAGTTACATCTACACTGGTATGAGTTGAGGTTTTGGACACTTTTGTCTTTCAGTCAGACAAAAATAGGTTTAGTCATGTGGGGACACATGACTGAACCTGGCGTGGTCAGCTAAGACTCCTCAAAGGCCAGAGGTTGTAGTTTTATTAGTTTTATCTTCTTGACCTAATCGGAAAGAGTGTGACCCCGGTGTTGACCTGAAGGAGTCATTAATGGTGCAATGGCATGAAAGCGAAGCACGGGAGGGGCCTCTTCTGTGCAGCACTGTGTAAAAAGGGTCTCTGTGACCACCATGCTGTCCCCCAGAAAAGGGTAATTCTGCGACTTTTTTTAAAAAAGAGGAGCAAAGACAGCCTTAATTTGCAGCCTGGGACAAACAATGTCAAGGCAGTTATTGTTGGAAGAATGCCATTTTACATAACACCGGTTGGTAGTCATTGCATAATGTACAGCATCATTATGTAAACATTAACATCGGCATGTAAGCTTATTTTTTTACTACATTTCAGCATTTTTAAGAGTAAATGTCTTTATATTTGGATTTTCTGTTTAAATTCCTGTCAGCATTATTCCCCAAAAGCTTTCCTATTTACAACCACCAGAGAGGTATTATGCCAAATTGATATGATGTAATAATCCATGCTGCCCTCAAATGTCTGAATTTTGTTTTAATCTAAATGGCTGCATTAATAAAATTTGATTGTTTTTCATATTTTTAAGAGGGACAGTAAACAAAAATCCACCCATCTGTATGGGTAAAACATTCAGAGAAAATTGGTTTTACCGCTCAGCCCTTTTTTGTTCCTGCTGGCTTCCCGTTGGAAGGAGGGGGGGAAGGAAGAGGGGGAGGAGGAGGAGGGTGAGTCGGGGTGACGCTCCCACCCCTGCTGAACCACTGTGAACTGGGAGGAGATGACGGGGACACACCGATGTTTCAGGAGCACAAACACAAGTCCTGCAGAGCCTCAATTTGTTCTCTACGAGAAGCTGTTTGTTTTACAGGTAAGATGCTCTTTGTTTTCACAAAATTTATTTCATTGAAAGAAAATTTGGTTGTTCTTTCTCTCAGTACAAATTGGAGGAAAAGAATTTAGATTAGAAGTCTAAACTTTTACAGATGAATACATGATTTAGCTGAAAATAACAGGACTTTTTGTTTGCTTGCTTTTGTATAATTCATATAATCACATTATTATTTTTCAATGTACTTATTGGATCTCCGGCTAACAATACATCAGAATATTAGATTTTATTGTAAAAAGAATGACTATTCATGTAAATAAATAGTGTTAAAGCTTCTCCTCACTTTCACACTTGCTTTTAGTTGTTATTTAATTTCCCTCTGGGATAAATAAAGTATTTTTTAATTTGAATTGAACTAAATTTTGTAATACGTTTTTTATCCTTTAGAAGTGATTTTTTCTTCTTCACATAGTACAACACTTCTTGGCAAATATATCCTCTTCACACCATGAAAAGAATACACTTGTTCTCTTAAACTCCTTCCTGTTTAAATCTGAGCTTTAGGTTTTATACCCGTCAGCCTCTGTACATTCCAAATAATGAGGGGAAATTATATATATACATACAAAATTAAAGATCAGGAAGATATGGAATGATTTTAAACTTTGAGATATTGTATATTTATTGTCACCACAGCACTTGTATTTGTGTTTTTCTGCCTTAAGGTGGAGCTATTACGGTGTATTTCACCCACATCCACCAACCTTCACAGCGTTCCTCATGACAGCTCAAGTAGTGGGAGACAAAGCTGTTTCCGTACTAAACTCCACAAACGGCTTCCTCAGTCAAGGCCTGGACCTCAGAGACGGCCCGGGCGCCGTGGAAACGGCGGCGGGCAGCAGCTGCGATGAGGACAGCGGCAACGGCGCCCGCCGCAAACGGGAGCTGCTCTCCGGCGAGAAAAAAGACGAGGACTACTGGGACAAGAGGAGGAAAAACAACGAGGCGGCCAAGCGGTCCAGAGAAAAGAGGCGGGCGAACGACCTGGAGCTGGAGACCCGGGTCCTGGGTCTGCTGGAGGAGAACGCCCGCCTCAGGGCCGAGCTGTTGGCCCTCAAGTTTCGCTTTGGATTGGTCAAAGACCCGTCTGATGCTCCCATCCTGCCCCTGTCTGACCCAGCCTGTGCCCAGACCAGACCTGATCTGACCCATTATTACAACGGTCCCACAGACGGCCACTCACGATTCGGCTCCTGCAGGATCCAGGCTCCCGGTCTGGATCAGGGCAGTGGACTGAGGACAGCCGGGCCTACCTGGGGTGCATCTGACAGCCGTGTGTATTTTGACGCCAGGTCGGATGGGATGGGCCCGTCCGGCCCAGCAGAGCAGACCTGCGGGTCCCACGCTCCACGCGTGGAAAACCACACTCAAGATTCAGCCGAGAGTTTGAAGAGCCTCCCGCACAAGCTCCGCTTCAAAGGCCCGGCCGGGAGCGGCGATGGACGGGAAACGTCCCCGTCTCCTGACGCCCGGCGCTGTGGCCCTCCCGTTGCCATGGTGGGACCCAACATGCAGTCAGTGGGACGGGACAGACAGGAAAATGACGACGGCCAAAGAAAGCTGCACGAGGCTTCAACTTTTGGGTGTCACAACTGCTCATTTCCACAGAATTCAGACGACAAACGCTCTGCGGAGGACACAAATCTGGGGTCTCAGATCAGATGTTTGTCCCAGGAAGTGGCTCAACTCAAGAGGCTCTTTTCCAATCAGCTGCATTCTAAGATCTCCTAAAAACCTCAGACCCAGACAGATGCTTACGGTCGTCCCGTCTCTGAGTACCTCTGGGGCTGAAAACGGCTGGTTTCCACCGGCAGGTCCCAGAGCAACCGGCAGCTAAAGACAGGGGCAAAAGACTCTGAAAAACAGCACATTTTGTTTGACGGGGAAAAAAAACGGGGTATGTTTTTGATTAAAAAAGCAAAGGTCTGTACCACCTGGTGTCACCTTGTCCTACACAGATGTGAATTTGAACCTTTTCTCACCTGTATTTCTCCTGAAACATCCAGTGGATTCATTTGTTTTAAAGGTGCTGTAATTGTGAAAGAATGTCGTTTATTTTTCTGTTTATTAGTACATATTCAGTAAGTCACTACTGTTGTCACTTTTTACCAGTTTGTCCCAGTTTAGAAATAAAGTGCTATATTATACAAAAGACTGAGAGATTTCATCTCTGACATTTGGATAAATTTGACAAAATATACTGTAAATTTGTTAAATTAAAAGAAAAGAATGTGACCTTTATTTACTTTCACCATATTAACAGATAGAAAAAAACTGTATTTCATACTGTAAAAAAGTAGATGTTTTAGGGGGAAATGGAGGCAAAAGTTTAGAAGAATATAGGAGGCCTCAGAACTTTCTTCCCACAGCTCAGGTCATCTTTATCCATCAGGATCTCTTGGCCATTGGAAAGGTCAAGTGAAGCTGAATTTCGAAGCTTTGTAATTACTCTTAGCACACCAGGAGGTTTTGCCAGGGCTCCAAAAATCATCCACAGCTTTTCTTTTCCTGCTTGCTTCAGTTCAGATGGGGAAGATATTTGCCTGGCTGGATCACCAGTCCATCACAGGGTTCCACCAACACAAAAAAAAAAAACCTACTCACTCCCAGGTTCAAATCAGAATCACTAACCAACCAAACATGCATGTTTGAGAGGACTGGCAGACAAAACCAAAACATACATGCAGACCCCAAACTGAAATACCTCCTTACTTTTTTTTAAAGAACATGTAGGATCTTAAATTAATACAAGTATTACTAAAATCATTTTAAGAGATTAGATTTACTTGGACTCTTTGATGCTGCTGACCATTGCTAAGATATTAGGGACGTTACGGCACCTGCTGTGAGGCTTAAATGCAGAAAGCTCTTGTTTCTGCTTCATTTGGGACGATATTGTTTGTTCGTTGAGGCTGACTGGCAACACAGTGGTCAATACGGAGCACTTTGGCAAGGATGCTTTGGTTTCCTTTCTGGACGGAGTAAAACTTTGAAATCATCATTATGTTTTCCCCGTTTCTGAATGGAGGCTTTAAATCGGCCCTCGCGTTGGTGACCGTCTTACGTGTCCTGAGCTCTGCGTTAAGGTGACTGAAAAGGGGACGGAGCGGAGTGGGACAGTGCAGGGGAGAGGGGCGAATGCAGGGAAGGAGTGATACTCTGCATGAGTCATCTATCACGTCAGCAGTAAAAAGGCTATTTTTAGCCTTTAGGCAGCTGCAGTGAAAACTAACTGTCCCATGTGGACATGGAGGATGCAGGTTCAGAATACATGAACAGCTTATCTATCCATTTACAGCGGGGGGGTGGAATGTACAGCAGTGGAACCAGTTCATACTCAGACCAAGTACCTTTTCTGTAAGAGTAGGACAAAATGTCATGGCAAATGTGCAGTACTGACCACTCTCTGTATTTTTTTTTGACAACACAAGGGGGCGTTAGGTGCCTTCATGCGCACCACCGCCTATCCATTCATTCAGTTATTCATTCAGGCAGTTTTTGGAAAAGAGGTCGTCTCTTCTTTTGTGTGCCCAGACTGAACCACATGCAGCGCAAACACGCATCTAGTGTCGGAGAACAGGTTTCATTTCAGCAGTTACAGCAACAAATTTACACCACACGCCCTTTTGAGAGAGGAAATGACTTCATAATGTCAACAAATGCTCCTAAAACGAGGTCGGGCATTTATCAGCAGACCTGTGCAGCCGCAGGGTCACCTTGCACGGACCTTTATTCCCTCCCTCACTCCGACACAGCGCCACAGACCTTGAACCCTTTGTCTTTGATGACTGCCCCCCCCCCCACACCCCAGTCTCGCAATCTTCCACCAACACCATGAACCACAGAAAAAAGGCAGTGAGAGCCTTGTGGTTGCTAGGCAGGCACCACCACACCACTGTTGCCAGGGGAATGCCTGGATACGGGGGCAGCTGGAGAAAAAGGCGGAGTGTGTTGGGGGTTGGTGGTTCTAACAGAGGGATGATGGGGGGAGGAGCAGGGCAAGTTCAAGGCCGCTGTTTCCCCAACATGGCAACGGTGGCAAAGATACGTGTCCGTGGTAAAGACTGTGCACGTGTGCGCTATCAGACAAAGGGGGGGGGGGGGGGGATGTGTGTCGGAGGCCGGGCTGATGTAACTGCCCGTGGACTATGGAGCGTGGATGAGTTGAGAACCACAGGCTTTGTGGGAGGATTGAAAATCTCCCAAGTATGAGAATTGGTAAGCTCCCCCCTGCAATGCTTTCATTCAATGTAAAACACCCTGAATTGTTTGTGACATTAAATCTTCGACATAAATACATTTGACTTCTATCAAGGAATTCCTGGCTGATTTGACTTCAGCAGCTAACAATAAAGACTTTATTTTAGTGTATGTCTCAATGTCAAATTATCAGGGATTATATGAAATGACAAAGAATATGATGTAAGGCTTAATAAAGAAAGGGTTCAGATTAGCCCTTTATGAGTGAGAAACTAAAGAGAAAATAACAAAAAAAAGAGAAAAAAGGAAACCGCATTAAAGCAAACACAAGCCTTCACAATGCAAATCTATGCGTCTAAATGCCTGCGCAGTAGAATAATGGAGAGGGGAAATGGTGAAAATTAGTCTGAAACCAACTGTTTACATAAGTAGCATTTCTCTGCAGCTGCATGTCATCCCAAGCTATACATCCTGTTTCTGCACTCATTTTAGAGAGACACGTATTTTTAGATTTTCCTCCTGGTAGGGATGTAGCACAGTCCAAACATATCACTTATATAATTTCTTTGGAAATTAAAATGGTGCTCTTAGTGATGAGGACAAGTCGTTCATATGCTGAAGTTCGAACTGTCCCTGCAGTTTGGCTTCAAGAATGTGAATTACGTGCAGCAGAGTGGCTCCTAGAGCGCTTCATACAAGTGTAAAACAGGATCTCTGCTCTTCAGAGTCATAAAGATATATTCCAGGAACACCAGCCTCCAGCAGTTTTAGTTCAAGTCCCACTTTGTTCAAGTACACCATGTTTTCACCCCTTAAATTCCTCAACTTAAAGGCAAAACTTGTAGATAAATTTTGAGGGCTTAACATATCCATTGCTGTGTTAGAAAAGAAGCCTGAAAACTGGATTTGACCAATCATTCACAACTTTTAAGCCCGGTGTTCACTCTGAGAGAAATTTGACCTCTGACCTCAATGTGTTGAAAAGAAAGGTAAAGTTGTAATGTTAATTCATTACAAAATGGGATTAAAGCTACACTCTCTTTATTGTTTAGGTATCTTCGCCTTTTTAAAAAACAAAATCAGATCAAATTTTGAGATAAAAACACAACAAAAACAAGAGAAAAAAAAAAGAATGACATTAGACAAGGAGGCATCCTTGAGGAAAGGAGTCGGGGAAAAGGCTGAGCTTTGCCAAACGACACAAGAAGTGGAGAGAAAATCAATGCAAACAGGTCTGATGGAGGGATGAATCCTCCCAGGAGCCCAGACCTCAACATCACTGAGGCAGTTTGGGATCATCTGATAGAAAATTAAAGAAAACGTGACCAGCATCCAAATAAGAGCTTTGGAATGTCCTTTAGGAAGAGAGCCGTTCCTTATGACCGCTAAAAGAAAAAAGATGCTTGTCTAAGAGGGTTCAGACCGCATTGTAGAATAAAGGAGGTCACACTATGAATTTAGAAAGCTCATTAGAACTGTGTCAAATATATTTTTACGTTTAAAGCTTTATGTTTGAATGTATGTCAACCTGTCACTGCTTACATGTCATGTTTTTCCATTTATATATATGTTAAAAAAACGGTTATATAATGTAAAAAAATGACTTGCAAAAAAAGTGGTTGGCTCTAGACTCACTGAGCTTTGTATATCTTCCTTTCACATGTAGACAAAATAAACTAATTTAAAATAAATGCTTCCCAGACTGGTATCAAGGGACACATCAAATGTCCAGTCCAGCAGAATTAACGTGGTCTGAACTCTGTTTAGGAAGCCAGCAGCCTGAAATAAACACATAAAGGGAAAGGATGCGGGGTCAGGCTGTTATTGCACCGTCTCTCATAACTTCACGCTTTTGTCATAAAACGAACCACTCCCGTAAGAGAGGTAGTGGAAGAGGGACAAAAAGACCGGAGCTCACTCACACCGCTCCGCTCAGGGAGAACGAGACTCTCGCGCGGAGAGACAGGGGGGACAAAATAAACGTGACTAGGCAGCCTAAGAGCTGTTATGCAACCGCTGACCTACTAACACATATCTCTAGAAAGGAAGCCGGAGAAACTGGAGCAAAGTGTCCGGCAGCGCGCAGCACGCAGGCAGGCAGCCCGAGCCAAGAGACAGAAACAGCATCCCGCCGACCCAGTGACTCATCCCGCACTGACCCGAGAGCCCGAGTAGTTCTTCAGCTCCTTTTGGCGACGTTTCCTCTGAAGGGACGAGAGGAAGGAGGGACGGCAGCGAGACGGCTTTTGTGTCGGGGAAAGCCTGGACATTTTTTTTTTCTCCTCCTCCAGGACGCTGAAAGGTATGTTTTGACTGCGGCTGTTTTGCTTTGTGCTCTCTCCTCTTTTCTCCCCTCGCGCGTGGGTTTCCTGCGTGGGTTTAACAGATTTAAAGGTGTTTTTAGCTAGCAGGACGGGATGCTCGCGGACGGTTATTGTTCACATGGCGACTCGCTGCCGGTTAAACCCGCGTCCGCGCGTGACTTTGAGGCTCTTGCGGACCTTTTTTTTTTTTTCTCTCTTCTTTCTTCGGCACGTAACACACGGCACCCGCGTGGTGAAATTAGCCACTTTTGTCCCGGGTTTGCTTTTATTTGTCGTGGTCGGGGCTGAAGGACGCGGTTTAGCATGTAAACACAAATGTATTCAATGTCAAGGGGAGGTAATATCCCCTCATGGTGTTTTCCAGGGAACGGGGGCAGCTGCTGTGTTGTCTGCTTTATGCAGACATGGGACTATATTAGGTCCTGCACGTGGCATGCGGCTGTTCTTACCTACATCTTTAATGTAGGTCACCGGATCACAGTACTTCCAGAGATATCCGTTTATTTACTTGACTGCTGGTATCCTGAAAACCAAGCTCTGAATCAAAGCCTCTTTTAGGAGACAGATTGAAGGGTATTGTCAATGAAAAACAATAAATGAAACCAGAAACGCATGTTAAAAATGGGTGCTTTTTTGTTAGACAGGGCACATAACAAGGCTGAAAGCATCTTTTGGTATTTAGAAACAAAAATAATTGTCTAACAGAGGAAAATAGTTTTCCTCTGGGTTGTGTTGATACTATCCAGTATTAAATGTAGATATTAAAAAGAGGAAATCCAGTACCCTGTGTATTTAAAGCGAGTCACTGGGCAGTTTCCCCTTCGTGGATAAGGTGTGTTGAGTAAAGCACAGAGCTGGGCTTTCAGGGAGTTGGAGGGTATGACATAACCAGCAGCTCACAGAGGGGGAAGCAATAAACAGCAGCAGCCTCCTGGGACAGAGAAGCCTGTAATTGATTCCCATTCACACCCTGCTCATTATTTGTATTCGTATTAACCACAAATTTGGATTTATGAATCAGAGGTGTGATAAATCTTTGCGAAAAACATGGTCTTTCATCAGTGATGTAACACAGCTTCATGGTCTGCCTCTATTTTTAACCTGCTCGCTCCTTCTTTCTGAACAAAACTTAGAGCAGGGAGGAAAAACAAAACATGTAGCTTTTTTTTATTTTCCTGTCCGACCCAAAGCTCACCTCATTATACCGTTTGTGTGAGATCTCGGTGTGACTTTGTTGTAAAGTTAGAACAACCAGTGAGCACACAGGCTGTGATGTAATGCCCGGAAAATGGAAAACCCTTGTCTGGGGAGAACAGGAACAGTCTTGGTGAGTCTGGCGGGCCGGTCTGGATTTAGTGTGTGCGCCGCTCTGTCCCGGCCAGCTCCGTGAAAATAGGTCAGACCTGAAACCGGGTGAGGAGGCGCGTGAGGTTTGTAGGACATGGAGTGAACTACTTCACCCGCTCTGGCTTTGGCTCCCTAACAATTCAGACCCAACAACAGTAAATACCATCTGTCATTTTGCTTTCTTTTAATTTATAAGTGTCTGTTAGGCAACAGTTATGCCACATTTTTCGACTCTCACTTAAACTCTTTGTGTGGCTCTTTTGGCTGTAGAAAGACTCAGATTTAGTCTTTTAAGATCTGTAGCCTTTACTCCAGATACACAGTGTTTAGTCACATATTTGTCCGGGTAGGTGTTAAATGGCGTTCTGTCGGCAGTCTCAGTGACTGACCTGGAATGTCTGGATTCTTGTCTTCTGGTTGTGTTTGACAAAAAAGCCACAGGCTAAAATGGAGGCTCCTGGCTGGGGCCCCTCCACGTGTGTGGTGTTGGATCATTTAAAAGATGGAGGAGGGGAAAAGGATGTGTTGCGTTTTACTCACACTTGCCTTAGAGGTTCAGAGGTGAAGCATTCCTCTCTGAGCGGCAAGTGTCCGTGAACTGCCTGGGGGGGAAGGGGGGGGGGGGGGGATTGGGAAACAGTCGGCTTACAGTTGCTGCAGTGAATCATGTTTTAATGGGAAATCATTGCACAAAGAGCCAGTTACACAAGCCACCGCGGCTCCTCTGTGTTTATTGTCTGCCGGCGGTCTGGCCTTTGTTGGGGGGCGCAGCAGTCGCAGAGATGAGGCTGGAAACGGGGATTGCGGAACCTGTGGCTTCTGCTGCTGTGTAACGTGCATGTGCTCCGCGGCCGGAGAGAGAGATTCAGGGCACGTCCGCTACGAGCAGCAGCGGCGGCCCCTCCCCACGCCGCCCGCAGACGGAGCCCGTTAGTGAATCTGGCTGCAGAGATGGGTGTGTGCCATGACGTCAATGCCACTGCCTTATCTCTCTCCACGATTTCCCCTCGGCCACCGATTCACATTCTGAGGCTGTCACAGGGTCCACTGAGCCAGAGTTGCATGAAAATCACCGGGGCTCTCGTAACCCGACGTGATGTAAGTGTCCTTTATTCCCCCTGCAGACGATTCTGTAAAATTCCTCTCATGTCCACCAGTTGAATTCCTCCCGTCACCCAATCCCTCCCCCTTTCCTCCCGCCCTCACCTCTCTTTCTCTATTTTTAGACTGCACTCTTAATACTCTGTTGCCTCTCCTGCCCGCCCTCCCTCCCTCCCTTCCTCCCCCCCGCCCTCCCTCCCTTGCAGTCCCACTGACCTATTTTATGGCGCACCGTCAAAGACAGGAGGAGTGTTTACTGTTTCGCGTTGTTTCTAGGTCAGTGGGACAGCGCAGACGTGTGCATGCTTCCTTCCCGCCCGCCTTTGTTCAGCGCACCCCCATCCCCGCTTGTCTCTATCAAAATTATCCAGCAGGGGGGATATTGGGGTGGGGGGCGGGCGACGTAAGCCCACATTTTTCCACATCTTTGTGCGGCGGTGCTCAGATCCCTTTGTGTTCAGCGTGGCTTTATACAGGAAGCAAAAGACATTTCAAGAATGGCCTGCCGGGTCCTCAGTCTGAGTTACGGCGTAACAGGCGTGATTGAATCAACTCTGAAATCAATCGGAGCCGTTCCCGAGCTGCTTGGAGGTCACAATACGTTTGTTTGTCTTAAAATGGGGCGTTATGTAACAGCGTAAGTGACTCTGGGGATTGAGAGAGACTGTAATCAGTCTGGAGGGTGCAAAGCCGCTCAGCTACACGGTGTTGACTTCAAGTGATTTGCGTGTTGGGACATAAAAAAAAAAACTGCAGACGGGGTCGATGCAAAGTCAGATTTGTTTAGGTGCGTCTACTTTTGTTTGAGTTCTGAGAGCGTTTCTTTTTTTTAGCAATTTGCCATCGCTGTGTGAATTTTGTTGTTCAGCTCCCTCATTTTCAAGGCTTCATTAACAGAAAGACTAAAAACAATGTTACTCTCACGTTCACCTTTTGAGAGGTGTGGTTTTAGTCTCCAAATGGAGCTTGCAATTGTTTTGACAAGTACCAGGAACAGATGTGCTGTACGCTACGTGAAACCATCTGTCCTCGGCAGCTTAGAAATGTGTCTGGGGAGAATTCAGTCATACCTACGTGAATAGTTGGAAATCCTCAGCATAATGCCTGTTATTTGTTCTTCAGCCTGCCCGTTTGCCCTGAACCAGCACGTATGCTTCAAAGAATCCAGACTCCAGAGTTTGAAATAGCTTTGTTTCGTTCAAAAGAACAAGCACACTTTGAAAAACACAGATATGATTTTCTAGCGATAAACTATATCAGAAGGGCCTTTTTGAAATTCCAGCACAGCGAATGAAAAACAACAGCACCGTCGTTGGCAAATTATTGTGACCGAGATCGTTACGTTGCTCTTTGTGTATAAAAATATGTTTTTCTGTCTGTGAGGGACTCCAGGGTTCAGTGCAATGATGTGTTCCTAATGCATCCACATGAACCGTGTAATGCTGTGCAGTGAGAGAAATAAAAGAATGAGTTAAAAAACGAGTGGCTCTTGTTGCGTAAGACTGGATTGCTGTCAGCATCCGTCGGTGGGGTGTTGGGCATTGTTTTTAAGTCGATGATGCAAGGTCTGTGGGGTTGGACCGGCTCCTTGTGGGGCTACGATAATCACACCACAGGAAGGAAGCTCAGCAGCTTGTGGTGTTGTGTAATTTTAGACCATGGGATGCCTATCCGAGAACCACCTCACCTCAAATGGCAGAAATCAGAATTGCCCATTACGGTTTCCTCCCTCCGCACGCTGGAATAAGGTTCAGTCGTTCCCCTCTCTTTGTCTCCGCAGAGCCCGCACTAAGTCGGCCTGCTCTACTCCTCACCATGTGACACGGCTCTGTTTTACACAAAGAGCTCTGCAGCAGCACACGCACATGTTTAGCCTCGGCTACAGCCCCGTCCTCTCGTGTGTGTGTGTGTGTGTTCAGTCCCATTCTCCCTCAGTTACCAGGGCAGACTGGAAAAATCCTAACAACCTGATGTAGTAGATTTTTGGGCAGCTGAACAGCAAAAGCATTTTTGCACTTGTTAGAAAATCGAATTTGACTCTGCTCATCTGTAAATGAAGACTGCAGTGACCTGAATTGACTTTATAGCTAATCTAATTCTCCCCCTTGTCTCTGTTCTCTTTCCTCTCTGTCTCAGTAACCCTGTTAGCGGTCAACAAGCGGCACCACTGAAGCTGGACCGTCAAGGAGCCCGGAAGCAGACACACTGACCTACATCCTGTTTAAGACACGGGTGGAATCAGGGCAGTGGCTCGTCAGGCGTCCCGTCCCTGCTGAAGATTGAAGAGGAGGCCAGTAAACCCAGTAACCTCCAGCAAGACTCCAGGGAGCTTCCAGCTATTTGCAGAGGCAGCTGAAACACCCCTCACTCAAGACCCAAACTTGTCTCATTTTCCAGTTTCCTTCGTCGAAACACTACTTCAATGTCTGAGGTTTTTGTGGAGTTCCACCTCTTTTTAATCTTCTTGGCTAATTTGGACACTTGAACGTTTTGTTCTTGAGAGATTAGTAACAGAAATCAATGAGGCTATCCCTTCGAGGAGCACAAATTCCCCATCTGGAAGTTTTTGCTGATCCTGCGACATAGGTCAAACGTCTCACCAACAAAGCAGAAGGCTGAAATAGTTCGACATCTTTTCCCTCCCCCCTCTGCCCTCTGCTAGGGTCATACTCTAGCCCCCACCAGGGAAAGAAAAATGGAAAGTTTAAGTATACACATCCCATCTACCAGCAACAAAAATGCCATGAAAGTCGACACCTATCCCTCCTACAGCGACAGCCTCCCATCCCCCGTCTCTGAGAGCGGGGGCCGGATCAGCCGGCAGGCCAAAGGCGCCAAGCCCACCGTGACCTCGCGCCGCAAGCGCGAGTTCATCTCCGACGAGAAGAAGGACGCCTCCTACTGGGAGAAGCGGAGGAAGAACAACGAGGCGGCCAAGCGTTCCCGGGAAAAGCGCCGGCTCAACGACATGGTGCTGGAGAACCGCGTCATGGCCCTGAACGAAGAGAACGTGCGCCTGAAGACGGAGCTGCTCCAGCTCAAGCTGCGCTTCGGCCTCATCAGCACGGCCTCCTACATGGAGAAAAGCCAGCAGATCTCCAACAGCGTGGCGGAGGGCAGCTCCGGGGGCAGCTCCGGCGGCCTCCCCGGCAGCAACACCTACCTCTCCAGCAGCGGCTACTCCAGCGCCTCCCAGGTGATGCTCAACTCGGACTCCTCGGAGACCGAGCAGTCCAGCCGCGGCGAGCGCCACGCCGCGCTCCACAAGTATTCCCCGCGGGGCTCCGTGTCCGACATGTCCGACGGCTCCTCCAGAGACAGCCCCGAGCCCATCAGCTACAGCATCAAGAAGGAGTCCTCCTGCGTGGAGATGGAGGCGCTGGAGGGCGACGACGGCGTTCCCGACGGAATGCCGGACGGGAATTACCATGGCAGCCACCAGACAGTGCTTTCAATTCACCAGCAAAACACGACGTTGGCCGAAAGTGTGAGAGACTTCCAGCAGCATCATCACCACCATCATCTTCATCATCATCATCAGCAGCAGCAGCAGCAGCTCCACATGGAGACGGCCCCAAACCCGGCTCCTCAGGCCACGTCCGCGCAGAGGAGTGTGATCCTGTACCGCTCCAGCAGCGGCTGCTACCCCATGGACAGCCAGAGGCCCGACGAGCAGCCGTCCCAGCAGAACAGGCACGCCGCCGCCCCCTCCAAGTTCTCCGACTGCTCGGTGACCATCACCGAGGTGGCCGAGAAGCTGGAGAGGACAAAGACCATGGACTCTCCTCAGTACGACTACAGCAGCGCTCAGCTGGAGTCTGCAGAGGAGCTGCAGCACAGGTACAGCGAGCACCAGGCGCACGCCAGCCTCCAGCACCGCGGCTTCCAACCCCCAGAGGACAGTCTCCACCAGAACCCCTTTGGGGCTGATCTCATCCACGACGAGGAGGCCAAGTCCTCCTTCATGCAGCACAACGGCTACCTCAACACACTGGACGAAGAGCCCCCGGTGCTCACCTACGAGGGCGGCCCGCGGCCCGACGGCTTCTACCAGGAGAACTCTTCTGCTAAAGACACTTCCTCAAGCGACGGGGACCCTCGTAGCTCTGACAAGGAGGGCTCCACCGACGACGAATCCCCCTCCTCGTCCTCCTCGGACACCAGCAGCTACCACCAGAAGGCGGAGGGGGCCGGCGGGCTGCACGGCGAGTGCCAGGCCGAGGTCAAAGCCACCGCCCTGCCCCACAAGCTCCGCCTCAAGTACAGAGCTCTGTCCAGCGGCGCGGCTGGGGCTCAGGCCGAGGGGCCGGTCCTCACAACTATGTCCCCCTCCCCCACTTTACCGCAGCACCCTTACTTAGCTCTGCCCAACAACCATCACAGCAGCCAGGCCGGCGGGGAATGCAGAGAGGCGGAGAACGAGGCCGAGTACGCGGAGGAAGAGGCCAGGCCTCAGGTGAACGAGGGCGGCGAGGCTAAAAAGGACCGGGGGAAAAAGGGGTCGGGGAGCGGGAGAGGCGGGCGCAATAAGAGGCGAGATTAAGGAGAAACGGGAGCAGCTTGAGCATTTTCCCTTTGGCTCACATTGGCACCTTTAAAGACTGAGCAGAACCTGTGGTCTGTGCGTTTTAGGATTCGATATCACCATCGAGTTACACTGTGTCACCCATACCCCTCCTGTCCTACCTCCCAGGAATCTAACTCAGATAACAGATTAATGAGGGATGTGGCTAAACGAAACTCCGCATCCGGAGTTTGTGACATGTCCCTTGTGGAAAACTTAAATTACTCGACTATTCTTTTTGTAAATTGCCTTCGAGGCCGGTCAGTGTTTGTTGTGGCATTACAGGAGCATTCCTTTTTACCAAAGACACACGCGTTTCCTTTACTATCTCCCTTATTGGCAGTTCCATTCTTCCTTCCCCCAACCATTGACCCTGTTAAATGCTGGCACGTGAGTCCTCTTCACTCCTGAAGCACTTAGATTGTATAATACTGTGACATATAAATTTTCATATATCGAATATATATTTTAAGAAGAAAATTGTGTCAAAAACAATAAAAAATAAAATGGTGGGATGCAGAGGTGGTAGAGTAGTTTGTTGTAATGAAACACCTTGTACAGTCCCTGTTTTTTTTATTTTTTAAAAAGAAGCCTCAAAAATAATCTCTTTTACAAAACCTCTGAGACGCAACTTGTAAACTGTTAAAGGAAAAAAAAAGCAAGAGGGGCTGTTTTTTCTTCTTGTTTTTAGATCAGCATCCTTGCGCGAATCATTTGTGCTCTTAGACACGGTAAAAAAAAAAAGAACCACTTATTCACATATCAAAGCTACACAGTCAGATATGGCTGTTTTTTTTTAATTTTTTTAATTAATTTATTCTTTTTTAAAGGTGACAAGCACAAGGCAAGTCTTTTTTTTTTCTTTTTTTTTTGCCAGTCGTTGAATAAAATCCGTTAGACAAAATTGTCTAACGGATTAAATGTCTCTCCAGTCACAACCAGCAAAGCTGCTCTCTTTTCATAAGGTGCCTCTTTATTGTGTTGTTCCTCATCCACATGTTGGCAAACGTCTTCACGATCCCGCCCTTCTCTGCACTGATTTGTTTTAGACACAGTAGCTGATCACGGTTTGTTAAAGTTCCACTTCCTGGTGCCTGCCTCTAGCCACTATGTATAAATGTAAAGTTGTCTCTCTTTCTTGTATACTGCTGTCATTATTTTATTATTATTTTATTGATATTTTCTATTATATTGGTTATTTTGGCTATTAAGTGTATTTTTCTGTCATCCTGTTGTCTCTTACTGCTCTGTGCTCTTCCTGGTTGTGCTGTGTATTTATCCATGCAACCTTTTGCCCCAGCCACCATTTGTACTCTGTGTTAACGTGTAACCTTTTGTCGAAAGAATTTCCGAAAATGTTTTAAAAAAAGAAAAAAGAATAAGGCTTATCCAGGGGTGATTATGTGTTGCTATAATTCACATGGATAAGCAAATGGTTATGAGAACGTACAGTTTTAAATTGTGGAAGATTGAAAATGGAGAGGAGGAATAAAAGTTTGTTAAATTTATTCTCGTGTCTTTTGAGCTTTTTGGACCACAGACCTGAACAATGAGCTGGTTTATGGCAGCATCTCCGTGAGCTAATGCGGCTCATCGCCATGAAGTCGACACACATCACATTCACTGAAATTACATAAATGAATTAGTTGAATTTTATGGAGCAGCAGCAGTCAGTAGGCCTGTTTTCTACTATTTGACTCTGAATAAGTACAACACATTTATCCACACTGTCACGTGTAATCGTATCACACAAACTGTCTACTGAAACGTGGATGAAACATTCCAAAAGAGACATTAAATAATATGTACACTTCTGAAATTACTGGTAAAAGATCGATTTAAAAGGCCAGACTGGTCTCAAATAAATGAGGTGACAAGAAACCAGGACCACAATTTCAGAAAAAAGAGAGAAGACTTGAAACTGAGAAACTGGAGCAATGTGTCAGTGTAACTTTTTACAGAAAATAAATAAATAATATTTAAATAAATAAATATTTCAACAGTTTTGATTGTTATATGCTTCATATAAATAAGTTTTTTTAACTAAAAAGAAAGAAATAGCCAAGTTTGAAAGTCAAGTTTGAGAACAAATGGTTACTTATGCTGTACATAACAAACGTCCACGCACTTTAAAGATGAGTTACAATTCATTGCATTGGCAAAGAGAAGGAAACGCGAGTTAATAACGACTATAATGTCACATGAACATCAAACATGTAGAGGGGTTAATGAAGGGGAGGTGCATCATGGGAGGTCCTGCAGCAGTGTGGGCCTACGGGAACATAACTGGGATTTTTCAGGCTCAGCGGAGCAATCTCTAACTATGAGCTTTATCAAAAAGAAAAGGTTACTCGGTTTCCTGACCCCAAACTGGCAGCTGGTTCCCACTGAGAGGGGGCTAATAATGAACGTGCGGCCTCTCATTTTAGCTTTTCGGACCTTCAGCGGACCCCTCAGAGGACCTTAAGACACACAAGTGATCTGTGGCGTGTGGTGTTTTAAAATTCAGGTAGCCTTAGGCTAACGCCCACATCAGATCATACGCGCCAAATGAGCCAGTCCCAGTCCGACCGTGGCGATGACGGGGGGAAAAAAAAGAGCTGCCGGGCCTAAGCAGATGGTGCTGCTGTTCCAGATTACACAACAGACATCTCCACCTGCTCCTGAAGCGCATGCAGCCCACTGCATGCACGGCTCATTTCTGATGCTCGAGTGCCTGATTAACAGGTAAACAGGTGCAGTGGCTTTTCTAACCTTTACACTTTAATGAGCGCCATGATCCCGTTGCCAGTTCGCACGTTAAACGCCAAACAGGATCCGCAGCACATCCATTCGACAGGCTTTATCGTAACACTATCTCCAGTGTCATTCGGTGCACCTATCACTGGCTTCTAGGAAGAGGCGGATTGGTGTAAAAGTAACAAGGAAAACGGCTTTTGTTTAATGAAGCGGTAACATGTCAGTCTTCTTTTATCAGTGAAGCTCATTATCCTGCTTGGCAATTAAAGGAAGACGCATTTCACTGTGATCAACACGAAGATCCGCTTCAGCGAAGAAAAACCAAAACAAGAGCAGACAGGATCCGTCTGCAGTGTCACAACTGAAAGACAGCTCAAAGCATGTCGTACATTCTTACTTTCTGTATGTGGTGTTGTCCGTAATTGCATTAAAAAAACCCCCACAAAGCATTGGCCTTGGAGGCTGTATTTCATGTGAGGAAAATATTAAAAAAGGAAAAAAGTACAAGCAAAAACAAGTTATACAAGTGTCTCAGGATTACAAGTGCGTCACATTGTGAGAGCTGAATGAACCAGCCCCCATCCAGCCATGCCGATAATGGAACAAAGCCTGCTGGGAACAGCAGGTTGGCATGAGCAGAGCCCGCCGCTATTACCAGTTACATAACAACCACAACAGGAAGGAGGGCCTGTCATCTGCAGAGGTGCCGCTTATTTCAAAGACCCACCCAGATTTTCTTGAGAATCTCAGGGCTCTGTGTTGACCAAGCACACACACACACCCATACACACACACACACACACACACACACACACACACACACACACACACACACACACTTCAGATGATGTTTTTCTGCTCGGAGCTTCCCATTGCACAACTTCGCAGCACACTCCCGGTCTCATGTTTCAGAGTGATGGATGACGGCTGTGCCCATGCAGAGGCAAACAGACCTGCTGTTTCTCATCAGGAACATCATCAGACTGCTCTGTGTTCTCTCTCCCCCCCCCTGCCCCCCCC